ATGCTCACACTATTTTTACCTAATGTTAACAGAGCTTTTTGTAAATGTATCTTGTGCTCAAACTCTGCTGTATCATTATGGATATTGTAAATACGAACTAGCGCAGTCGGTCATCTGTCCTCATCGGGTAGAACTATAAAACTAAATTAACCTGTCAGTGTTCTCCCTGTTGAAGCTAATGGTTTTTGTATTTTAGAGTGTAACATCACTAGCCAAAAAAACTGATTATGTAGGAGTTCGACTCTTGGGAAGACTTGGAGGATGCCTCCTTGGTTTTGCACCAAGCCAAGTCCGGTCTCGATGAGATTAACAAGCACAATCCTGTATCTCTCATCAGTCTAGCTCTATGCACTTCTATGTTTAATGGTTGGTGTTTAAATTAAGCTTTTTTTGTCAAGCATAGCACCTGTTTGAGGTGTGAAAAAACAGCAAAGTTTCAAAGCAAGGAAAGGGATGTTTGGTATATAACTCATTCACAAACCCTCTTTGAACACATTTCAGATTTGAATTAAACATTAATATATAATATCTTTTATCATTTCCGATCAGGCGCTCAGCCCTGAAACCATTTTAGACAGCTGCAAATATTAAAGTGAGACTCTGTAACTTTTATCAAACTTGGTCTTTTTGCTAGAGATGGTCACTGTGACGCATCAGAGCCGACATGACGTCCTAAATTTAACACATAATTAGCGCTAAGTTTCATATTTAAGCTGCGTGATCCGTTATAAATGTAAGCGGCAGATGTGCATAGAAAGATATTTACAAATAGTTTTAATTCACAACTTTTATTTCTCAAAAAGACAAAAACTATCGGAGCTTCCCACCGTTATTGCTTTCACAACCACCAGATTTCACTGTTTTAAAAGAGTCTGAAGCTTTTTTCAGCACAATTTGAAAAGAAAACCCTGGAGCTTCATGAGGCGTCATTTGCCTGTTACTACACGTTGTTTTGGGAGCCAATGTTTAGTGAACATTTGGAAATTGACGATTAGATTTCATTGGTTATGTTTGCTAGTTTTGCAGCCTTAAAGCTCCTGTGAGAGGTTTTTAGCTGGCTCCGAATCAAACTAAACCAACACTGACAACGAGACCATCGACAGCAAAACCGATTAACTCTAAATTTTAATTATTGATTCCTGAATCTGCTGCTGGACGGGGGGTAGGTATCGGATTAAATAAAGTGTTTTTTTGCAGCAATCATTTTTCAGAAAGTTCAGAAAGTTCAGCAGTGACACATTCTGCAGTTTTAAATCCTCCACTTCTGTACAGATAGCTTAGCATTTAGCCAAACTATCACTAATTTTAAGTATAATGGGAAGTTTAGCATGTAGCTTAAGTTACAGAGTCTCACTTTAATCTGTAGTTTTGGCCTCAATTTGAACAGTTAACTGGTTAAAACTCACACATGATCCACATTTAATACTATATTTTATAAAGAAGTGATTTCACTCTGCTGTTTGAGTTTTGATTTGACTTTTTTCGCCGCCGATTTCGTTCTCCCCTCCATGTTCACACCTCGGTTGAACTTTTGAGACCCTCTGCATCAGTTCAGGCAGGCCGACAGAGGATCAATCAGAATATAAAGCTATAAATAAAGTCAAAGATGTTGTATGTTTTCTATTATCTTGTAGAAACTACTTTTGTAAGTATGTTGAAAGTATAAAGTATTTGCTGGATTCTGCTTCCTTCGATGACGGTGACAAAACAATAATGTACAGAGGAAATTGTGTTGACAAAATGTGGCTGTGCAATTTATGTACATTTGCAACTAGACCTATTAAAGTTTTATTTAGCTATTTTAAAACCTCACCCTCCTTGTGGTCTTGCTGACGTTGCTCCCTGTGGTGCTTTGTTGTTATGAAACGTAAATGAATCATATGTTCATTAAATACTGGATAGACGACGAGCAGCTCGGGAGAACATATGCTCAGACATGAGGTCCAAAAGGCAGAGAGGAGGGTATGATGGAGGGACGTGACAGGCTGGTTTTGAGCCTGACCTACATACCGCCTGATTGTTATTCACAACAGAGGGAAGGAGAAACCCTGAAATGGCAGCAACAACAAAAATAGAGCGGATTTTGTTGCAAGAATGTGTCTTAAAAAGCTGTGGCTTTAAATTTAGTCGACTGACATCTAAAAATGCCTTTCAGTGCAGCTCAGAGGCTGAAGAAATGCAGCATGTAAGCCTTCACTATTACTATTATTACACAATATGTGATCAAATATGAAAAGTGAACCTCATTAGCAGCAGATCCTCTTCATGTGTGCATATAAAGCAGAGCTCTGGTGTGGTTAATTGCTCCCTGCGAGTCACACTTGTTTCTTTGTCCAAGTGGGGCAGGCTCCCCCGGGGACAGAGGCATGCCTTCAGGACATCAGGCTAATAAAACAAGCCAGCACTACTCTAAAAATCATGATAGAGGAGAATCAAAGGATAGAAAACACAGACGAGTAATTGAGCCACTTGTTGACTGCAAGGTTGTCGAGTGCAGCTCAACAAGCCAAGGAGTACATACTTAAAATCCACTCCACAACGCTTTCAAATGGAAAGGCCAGAGAAATGAGCCCTCTCTGAGTATCTATGACCGGCCTTTTAACGCCAGAATTACAAAAACAAACCTTTATAGCTGCCACAGCTCCGCACATGCAACAAAGGTCTAAGTCTAAGAATGGAAATGTAATACTAAAATAAACCTGCTTAAGTGCTGCAATTAGCTACAAATGTGAAATTATTGCATTAAAATGGATATTTTGATATAAAGCTCCCATGAGGAGTATTTTTTTCTGGTTATGAATCCAACTGAAATCAACACTGATGCATCTTCATGATCCACAAAAGCATTTGAGACCATCAGCATCATAACTGCGTATTTCTGTGTGGTTACTTTTAATATCCGGAACCTCATGGAAACCTCAAGTTATTTTTGACAAAGTTGACATGTAGTACGGCTCATATATCCTAAAATAAATGACAAAGAAATGTCAATGGGCTTCTGCTTCACCTCTGTTAACTTTCACTTTCTCCTCTTATCAATAACTCCAGCAGTCACAAACCAAGAAATGTCAAGAGCAAGCAAATACAGGCAGTAATCATAATTTTCAGTGTTCCCCGGAAAGTCTCTGATGTTTCTGTGTTGTTGTGTTTTTTTTGCTCACTCCTATGTTAGTTAACTTTTTTAAAATCAAAATAATGATCCTTGTAAAACTGGTACAAAAGCTGTTAATTTATGTCGTCGATTTATTTAGCTGTGTTTCATCAGAATCACCAGTGTGTTTTATTTGAATCTACGTCTATCTAAAGGACAGGTGGGAAGCTTGAGTGTGATACGCATCTATTTGACAAGTAAAGCTGTTGAGTCAGAGCTGCATTAGGATGAAGGGGAATATTTAAAGTCTGAAAAAATCCTGGAACATCTCAGTCTCGTGTATCAGCTTTGTTCAAGTCAAAGATTTAAAAGTGCAAACGACTGACGGTGCTGCTATCACATGGCCTTGCATCCACTAATGATGTGACGAACGTTGCTCTTTAATGAGCCCATAAGGGAAAAGCTGTGAGGAGGAAGGATGATGGTGCACATGTGAGTGGTATAATGTTTAAAGCAACATGAGCATCCAGTCTGTGCTCGAATTTACTTTAATTTAACCATTTTATAAACATGGAAGGCTAAATATATTCAGGTTTCACTCATCTGAGGTGATGCTGTGCAGAGATACAATCAAAACACCTGAAAACGGATTATACCCTGAAACAGGGAATAGTACACTGACTGAAGTAGAGCCCCTGCATGACAACTCGGGGCCAATCCATTGACTGTATATAGAATGGACAGCGTCTACCTCCTCTCTGGGTGAAGCCACTCCGAGAACAGCACCCTTTGGTGACGGGCTGCAGTATAGGTCATAAATCCCGCCTCCTCCAGCAAAGCTTATGGAGCTGTGGACAAACTTCAGAAATTTATTACACAGAATATAATTTTTTCTCCCCCCTGCTTGCAATGTTGACACAAAGTTATTATAAGACTAGTTTGTGCTCAAGTCCTCTTTTTTCTGTACAGCTCCGTTTTTGAAAGTCATGAGGGGGTTCATATTTTCTATGATTGACACCTGATACAGTCTGTGGGAGTACAAAGATTGTGTAGCTCAGCTGGGGGATACGCTGTTGGAGCCGTGTGTCATCACAGTGACTCTTGGCGACTCTCCCGCTGAATGCGCACAATGCTACTGCGCAAGTGGTGGAGCGTGTACAACGCTACTGCGCAATGTTGGTTTCAGGAAGTGGAGAGAAAACGCGAAATTACAGAGAGCATTTTGGCCTTAAATCCATATACTTACAGAAGGCGGAACCAAGTTGTCCATAGTATATACAGTCTATGGGCCAATCCCAGTAGTCAATTGGCCCCTCCAATTGTTGATTCCTGCTATGTCATCATGCCTTGCCGTTTGCAGTGAATTTGGCACCCGGATCTGACGTCAGTGTAGCTATCACTAGCTAGCTTTATAAGCTAAAACGCAAACATTAAAAAAAAAAAAAAGCAAAAATTTGCAAGGAGTAGCAAAGGATTGAACGTCTGATAAAAAAAACATAATTGTCTTTAAAATCATATCAAACACTTTACCCTTTCTCAGGGGTTAATATTAGCCGGATCCTGTCGGAACAGGATCCAGCACCTCTCAATTTTGGCCTCCCTGTGTTCCGGTACATATTTGGGCAGATGTGGTACCTGTCATTAAAAGAAAAAAATGTTTAAAATAAAACAATAATATGCATATATTATTTTACAGAACAAATTCAAAGGATTTCATGTTGTTTATTAAGATTTAACGTCATTTGAAAGAGTCTGAGATCTGTTCACTGAAAAGCCGGGACCAACAAACCACGCCCCCTGACGCAGCAAAAAGGTATCTGAAATTCGCCACACCTGAGGAGCAAGCAGAGAGGAAAACCGGTTACCATTTTAACGCAAACATGTCAAAAAGACAGTTAAATAAACTGTTTTTTTTTATTTTTTCAAAAACAAGGAAGAGTTGCATGACACTTCAAAACGAGTCAGAAAAATCTCCACAAGCGCCGACGAGGGCAGCAGCAGTGCTCATGTTAACCAGCTGCAGCAGGAGGCTAGCGCCGAAACGGCTAGCCGGGTTTACCGACAGCTAGCCAAGCCGGTGCAGGAGGCTGTCACCGTGGGGGCAGCTGGTCAGGTTCACCGCCAGCCGGAGCAGGAGCCTGCTACAGCGCTAGCAGTCAGCCAGGTGGACCACCAACACCAGGAGCAACAGGAGGGAACCGCGACATCAGCTGGAAGAGTCAGAAGGAGAGGAGAGGACTGTGGGACGTGAGGTCGTGGGTGGTTAAAGGACACAGAACTGTCACAGACACATGCATTAAAACCCGAAAAAAGAGGAGGAGGAGAATCCGGACATGCTCGACTAAACACGGTGAGCATACTATCTATTAATAGGCCGCCGTGCCAATCTTTGAATAATAATTATAATGATGGCAGATTTGTTTGATTTATTAAAAATTATTTCATTTGAGAAATTATTTGCTGACTGTATACTGTAAGTCCCACCTGTGGTGATGTGGGCATTTGCCTGTGCTGTGCCTAAAATAATTGTAAATTAATATCGTCACAACAAAATACCATGGATATTATTTGCAATTGAGGCCTGTAAGTCCCACAGCGTGGCAAGTGGACATTTTTATGTTGTTTTCAGCACGTTTTCTTTACATGTTGCCCCTCTTGTCATACCTGAGCTATCATATACTTTGCCTTGCTTACCAGTGATGTCCTGATGGCGATATATGTTTTTCGTAGGATGGTAGGGGAAAGTCCCGCCTCCTTCGCCTCTGATTGGCGAGAAAAGCTGGAAATGACATCACACACTCAAGCCAAACACGGATTGTCGGCTCTGTACATCGAACAGAACATTATCGCACTTCTGAATCTCCTAATCCTAACCCTAACCCTCAACCTAATCCTAACCCTAACCTGACATATGATGACGTTTCACAGCTATAAGGAAAAACCAATTGGAACCCAGCATTTCTAGCCAATCAGAGGCGAAGGAGGGCGGGACCTTCCCCTACCATCCTACAAAGAAAATTAGCTATTGTGTACTTTGCCTTGCTTAGAAGTGAGGTCCCATGGTGATATTTTTTTTTTGGTGTGATGGTAGGTGAAAGTCCCGCCCTCCTTCACCTCTGATTGGCTAGAAGTGCTGGGCTCTGATTGGTTATTCCTTATGGCTGTGAAACGTCTGTCGGGTTAGGATTAGGGTAAGGGTTAGGGTTAGGAGATTCAGAATTGCAATTATGATCTATGATGGTGTGTTTGATGTACAGAGCCGACAGCCCACGCTCAGCTTGAGCATGTGATAACGTTTTACAGCCAATCAGAGGCAAAGAAAGCGTGACCTTCCCCTACCATACAACGAAAAAAAATATTGCGTCTCGGTGTAGGTACCAGATTGGCTCGACCTGCCAGATCGGCTTGGAACCCAGCGCTTGTTGAAGACGTCACACTACAGCAAGTCCACTCAGAAAAACTACATTGCGGTCCATTTAATTAGTCACATGTGCTCGGTTAAAAGCCTTTCGCGGCTTTCTTTATTTCTGTTTGTTTATTCAATTATCTCGAAACCATATAATACAGGGAATTACAACTTACTGTATTGTAATTTTTAGATGGCTTTAATTGTACGTGTTACCTTTTCTAAAGGAAAAAGAAACAAAAACACGCAGGATCTCAGTTTTTCAAAATATACTTTTGCTTTTATTCCACATTTCCTTTGGCAACCTAGAAGAGGCAGTCGTTCGGCTGTCGCAAGTCCCCTTTGATAAGTAGCAAGAGATTGCTTCCTAAAATCTGTCCATGTTTTCTCTCCCATGAAACTTAATCTGAAGACCAGTCACAATCTTCTACATCATCCGGACCAACTTCCAGCCAATCATATAGCCTGATGTCATCAACAGGCGCCAGACCCCGAGCTAATCTTGTGTACCCCTTGCCCTTCACCTTAACCTTACAGAACATTGGGACACCCCTTCGCTTGTCATGAACGTGCAAAATCAAGAGCTAAGGGGTACAATTGGGATTGGCCCCTAATGTGCATAAGATTAACTTGTTTGCATGTAAATATCATCTTGTGCACAAGTGAAAATCATCTTGTGCACAGTTATACGCTTGTGCAAAACAATATGATCTTGAGTAATGGTCAAGGTTATCTACAGGATAACGACTGTGTGCTCTATATTAGGATCACGTGTGGAACGATAACACTGTGTCATTTACAAAAATGCACAAATAAAACAGTGATTTCAGTTTCAGGAGCAAAATGAACTTTATTTTTTGCACTTGTAGATCTATAAATTCATTTGATCCATTTGAACAATCTTAAATATGGTAACACCTTTAAATATACTGATTATCATCAGGTACATACTGCAGTTATACGTCAGTCCTACAGTATGAGTCCTTAGTGTCACACGTCACATTACTCTTAGTCTGCTCGTGACGAATGTGTTAAATAATCTTAGTGTGAGAGAAGAGAAACAACATACATCAGTGCTGAGGGATTAACTGGAGAGTTAAGATTTGTAACAACAGTCTGCAACCTTTTTTAATTCTCTTATTTTAGTGTAAAGTTCATTACAAAAGAATCGGAAACAACGCATCCTGTAAAGACTGTGAAATTTGTGCCATGCGACGACAGAGAAACAAAAACCGATCCCCCTGGTGGCAGTTGTGTAACTTTCTAAAAAGATGTTCGCTGCAGGTCAGAAACCGCCCGACTGGAATAGCTGCTGAACTGAAAGAGAGGATAAGTGGCGTCGTGGCCTTTTCCCTTTGAATACTTATTCACTTAACTCATCACTAATGGGCTCTCAGAGCTCGGACGCACAGCTGAGCCACTGCCTGTAAATAGACTTTCACTATTGAGCTTGAACACAAAAGAAAATACAGCACGGTACGCTTGCACACAAACACACTCAGGCGGTCACAATAGGTCCACACAAACGGCGCTCAGTCGACCTCACATCCATCTCTGTGCAAAGGTTTGAGTTCAAAGAGTTGTTGTGCAAATTGAAGATTATAATACACTTGTTAGGACGCTCCCTCACACCCTTTGTTTATGAATAAATGCATCGAATGTGACAAAGATGAAGTTTCCCTGAACTGAAAGTTTGTGTCAGTGTTGGTGAAGCCAGGTAAAGGTGGAGAGAAGCAGATAGCTGCCCTGTAAGATCCTCCTCCTCCTCCTGATTGGACCAAACTCTTCATGTATGATCACACCAGGAGGGGGAAAGTAAATGCACCGACCTCCCTTCATCCCTCGTTTCATCTCCACTCAGTCTCCCCCTGCAGACATCTTCCTCCTCCTAAAAAAAAAAAAAAAGCAATCAGGCTGAGAAGAGCGCTCCTGCAAGTCAGCCAGCAGGGGGGTTAAGCCCGCGCTCCTCTCAGCTCCCATCATCCTCCTCTCCAGGAGCTGCAGAGACGAGATGGATAATCTTTCTCCCGGTGTAGCGGAAAGCTTCCGTCAGTTCTCCACGTTGGCCCTGAGTGTGCGCGGTCTCAGCTTCTGCTGCAGACGGTAGTCCTGGCTGGCCGCTCTCCTCAGCGGAGCGGGGGAGTTGAGCTGAGGGTTGGCGCCGAGGCCGGGCGTCTGGGTCTTGGCGGCTCGTGAAACCGCCCGGCTGCAGCTCAGGGAGCGTCTTTCCTCCACGCTCGACTGGGACTCCAGCTGAGCCTCGCAGAGCTCCAGCAAGGACAGAACCTGCTCCCTCAGAGGCAGGGATTTGAACCTGCGACCCGCCAGGTAGAAAAAGGCTTCCACGAAGGCCTGAAGTCCCATACCTGAAATTCACCAAGCAACAAACCAACAGTTAATACCACTGCGGTGAGAAACATGAACTTCAAGCCCGATACAAGACAGTATTTGAATAAATCTCAGTAAGTGTAAATCTCTGAAACTTCCCCGCAGCCTCCAAAGTTACACTTCTTGAAAAAAACGTCCGTCATAATTTATAAACGCAAGTTTTCAGCCTTTTCTTGATTCTCCTCAAATCCTCAACTGCACAGACTCACAAGTACCCGACTCTGCCTTCAGTCTCCTTGAATACGTATGAGCTCGCTCTAAATTCAGCCCACTGTCTCCTCTGTACAGGCCCCTCCATCCGGCTCCATGTGATCTCCACCCATCCATCCATCCGCTCCGTCTCGCAAACATTCCTCACAAGGTGCAGAGTCTGAATAATTCATGTCGGAGGCTCTCTTTGCTGTCACAATGTGATCTCAGCTCATTTCAATTACAGCAGCGGCGTGTCAGAGGAGATCTGACAAAGAATGACACGCAATTATCTCCCCGCTACATTATTTGCTCAGAGTCTCCAGTACACCTCGCTCTCTGTTGTGTCTTTGTACGATACTTCTCTGAGCAGGAGTGTGTGTGTTTTTGAGCTCATGCGTGTGCGTTTACCTGCTTCTCTGGAGTCGGGCACGGCTCCTGACCAGCGGCGTGTGATGTCGATGTAGAGGATGTCCACTGAGGCCATGGTGAAATTACTGTTGCTCAGTTTGCAGGTCCTGCAGAACAAATACAGAGTCAGTACAAATGTTTGACTTCTATCACATTTATGAAGTTTGAATTCACGATTTTGAGGTAGGAAGAAAAGTCTCATAGTGTAGGGATCAACAGTCTTGTAAACAAACTTGTATAAAAGATTAAACTGTTTGTTAGAGGCGATTTTTTATGCTGTGTAATGTGCTGATAATTAGCTATCTCTGTTTTCAGGCTGCACAGCTAATTAGCTGTGAAGCCTGAAAACATAGATATCAGTCGCCTCGGCCCAGCGAGATTTGTTTGTTAGCTTTTTCATCTTGATAAAGAAAAGGACAAAATGAGTTATTTATTTGGAGGTTACACAGGAAGGATGCTCTGATTTAGTTTGAGAAGAGAGTATCATAAAAGATGAAGTACTCCACAAATATAATAGTAAAATACAGACGAGAAACAGATGGACAGAGAGTAATGTTGGGTGGTATGAACAAAGTTTTATATTACTGTAAAAGTAATTTCATATCACGGTAAAAGTATATATCACGGTATGTGTTTTTCTCCCTGTACATTTACAGACCAGTCTGGCGACTTTTTATCATACGGCATACCTTTGGCGAAAGACTGCCAAGCTCTTTTGTATGAGAGGAGCCGCTGCGACTTTAGTTTTTGGTGCAGCAGGTGCGCCACGCACAGCCACATGACACTCTTTGCATAGTATTGTTTTGTGATCGTTGTTGCATTTTCTAAATCAGAAGAATCTACAGACAACCGATGTCGCGACTCGTGCCCTGTGTGGGAACGAGTTCCTCCTCCTCTTCCTCATGTTGGGTGGGTTGGCCTGCCTCCCTATACTCGGTACTGCCACTAATCTCTGTGTTCGCCATGACCACCACCAGTGAACTGTATCTTCTTCGTTGAAACAATGCCAAGCAGTCTGCTGGACATGCTGGTGGTCATAGGGAGCGCACCCAAACCATCTAATCAAACGGAGTGAACAAACTCAGCACGACATGCTGGTGAATATACGTAAACGCACCCAAACGGATGCGCTCCGGATTTCCTGTTAGCGAGCGAAGACAACTACACACTGACTCAGAGAGATGCAGCAGACATCTGCTCACTCTCTCCGGTATAAACAGTACCTGTGATTTATTTTACACTTTTATACCATTGCACGCTATACACCGTCATACCGCTCAACTCTTGTCAGGGTGTGTATGAAAAGCTAAGGCAGGGGGAGCAGCAGCAAAGACTCATACCTGATGAATGTTCTGAAGGCAGTGGGGCCCAGACGCATGTTTCCCTTGACCCCGAGGAAGCGTATAAAGAGAGCTGCAGTCCGCTCCACCAGCCGCAGGCAGTTGAACTGTTTGGTGTATTTGGGGTAAACCTGCTTCAGACACAGCGAGGGCAGAGCTCCATCATCGGGACTCCTCGCCGGTGTCTCCGCCTCCATGGGAATCTCCTCTCCACGCTCAGCCCTGGGCTGAGAGCTGCAGGAACAAAACCGTCAGTCAGAAACAAAATAGATTTTACCGCTTTATGATTTTACGATGGACACTTTTGAGCTCGTAAGCAGAACTTGAGAGTTCCTGTTTCGTGCTGTTTAGCAGCAGAGGCTGAATAACGGCCTTCAAGCCCTGCAGGACTCGGAGCGGGAGATTATAAGGCCGGCCCAAAGAGCTTCTGTCAGCTGAGTTGCAAAGAGCCAAGCACCTGAAAAAGATAAATGAACCATGCTTTGCACTTTCGTCAGCACATACAGTGTGGTTTGGCAGGAGAAACAGGAAGAGTAATGTTCTATGAGGGATAAATAACTCTTTATCTCACGGCTCAGTACAGGCTCTTTACAGTCGGTGCTTACATCAACAACATTTAGCTGCATTAGTGGTGAGGCGCGGCTGCATGCCACAGGTTTTACCTCCGACTTTCAGAATCAATTTGAAATTCTAATGGAGAGAAATCTGATGCACCTCTCAGAGTTTGGATAGTTCTGAAAGTACGACACAAGGGCAGAGACTCTGGATGGAAAACTTGTGGTCCAGGTGACATCTTTAGGAAAGCCAAAGCTGTGACCAGATCCATTTCTTTTAATGACGGTAGATAAACGGTGATAGTTGCAGCTGATTATTGGTGTTGAAGACCTAAAATACTGACTTTAAGAACTTGTATCAGTCACTTTATTGGTAGATCCCGAGGAGAGGGTCAATTTTTAGAGTGCTATTGATCATGCAACAAACACAAATGCACAAACAAGACCCAATTGAAAGGCATTCAAGTCGGTGCCTTGTGCATGAGCATCTCAGCAGTGTACCTCTCTAACTACCAGTCCAATTATCGGGCTTTGGTCAGGACCGGCATTTAACCCTCTAGTTCAGGAGCCAAATCCCAGCAGACAGAGACACGACTGCCTTCAAGTCTGGCCAATTAATTCAGCCAAAAAGTGGCACGAAAATAGTCGAAAATTTCAGAAGTTGGACTAAAAATGGGTCAAAATCTCCTTCCAAGAAAGTCTTGTTGACACAGTTTTTGACAGATTGCCACCGATGAAATAGTCTGGAAACTTTAGCATGAATGTGTGTTACACCTGCATGCTCAAAACACCCTCTTAATGGATATACAAATAAAACAGATATAATTTCGACACTGTTTAACAGAGCTATACAATAATGATAATATACATGCTAAACTTGTAAACTAACGGGTAGGACTTATTGGTTGATGAATACGTTCTTTCAGTCCTTCTGCGTTATTCCTCTCTGTGTCTTTTTAGCTCCTTGGCTGATGGATGGCACACTGAAAAATGAATATGTGCCACAAAGCAAAATAAATAGACAATAAAACAGAAGGTTGTCTTTTTTAGGGGGGGTTAATGTCTTCACTGAGAGGACAGGATAGTGGATAGATTCTGAAATATGGGTGGGGGTCATGCAGTAAACAGCAATAGGTAGAAATCAAATCCAAGGCTGCAGCTTTTAGGACTAACACCTCTGCACATGAGGTGACGGAGGTGGGCACACCTAAAAGATGACCTTCAAAGTCCCAAACAGCAAGTCCAACAAACCCACTCATCCCCTCCTCCTTCTCTGCTGTATATCCTGTTTTTCTGTGTTTTCTCCCATCGACCCGCCGAGCCATCATTGTGCTTTTCTCTGGGGATTTGCAGCCTCCTTCGTGCGTTCCCAAAATGATTGAAAACCATGAATCCCTGGACGGTTTTAGGAATTTAAAGGCATGAACACACCATTCTTGACTGACATCTCCCTCCCTCTCTTGTTCGCCTCTCTGCACCTGTTTTTACGAGGCTTTCCCAATTACAACGTTATCTTTATTATGAGCTCGTCGTGGAGAGCGGCGACCTTCAACAGCTGTCACCTGTGAGTGCTTAGAGGCCAAAATAAGTGAATACCTCCTGTGTAGGTGCACAGGGCCTTTAAGGACAAGAAAAACACACAAAGGTACATTCACATCAAGGGGTTACAGTGCTGTTGACTTTTATGAGACAGCTTCTTTCTCCATGAATTAGTAAGCAGTGTGAATAGCACTGAGAGAGCACTGCTGAATGTTTCATAGAATCAATCATCCCTCAGCCGCCAGAGGGACCACCCACATCTGTTTAGAAAGGACAGGCCGGGCTAAAAACGGACACGTCTCCAGCAGACGCTGACAACCAGACAGACAGTGAAGGAAATGTCTTCCAGCATTCCCCAGAGACGGAGAGCGGGAAATGATGGAGGTGAAGCGAGAGGGTAAGAGGTGAAGAATGGCAGGTTATTAAAAAGACATACAGAGGCCCGGCGCCAAATGCTAGCTGAGTGCAGCGAGGAGGACCGGGCTCTAATTCAGCTGTCATTACCCTGTATAAATGCTATTTCAGGCCTCCTGGTGGATAAATCTTCAAAGCTGTTTCCTGCTGTTGAGAGTCTTTAAAGGTGGCAGATGTGTCACTGAAAGGAAACCCAATACTGTCCATGCACTTCTCTAAATTTTGGAAATTTAAATTTATCGCCTGAGCTTTTCTCAGAGCGTGAGTCATATCAGAGCACAAAGCAAACAGACTCCCGGCGGCAACAATAAACCTTTTGTGTGTGCAAAGGAGTAGAAATCTGCTCTCTTTTCTCATCGGTTTCCATCCACAGAAATGTAGATTTACAGTTGTATACATTTACACAAAAACGTGACAATGAAGGGTTGTTTACCGCCATGCAGCTACAAGAAAAAGAATCTTTCAGCTTCTTATTGTCGTATCACCATCCTTATGTTATGGTGTTAATTTCAGATGCATTAGCAGAGTTTCCCCTGGAATTTTTTCCGCTGTTCAGGTTCGCTGTTACCCCCACTCTCATACCGTTCAAGGAACTACGCTGTTACGTTCACGTTGCGTTACCCGCGCTACTCGCTGTATAAACCGTGTATCAGCTTGAAGTTACCCTTCACATTAATGGAAGAAACCCATTTTTATTCATTGGCTTTTAACCCTGCATGAGACTCGGCTCCTGTTTTAGTGTTCTATGGTTTGTTTTTAGTTATTTGTTTCTATGTTTTTAAATTAGTTTTTAAAAACATTGAAGCTATATTTTATTATTAATTCTGCTTTTATTTTATCCATTGTTTTAATTGTTTCTTGATTGTTTTTTATCTTGTTGTTATGTCTAGTTATGTACAGCACTTTGTACAGCTGTGGTTGTTTTAAAGTGCTCTACAAATAAAGTTGAGTTGAGTTGAGTTGAATTGAAGAGGGTCCAACAGGATGATGTGTTCGTTGACACCTCAAAACAAGTTGAAAATAACGTGTGTTGTTGTGCTCACACAGCGCGAGTAGAAATCATTAGTGGCGCATTGATATTATTGCTATTAATGCTATTTATGCTACTCGCTACATAGAGCGTGTATAAGTTTGTTACTTTCACGTTGATAGAAGAGGGTCCGAGGGTTTTGAGTCATCAACAAGTGCATCGAATCCTGTCGAAAAATAAGGGTGTGTGTTGTTGTGCTCACACAGCGTAACTAGAAATCATTAGCGGCGCATTGATATTAATGGTCATGTGAAATTTCAGTAGCGGTGCACGTAATTCAGCAGCGGAAAATGTAGGAGAAACACTGATTAGGCATGCATTTATAATTTCCTGCTAGCTAAGAGTGACATTCATACAGTCTCTGAAAACGTACAACAGTTTAGTTCAGGGTTTGTCCTCAGCTGCCCGGTTTGCACTCAGACCACCTCTGCGCTTTGGTTTCTTTGTACGCAGATGACGCTATTGTGATGGTGTCAATTTAAACCCTATCTGAAAGTGCAAGTGGATGAATTTCAGCCTTTTGTTCACCCGCACTCTCCTCTCTTACAGGCCCATAAATCAAGCTCAGAGGCATTTAACACAGGACTAATGAGCTGAGTGTGAGACATTCATGTCCAGAAGTCGTACCCTTTTCCTCACGATCCCCCATTTTTGTCTTTACCCTTTTCTCCAAAATGCCACCTCTCCCTTTAATTCTGCCATTTCATATGAACTTGTCTCTCTTACATAAGCTCTCACTTTGAACCCTTTAAATAGCCACACTTTTTTTTTTTTGTACTCAGCTGTACGTTTGTACGAAGAGCCTGCTCACTTCTCATCTCTCTTTCACTCAGTCCTGATAAGTCAAACTCATCCAGGGGTGAATCCAGTTGAAACTCCATGTCCTGAATGATTGAATCCCATCCATCCCACTGCACAACAGCTGTCAATGACCTCAACACAACACAGCACACACTCTGCCCCTGCTTGACCATCTGCGCTGTGACAAATGAGTTAACCTCCTGTAAAGATGTTGGGAACATTTTGTCCCTGCAACAAAATCATTCTGAACAAGAATCCAAATCAATGCGGGTCCATTAAAATCCAACCAAAGAGATTTGGTTCTGATTTTGAACGGCAGCTTCTATCCTCAATCTTCTTCATCCTGCAGCTCCCCGACAAGAGAGTGAAAACACACCTGTCACAATGCCAATCAAAAGAGCTGCTGGCTCTCATACAGAACTGTTAACAAATCCTCGTCTCCCTTGCATGACTCACCCAGAAAACAATATTGTTCTGATCTGCCAATGATCGTCTTCATTGATCCAATAAAAACCTGATCTACAATCTGCCAAGTCGCACTAACACTACATCAATAGTGAGTTTTCTCAGAGCCAGAGGACATCGTTAAAATGCTTTTTTTCAGGTTGGACACTCAGATTGATTTGATCTGGTGAAAAGAGTTTTGGCAGGTTTTGAAACCACATCCAGTTCAAACTGGTGTCTCTTTTCTTTATGAGCTACAAAAGAAAAACCAGACTATTGGCAACGAGAGTCTCCGGCTGTTTCTTTGTGTTTTTAACTGCCTGAAAGCTCTGCCACAGAGTAGGTGTCAGACAAAGTTTTTACTTGAAAAACAGTTTAGACGCCAAAAACAATCTAAGAAGACAATTTTCTGTTTTTATGACAGCAGTTTCTAATGATTGGTTTAAAGTTTGATAAACAAAAATAACAGAAGTATTAAAGAAAATTGGTTCAATGAAAGATATCTGAGAGCTCCTGAAGAATTACTCAAGTTTTTGTACATCAATTTATATGTATAAACGCAACCAGATCCAATATTCGACCCTCCAAAATTGTTCTCTACAAAGTCATTGTCTGATTTTTTTGTCGTTAGGGTTTGCTGCTTTTGATGCCCCCCGTGGACAAACTGATGCCTCTCATCTTTTTCATGATTTTGGACTTTTCTTGTGTCATCCTTTTGTTAACAGTCAAAAGTACCAATCATTCAGAATTTCTGCTGTGGAAAATGTAAACAAAGACTGTTTAGCATCATGTAATTAATCAATATCTCTGTCAGCCTGCCTGCCATGGCATTTTCAGGCATTAAACATCGTAATACATAATATATACCTCGGTGATTATGGTCGACTGTAACTTGCTAAATGCTACAAAGTCTTTCAGTAATGTGGTTGAAGATGGTCTGATCTCAAAAGATGGGACTCAGTCTGATCCCATCTTTACATTGGGTCTTTGTAAACAGAATCTGGTCTAGACTACCTTTTTGTTAAGCTTCTCGGGATAAAACACTTGCTGTGAATTAAGGTCCTTTCACTCCAGGACCGTTTTTTACATGCAATTATTTCGGACGTCAATACTTTTTTTCGAACCAGTATTCTGTCAATACAAGCATTCACATCAGCGATGTTTTCCTGTCCTGCAATATTACGGCATTTATATTTTGGATCACGGTCAATTTTTCTTAAGTTTCGCATACTGTGTGTCCACTTCTGACCAATCAGATTGCGAGTTGTTGCAACATCAGATTCACTGGTGTATCCAACATGGCCGACCGGCTGATTGTTTACGTGTCAGAGAACAGAGTGCTTTTTGATAAAAGACACAAATATTACAAAGATAACGACCTGAAGGACAACTTGTGGAGTGTCATGGCGTCAGATCTCTCATATGACGATGGTTTGTGTGCTTTAACAGTTTGCTAAACGTGTTTGTTTTAACTTTCATCTGTGCTAAGTAACTTTAGCTCATAAGCTAACCTGTTTAGATACAACATACCATATGTATTTTCACTGTCTCAAACTCAATCACGTTGCTGTCACAGCACCATTAGGTCTCTGTTGTTACCTTATGTTTATGGATTATAGTTTAATGTGCTTATCTGGTACTGGCCCCGACTCAGTACATGCTATCATGACAGACAGACATCTCAACACTAGTGTCTAATCAGAACTGAAAACAGTCAGTCTGCTGTTGTGTCAGTCTTCTCTCTTCCACCCGGAAAGTCGCAAAATCGCATCAGGCTTTATGTGTATAGTCAGGCGCGTCAAAATTCGCCCCGAATATTTTGTAATTTCGTGTTCTATATTCGCATCGGCCCCGGTGTGTAAGGACCTTTAGAGTGATACAAATCAAGATTGACTGATTTCTGTGTGTTTCAAAAGCAGCTAAAAACTCATCAGGTGCTTTAGAGAAAATGAAACTCAAAAAGTTTTTAATATTTTGACTTGATTTGACTGACAAACTAAAAATTGATGTTATTTATTTGGCCAAATCTGTATTAGCTCAATCAAAATGCTATCTAAAGCAACCCTGAGTAACCCCATGAGGTCTAAGTGGACATTAAAAGTATCAGGCAAATTAGATCAAAGGATTATGGGTCCTTTAAATAAGGTAGATAAGAATTAATAAAGGAAGCATCTGCAATTTTATGACTAAGAATAACCACTACCAAGTGTAAGATGTAGCCCTGCTGCTTCTAGTGCTATAGAAATAAAGCAAAGGAGGAGGTAAAAGGATTAAGGACATTATAGGCGCCTTATATTAATACGGTTTGGTTCATGAGTAGAATAGTTAAGCAGGTATTATCCCTGAGAAGACATCCCTCTCACATGCAGAACTAAGTAGATCATAAAGACGATAATCAGGAGAAGGGGAGAGAAGAAGGAAGAGATGATAGTGGAATAGAAACCGTTAATCTTCTTGTCAAAAAAGAAAAACAGATTGAAAAAAGGAAAATAAACCAACAAAAAGGAGATTTATAGCCAGGGAGCACACAGAAGCACTCAGCCAAAAAAGCCCGAGCCACTAGACTTGTACAGCTACGTGTGAATTTCCACCGGCGCTCAGCTGAATTTAATTTTTCCAGTTAACAGGCTTATAGAGAGCTGTGGAGTGCTGCTGAGCTGGGCTCTGAGAGTGAGATATCATGTCCTTAAAAGTGGACTCTGAAGACCAGCAGACAAAGAGTGGAAGATGTTGAAACTTCAGTTGGTGTGTGTATGTGTGTATAGAGTTTTTGTATGTTAACCTCGCAGGTTTCTTTAGGCCTGGGTCCATAAGGCGCAGAGTGTCCCTGATCACACCCACTTTGACCTCTTCATCCACGGGACTGGGAACATACTCGAAAACTCCCGGTGACATCTGAAAATGAGCATGCATACATATTTGAAATAAGAGGAAAAAAACTACGGGATGTGATGATGTTAAAGTTGACATTCACTCTCACCTCTTGTTCATGTTCTATTCTCATACTGGGGTTGGAGTTGACCTCTAGTAACACTGGCTTCAGGTTCTTCATCAGCAGGATGTCAAAACCTAATATCTGAGACACAATCAGATTTTGCTTTTTTACTTCCAGACTGCGAAGTTAAATAAAAGATACCATCTTAAGGTCCTTTCACACCGGGACCGTTTTTTGTGTGCAATTATTTCAGATGTCTATATTATTTTTCGAACCCGAATCCTGTAAATACAAGCGTTCACATCAGCAACGTTTTCTCATCCTGCGGTATTGGGACATTTATTTTTACCGATCATGGTCGATTTTTCTTAAGTTTCTGGGTGTCCACTTCTGACCAATCAGATTGCGTGTTGTTGCGATGTCTAATTCACCATTATATCCAACATGGCCAACCTGCTGATTGTCTACATCTCGGAGAACAGAGTGCTTTTTGATAAAAGACACAAACATTACAAAGATAATAACCTGAAGGACAACTTGTGGAGAATCACAGCGTTGGATTTCTCATATGACAATAGTTTGTGTGCTTTAACAGTTTGCTAAACGTCTTTGTTTTAACTTTCATCTGTGCTAAGTAACTTTAGCTCGTAAGCTAACCTGTTCAGACACAACATACCATATGTATTTTCACTGTCTTAAACTCAATCGTGTTGCTGTCACAGCACCATTAGGTCTCAGTTGTTACCTTACGTTTATGGATTATAGTTTAATGTGCTTATCTGCTACTGGCCCTGACTCATCACATGCTACCGTGACAGACAGTCATCTCAACACTAGTGTCTAATCAGAACTGAAAAACACTCAGTCTGCTGTTGTGTCAGTCTTCTCGTTTCCACCTGGGACGCGTCTTTTTCCCCCCCGGATAGTCGCAAAATCGCATCGGGCTTGATGTGTATAGTCAGGCGCGTCAAGATTCGCCTCCGAATAATTCTGAATTTTTGGTCATATATTTGCATCTGTCCCAGTGTGTAAGGACCTTTATACTTTGTTCCCCTACCTGGAAGCAGGTGGGTCCTGGTTTGCCAGGAGGTATATCAGCCTGATAGTAGACCTTCAGTTCTGGCACCACTGCGATGACAGTCTTGATGACGAGGGCGATGATGTCCGACCACACCCTCTTGATGTCCACACCTTTAGCTGCCAGCCTGTAAAGCACGCTGGAGAGAGTACGCTTGCTGCCCGTGTTCTGGCTGTCTGAGTGCACAAAGTTCCCGCTGTGGACGTTGAGCGAGTAGTTAGTCAGGTGCATAAAGACATGGGTGAGATTCTTCTGGCTTGGTTCCTACAAAAAAAAGAAAAGACAAGAATAGTGTTTAGTCATTAGCTATAAAAGCTCCAAATCAGAATTGTTAGCGATATCAGTGTCATCATCCGACCTGGTAGGGCTCGGTGCAAAAACGCGTCAAGCCCTCTTTGGCAATGTAGATCTCCAATGGCTCCAAAGACTTAATCAGCACATAAAGGCGAATGTCAAACTTGAGTTTGTCGATGAGTAACGGTTTTTGGATGTACTCCTGTACCACGGCCTGTTTGGCCTGCGACCCCGCCATGACTCTCAGTTCACTTGGGTCACGGATGAGGTAGATGCCGTCCCCCTGAGAGCCTCCATCCGGCTTGACAATGAAGGTGGGATTTAGTGTGGCATCCTTCTCCTTCACCATACGAATCTACAGTGGAAGTATGAAAGAGAGGGAAAACGTTTAAAAAAGACGGAGCAACAAAGCTGCCCCAAAGTAGGATAAGTTAACCAACAACTGAGGCGGAGGCGGGACTATGGCGCCTTTCTCCAAGATTATTAGTGTAGTAGAGATAGGGGTGTCCGGATACAACTTTTTGATTTCCGATACGATAACAATATTTTAGCCTTCAGTACTGACCGATACTGATATTGATCAGATTTTTCACTCAACGTCTTTTTCTGACGTAAACAAAAAATACTGCCACAAGGCCGACATCACTCCTACTCCTTGCTACTTTGTTAGTACCTTAATACACACTGTTGTTGTGATTCTGTGGGCTTAGCTTGCTGGATCAGGGCGCTGCTAGATAGAAGTGCCCGAGCGGAGTCTGGAATGGACGGCTTGTACTGGAGTGCTCATATCAGAGATTTTAGATGCAGGGTGATATAATCTGATATTTGTTTTTTTGCTGATATCGGACCGATATCCGATATCAATATTGTATCGGGACAACCCTAAGTAGAGATATTGGACATGAAGCGATGACATCAATATGCCTGTGAGTATATTTCTCAAAAATGGATGGAAGGTGAACCTCTATCCAGAGCTGTCATCCCTCCACAAATGTAGTTGGTTCTGTTATTCAGTCTTACCCTTATCTCTACACACAAGCTGAAACAGCTTTAATGAATGAACAGAAATGTTACTTTAAATTGCGCTATACCAATGCATCCTCACTGACACTACCGGTGACAGAACACAGTGTACTGAAGCCTCAGATATGTTTTTAAGATTATCCAGAGGGAGCCTGTCCTGTCGGCTCAAAACTAACACCGAGTGAAAATGTGATCTTCTGATGCCCCCTGCTGGACAAGGAGCAGCACTGCTGCTACATGTAAGGAGGATTTTACTGAGCCTTAAAACAAAAAGCTCATTCAGGTATAAAACACAAGCCCACTCACTAAAACAGAAGCTTTTATATATGGTAATGAGAAGTATTATAGAGTATCATAAAGCAGCTTTAGTTCATGTCTTAGCTTGTCAAAATGTCATGGAGGAAAATCAAGTCCAGACCCTCTTCGATGAGCATAAACACATAAATCTTGATGAATATTTCCAGTGAGACTTCATGTCCCTTTTAGTCTTTAAATAGCACGTTCTGTAACTCGCTGCGACGTGCTCCAACATTGTTCTCATCAGGGAAAACCAGCTGAGGGAACGTCATCCGTCCCCTGCCCTCTTCACAGCTCTTTCTCTCAGTCCGGAGCGTCTACACTTGCTCTGAACACTGTATTTCCTCCACGAGATAATCCTAGCAGATTCAATCATGTGTTAAGAAGTGCCTGATGACCATAAAGGGAGATATTCAGAAATGTGGAACAGTTGGTCGGCTCTGCCTGGAGGAGAATGAGCAATGAAGCGAGTGCATGACACAAGAATTAAATAACACATTCACTGTTGCAGTAAAGTGTAGTCACAGAGAGGGAGAGAGGAAAATATCACCAGCAGAATCTGTAACTTTGAAATCCGTTATGTAATTGTTACATTTAGATGATGAAGTTTAAAAAAGACATCAAACAGAAGCAGCCTCTTTTCTGTTTTGAACATATTTCTGCTTCAAAAGCCTCTTCAGCCTGATTTACAATCACAGACTCAGAAAAGAAGCATCCAGTCCACACAGAGAACAAAAAAGGACTTAAGTGAAAACCAGATATTCTGCTTTATCGCTATGTTTCAAGTAAATTATATAAATGGCTGAGGAACTGCTGTTTTTTTTATTGATGCAACCCTTCATTAGATTTCTTCTGCAGCCAGTTCCCCTTTGATTTCACAGAGCCAAGAAGGGAGTGTTTCCAGCGTAATCTGCAAACACAGGTCCTCTCTTGACCTCTGATCGCAGGATAAGTGCAGGTGTAATTAATGGCATTTACGATGGCCACATTCCCTTTAGGTTTTACAGGGTCATAGCTACGCTGCCAGGCCTGTTGACCTGCTCGGTACGTTCTCCTTAGCCTCCAGCTAAAGTGGAATAAAATGGAATTCAGACATTATTAATGAGAGTAAAAGGCAACAATTTCTCACTGTTGTACATTCAAGGCTAACTATGATATTGTGCATATTTAAATCTGAAATAACCAGGTTCTGACCATTACACGATTTCCCTTAAGACATGTTAAAACAACCTCTTAAAAGTCTCACTTTTGACCAACTATAGGTTCATGTAAGGACCTCTTTTACCGTTTTTCTTTCTTTGATAGGTTTCAAACTTTGAGCTTGGTGTTGATGTATTAATGTCCTGAGGGCTCTACGTGTTGCAAAGCAGTTAGGAGAGAAAATCAGGTCTTTTCCTCTCTGATTCACGTCTTTTTTGGCCAACACTGCACCCTCTATTTATTCACTTACTTACAACCATGTTGAACCATGGCTGTGCTCTTCCTCTCTCCCTCTTTCTACCTCTTTGAAACTGAGACGATAGACCAGCTAAGGACAACTAAAAGATGGCACGCACCCTGCCCGTAAAGATTTAAAATACAAATAGACTTTCTTGCGAACCAGACTCTAAACCTGTGATTTCAACCTCTAATTGGTGATTTATCAAAATACAAAATACAGACTCATTCTGTTTAATTCGACTGGATGTGTCTTGTTGCAAACTAAAAATCAACTTTTTTAAAAAAAATTTTATTTAGTTTTTTCTTTTTTAACTATAGACACTGAAGTAAGTTGTCTTTCAAAATATCATGTCCTTGTGTTGACTAGTCTGAAAGGTTAGGCCTACTGTACAAACTCACTATGAAATGTAGCTGGAGGGAGAAATATAAAACAAAAACTTGTTTTACCACTAAAACAAGAATAAATTCCACCAAGAAACAAAAATGAGGGGGAAAAGCGATAAAAGTAATACCACTTGCTTTCCATTTAAAAGTTTTGTTTTGTTCTTAATTTCATTAGCATCTATCAGACTCAGTTTAAGTGCATCTGCTTGGTATCTTGTGACCGGATCCAATGTGTGACCCTTGAAGACATGACTCCGAATGTCACATCGAGATATTAAATGGTAGTAATAAAACAAGCCGTAGATGTTCTAATACACTTTGCTAAAATGAAAAAGTGAATTATATCGTGGGCTGTATATGCTGTTGCTTGCCAATGCTGGCATCATAGCCCTTTTTTTATTAAGCCCACATGTCCAGCATGGAAATACTTTAAACTTTAAGATGAACACAGTCTGATAGAATGATTAAAAGAAAGAGTCTGGAATAAAAAATGGATTTGATGGGTTTAATTTAATCTTTTCGATTCGTTTTGTGATTTTTTTTCTTAGGAGGTGAACTTGGGAAGTGTGTGATGGTTAAAACCTCAGGGGGATTGGTGAAAAGGTAATGCATATGGAGGGACTTAGTAGACTGGCTGACATGAAACCTTCCACTTCTTGCAATATTCAGTTTGTGACCCAAGAAGTCTTAAAAAATCTTCAACTAACTCACTAAAACTCACTTTTCCTCCTGGGCACTTAGCTGGGTCTCGAACATAGGGCAATAAGTCATCGGCATATAAAGACACTCTAGGTTCTATGCCTCCTCACAATACACTTGTTAAAATAGCTGTGTTCAATATGACATCGTAAAACTTCAAATGCATTGTAATATGAGTTTATTAAAGCATCAGTAAAAGATATATATCATTGAGAAAGCGAAAAATGCCAAAAAGATTACAGAGAAGGTGGTTGAATTCATCGATTTGGAAAACCAGCCCATCTCTCAATGGTAGATAATGTAATTATCTGAAAGTGATCCAAGTCAAATCCAGTTTGGGGAAGTTTTTCAAATTCAATAATCCTGATTTTAGTCTAGCAGCTGGACATCTCCATTGGAATCTAAAACCTTTACATGAAAAAGAATTTTAAGCATGCCAAATGTATGCATGCTAGTTACTTTGCTTCTAGACAGCAGAGCATATATGAGTTTTACAGCAACGCTAGCTGAACTAAGTTCGATGGAATAAACTGAAAACATATTTTGGTTCATTTATTCACTTAAGTTATTTTTATTGTAGAAAACAACAACAACAAAAAGTTTAAAGCTCGTTAATCTTGGCTGATATGAGTATCAGATCGAAACTCAGAATCGGCACAGAGTCCGATCAGGATTGTGGGCCAGAAAGCTGATCAGGACATCCTCACTCAGACACAAAAATACATTCAGCACTGAAACCAAAGAAACACATCAATAATCCAGAATTCGAGCACTCCTTCAGCTCTGTACCTGTGTTGAAAACTGCTGATACTCCTCAGGAAGGATCCAGGAACGAGGATAGAAGTCGTACTCATCTGGGAACAGCTCCTGCATAGTCCGCATTGCTCGACTCAGGTTGATCTTTCTCAACATCTCTATCATCCCTGCAATGCATAATGCACAGTATCAACGATTTAGTGCGAATACAATAGACTCACGCGCGGCAGGAGACTCCATTGATGTAGATTCAATACTAATACTTTAATCTCTGGAGTACTGATAAGTGCCGCGGAAAGAAAAGGTTAGCATTAGAGCAATGAGGATCAGTAAAGGCTTTTACTAAATCCTTCTTGTTGTGATTACAGAATACTAAGAATACAAAGTAGTATGAGCCGAGATGAAGACATCTACCCACTGACAGTTCAACAAGCATACATGTAGGGAGCTTTACATTCATAGAAGTTTATAGAAGAGGCGGTGAGAATACCTGGGAACTTGTTCACCTGCCCTGAGACGATGTTTTCATTGTCATGGAAGGAAACTCCATGCCAGTAGATATCGCAGGGAGCTCGTCTACCCAGAGGAAACTACGAGAGGAGAAAAATAATGAATCATGGGATCATTTATTAAAGAAAACACTCACAGAAACTTCTTTGCATCTCAGTTTGTGACTGAGAGCTTATTCTGTTAATAAAGGGTAATTGGTGGGACGTGGGTAATTGGTGGTTGTCCCTCTGATCCAGGAGTGAGGGGATAATCTTGTAGTGCGTGTTCAGTTGTGATGCAAGGAAAGAGGAGAGTTAGTGATACTATAAAAGGATTAAGGGAGCGAGGGAATCCTACTAGCACCTCAACTCCTGCCCACACTAACACAATCCAAACAACACACTTTGCACTAAATAAGTTGTTAAAACAGGGTCAGAAGAAAGGGATATTACAATCTATGTGTGATGTACAGAACACAAGAGAAGTGTGGTTGGACTCCTGATAATTACTTGGACATACAGCTGGTGGATACAATAATTTCTGTAATAAGTTTTTGCTTTAACATGAAGTATAGGACAGCGCTTAGCCAACATGACAGCTCCCCAAAACAACAGCAAAAGATTCAGAGCTCTCCCTTCTGGCTGGTTGTAAATCTGCTTCCTCCATGTAAACAGATGAGACATGGGTCAAACTTAGAAACCAAATTACACATTGAAGAGTTACTTTCCAAACATGCTTTCTATCATTATAGCTTGTCCAAACTTTGATTTTTCTTAACAGTTTAGTTTCTACTAGTTATGTAATCCTAAATATTGGGTGTAATGCCAAAAGTGGCTTTTTCATAGTTATTTTCTCAGTACTCAGAGTGGAGGACAAACTGCAAGAAAAAACAAATAAACACTTGGAAAATACTTGTTAAGCTCTCTCTAACTGTTAGGGTTTGTTTCACACTGACACAAGACGCTTTTATGCTGAGGTCTGTACTGACCCGAGGGATCTATTTTTCTTCTTTTTCTTTTTTTAAAACTTCAAGAGCTCAGTGGTTTAAACACAAGTCAGTTGTGCAGAAGCTTTGGTCCTGAAAACAGGCAGACTGGGTTCAAATCTGGCCTCTCTCTTCCCGGCCTACCAATTTATCTACTGTCTTATCCTCCTAATAAAATACAGTGAAGAGCCCCATAACTATTTTAAATAAGATCAGGCATGTGCAGACAGAAGCGCACAGTCTCAGTGCTCTTTTTGAGAGATAGTTTAGCATCACTTTCAGACAGTGCGAGGAGGTGGAAACGCTAATCTAATCTTTAAGTCAGCCGTTAGAGCATGTGCACACATCTTCGCAATCTTCCCAAGAATTGATTAAAAAAAAAGTGGATTTCTCCTTTTAAAAGAAGAAACTCACTTATGTAAGAATAGGAGTGATGAGTAAACTCGTGTTCATGAACTGCTTTGAGGAGGTTGTTGACAAAAATAGTAACATTCAAGTACGTTCAGATGTTTGTGGCAGCTCAGCTGGCAGCCCCCATTGTGAGGAATTGTGTGTCCAGTTAAGAGCATTACAACAAAGCTGAATTTTAAATATAACACATTTTGTAAGCATATTTTAGAGGTTTATCTATAATTCTTTATTTCCTTTTGAAGTACAATTCTAAAACTAAACACAAACTGAAAGTTTTTGGGCTCAATTTAAACTCAAGCTAGCAGCAGCTCGGCTAACCATAAAGAAATTCTAGTTATTTAAAACCTGAAACTGCGACTTCTAGTGTTTCCATTTTGATGTTCATGTTTTTCTGTTTACACAAGGAGGAGGAGGAAACCTCTGTAGAGACTTAGGCTCCTTAAAAAAACCCAAGGAGTGATAAACACAGGGATTATCCAAACCTAAAAACAACCTAAGATCCCTGCCTGGAGATTTTAGGAGGCTGACTTCTCACGTTGATGTGGTAAACCCGCTTCAGTTATCTTCCTGATAACAACACAGCCAAAAAATATCTATGTTTAAAATACTAAAAGGCATATTTAGATTAACTTTACTTTAAGTTTTTTTTATATGTAAGCCTTATTTTTGTATCCGGCTAACATCCTTATCAGCGTACTCCTTCAAACTGGCAGGTCAGCTGACGATTCACCATCTTTCTAAGATGGCTGTATTCAGTCTTCATCTCTATTATGAACATTAGCTGTAAAAATTTGCTTCAATCCAGCTCAGTTTTAACACACGACAACAAGGTCACATCTAAAAACAAAACACGAACATACAGCTAAGAAAAAATTCATCACAGTCTGTTTAAAGTTAGTTACATGAAGTCTCGGTTGGCAGCATAGCGCCACTCCTACGACTCTTTCTAGTTATACGAGATGGATAGCAGACAGGGTTGCATCTCATTAACGGGTTACCATGAGAGCGTGTGAATCGGGGTTACCCCGCTCCACTGCTTTAAATACAAACACTGAGATGCCAGCTAGTGTAACTAATCTAATGGAATCAGGAAGGGAGGTCAGATCAAACTGGGTGCTGAATAAGGTGAAGTTCACAAGTAACCACACTTTGTATGAATGAAAAGACTGAGCGCTACCTACTGCTGCAGACTTCATCATGCGTGGGCAACTTTTGCAACTCTAACAGCCAATAGCATCCTCTCTGCAAGGCCTCCAATAAACAGCATTTCAAGTTTCATTCATACAGGCCAGTATTTTCTAAATATTCCACAAAGCAAGCTTCCAGAAATTAATCTTCTTTTATTGAAAAATATCAGCTTAGTCTGTAGGGCCCTGCTATAAATACCAAGCCTGTGATTACATGCCAGTTATTAAACTCATTTTCTGAAGTTGTCACTCTCCGAGCTGCCAATCTCTCTGCCTTCGAGAGAGGACTAAAACTTTATTGGATTAGAGGAGCTTAAGGCTAATCATTTCCCACTGTTTAAGGGAATGCCATATGCTGAAAGTCGGAAGGCAGCTGTCTCAGAGGCCAGAAAATACTGCAGATGTAGAGACGTAACGGTAATTTAGAGCCAAATTGACCTTAATCCACATGTTGCAAGTCATCGGTCGAGTCAATGTCTGCTGACTCGCATCCTCTTCTCTCACCTGCTATCTTAGATCTTCCCAAAATCTGTTTCATAACGCATAAACAAATTCAGAAAGTAAACTCAAATTTCAACCCCTTAAAGATAAAAGATACTCTCTTGTGGCACAGGGTCCTCAGGGAACTGGATTTAGTTGGGGAGTAACCATGAGGACAAAGCCAGGTAATGTATAGGTTCTGTCCATCAGTCCTGATACCAGACCTGGAGGGGTTTTAAGTGTCACAGCGTGGTCACGGGTTATAAGTAGAGTCTTTACTTTGCCTGCCTCATGGCACTGCCCTTCTTTGCTTCTCATGCATAATGAAGAGTGTGTTATTAATAGCTGATGGCAGGTTCGAACTGCACAGCATTCAAAGTGACCAGATGGTGTTTCTGACTCATAGAAAACAAGATGTGGATCAATTAGCCCGCGCATTAATGTTTTAGACTCGCTGCGTTTTTCATTCCCAGCGACTTTCATTCACATCTATCATTTGTAATTTTATACATCAGAGGTGCATGAACAGACTTTGTGAGGCTGTGGTTGCGTTACAGGTGATCGTGCGACGGGCTTGGTCGTGTGCCAAGCTGTCAGTCAACGGCTTAATTGGAAATAATGCAAAGAGATAATCTGTAGAAAAGGTAGCAATTAACGAAGCTGTAAATTAGAGCTTTAAATAACAGCTGCATTACTGTTTTACCAGCAGATTAGTCACTTGATGATCAGTCGAGTTGGAGACGTCTACAGCTCAATGAAACATTGTGTCCGAGCTGTTTTCTATTACATAAGACAAGGAGCAGATTTCAGTGAAGCTAGAAATGTTGAAGTTGAAAATGATTTGCTCACTGCTTAATGAATTCATCTTTGAAGCTCTGGATATCAAAACATGGAAATAACAGCTTCAAATTGAAACCTTGAATGACTATTTAAAGTTTTGTTTAGTTATATCAAAGAAAACATGTCCATACATTCATTACGTCCATGAATAGTGATGCACTTTCAAATATCGGAGAGTTTAAGCCACAGTGTGCTGCAGATTGCTCGAGTTCCGGCTTGCCACATAGTAAACAAAAGCTAGCAACAGGAGAAAGGCGACACTCGTGAATAGTTTCATTATCCATAAACTGTATTAATAAAACTCACTGATGGATGTCCACTCTGTTTAGTTCTTATTGATCGATTAAAAAACAGGAATTTTGAGCTACTCCTAATAGTCACTGAAAAAAACATTGCCTACTCCTCCTGTCCGTAAAGCAACGGTGGCCTTTGAGGACAAAAATCTCCTTGGTAAGAATGACCTTCCATTTGTCGTGTACCAATCAAAATTATTCAGCACTCGACAACCACCACGCTCTTCACCTTCCAACTTATGCAAATCTGGCCGCCACTAATTAAATACATAAATGCATGACGTTAACACTTTGTCCTTTCAAGTTGGTCACCTCCATTTAAGATGGAGTGATTTCTCCAGGAGTCGACTATGAACTCGATCAAAACAACATTTTTTATTTTCTACTACACTCCACCGTACAATAATCTGAATATTTCAACAAAGATTTACAACCCCCAAAGCTTCTTATATAATCTGTTTCCACCAACTTGATTATTGCAACTTGGTGTTTAAACAAGGCGTCTTCACAAATGCTATTTTCGCCTCTCATAAGTTTGTCATTCAGGCTCAAAATAAGTCTTACAAACACTTACCCACACAGTTCCACTTCCTGACAGTATAGCTCTGTGTCAGAAAGCTGCCTCCAATCATTTTTCAGAGCTTTGATGACAAAGAACAGAAACTCACTTGAGATCTCTTGCATAACGTAGTCTGGAGTCACATTCAGGAAGTATGACTTTTCCAAGGGGAGACCGGCTGATGTAATTACAACAGATGGATTTAAAACCTCATTTAATTGTTCGCTAAAGTAGTGTTTATGAGCTCCAGCAGTAGAGATTACATTTAACAAGCTTTTAAATGTGCTGTTAAACATATCTCAAGTCAGTGGTTTAGTTTTTTGTTGTTACTTCACCCTACTGTTACATAAAGCTTGTGTTTAATACCTTTTAAGGGTCATTTCCAAGAGTTTCGATCACCTTTCAGTCCCCGCACGAATTGCAATTGAGTGCTGTGTCATCAAGAGTTATGCATATGCTGTTTTTATTGTAATATGACCCCGCAAAGGCCGACGATCCTGTCAGAAAACTATTCCTATTGAAAGGCTAAAAGTAGGGATGGGGATCTGACCGGTTTCAAATGGTTCAATCCATCGATATCGTTTACATTTTATCTTAACGATTCCCATAACAATTCCTTTCTTCCAGGTGCCTTGAAAAACGATTTTGGAGTGCCGGTCTACGCAAATGATTAAGAGATTTTGAGGGGGAAAAAAAACAGATGATACAAAAAGTAGGCAGAAACGGCTCAAAATTTAGTGTGCGACTCCGCCCCGCGTAGTAGTGTCCTCTTTTTGGGGATCTAGAATATGGTCACCCTAGTTTGACTTAATACTTACCACAGTAAAAAATAGTTTGTTGTTTGATTTTTTTTTTTTTTTGACTCTCACTGAAGGTGGCATACAGCTTTACTGTAATTTTGAGTTAACGGTGAAAACCTATAGTCTACTATTTCAAAATCAAAGAAAGGCATTGATAAGGGAATCATTAAAGAATTGAAGCGGAATCGATAACGGCATCGATATCGATAAAATCTTATCAATTCCCATCCCCAGCTAAAAGGGAAAAATGCAGAACTCTGCGATGTAGTTGGAGATCAACATAACAGAGGTTTTCATGCACGCATACTCGTGACAAACACCTAAGCTGGTTGTCATCCCAGTGAAACACTCATGCTCCAAGAAGCTGGGATGATCCTCACCGCTGCTTAGGAAAACCAGCTGCTAAGTGCTTCGATGATGCAGCATACCTCTTTCCATTTGAGCTGCTTGATGCTGATCTTAAGTGCCTCCAGTGATGTTTTGGCTTTGGCTGTATCCACTGTCACCGGCCTCCTCTTCCTCGCGAGTTTCAACGACTCCTCTCGCCTCGCATCCGGGATGTTCTTGGACGGCTGGATGGTCACATAGTTCCCATTACTCTCCGCCTTGCCCTGCAGGATCTTCCCCGTCCCTCTGATGTGCAGTGTCCTCTCCTGGCCCAGTCGGTTCAAGTTTTTCCCAGCAGGGACAGAAACCACAGACCCGTGAAGCGACAGATCTGAGATGCTTTTACCACTAGAGTTCTTGTCATCTTTCGCCAGCTTGCTGCGGCTTTTGCCTCTTTGTTTCGAAGTGATGGAGGTGTTGGATGCATCACTGCTACTTATGGTGATGCTGGGAGGGTCAGCAGAGGGGGAAGATGCAGGGACCTGCTCCTCATTGTCCACACCCTCCCTCTTCTCTCCAACCTCCCCTAATGATTTCATCTGCTCAAGCTGCACTTTTACATAGTTATCACTCATTATGCAATATGCCATAAGTGAACCATACAGTGCAGTAATGTAACACCGGCAGGCTAACGTTATTCTGATCCAGTGTAGTACGCATTGCTAGCCGGAATAGCTAATTAAACTGTAATAGCCATTTGCTTACATGAGATTATTTCTTGAACAGACAGAGCAAACAGGCTGCAGCCTTTCTAGTTACTTAGCTGGTGAATAGTTTGACTAGTACGACCGGATAATATCATTCATTAGCTGTCATAAGAACTTCATAGTGCTAGCAGCATTAACTTAACCTAGCTGCTGCATTCAAGGCTCGAGCTAACGGGCTAAATAATAATAACAGCCACACCTGTCGTTAGCATATCAAACTTCGTTATGCTAACGTATGAAGCTACAGTTGAACGTGTGGCGGACGTTACCTCCCGAGAACCGTTATCTGTTTCCCTAAGAGCCGCCAGCCTTGTCATGAATGGCACCCACGGTCCTCTGCTGTCTGTTACCGTCCCTGTGTTGTTAAGCGGCAGCAGCAGCAGAAAGCACACACAGAGACCAGCCCCGATGCCCAGCCTCCATCTGCTTCTATCACAGCTGATGCAACGTTCACTGATCCTCGTAATTATCTGACTTTGCCTCATCGACCGTGACCAAATAATTTCCAAACCGAAGCTTCGGTGTTGTTTTTGGATACATTACGTTAATTCTTGATTGAACATGTTCGCCAGTTGTTGTTGTTGTTGTTGTTTGTTTGTTTACTATTTATTTATTCATTTTTGCAAAACTAAGATGCGAAAAACATAACTAAAACTACAAATGTGAAAAAAAATGAAATAAATAAATAAATTGAAAAAAAGAAAGCACAGTATCCTTATTATATAGTTAGTTTCCTGTTATGAAACCTTGTGAGGCCGCTTTACTCATACCCTATTACAGCGGTATTACTTAGCAAGTTATATTTTTTCCGATGGTACTCAAAGGGGACATGAGAATGCCATATTTTACTGGCATGGCACCCCAGAAAAGCAAGATGATCATAAAATATCCGCAATAAAATGTTATAATTCTTACGCCGAAAACGATATGTATGGTTAAATGTGATAAAACAATTGTTCATCTTTACAAGGACAACATTCGCTTTTTATGTAGTGTCTTTTCTCTAAATGTTAATCAAATCAAATGTTAATCAAAGTCATAATAACCTCAGTCTTTAACAGACATACTTTAAACAACAGTTGAATATTTCCGGAGGGACTGCTGACTGTGCCTCATTGACTGTGACCAATGTTTGACAAAAATAAAAAAATAGTAATAATATCAAAAGAAAGCACTGTATACTTAAATGTATTTATGTTGATTTTAATCATCAATTGCCTATTATGAAACCATGTGAGGCCGCTCTACTCATACCTGTTACAGCGGTATCACGTTGCTAGTTATTTATTTCCAACGGCACTCAAAGGGGACATGAGAATGCCATACTTTACTGGCATGGCACCCCAGAAAAGCAAGATGATCATAAAATATCTGCAATAAAATGTTATAATTCTTACGCTAAAAATGATATGTAAGGTTAAATGTGATTAAAGAATTGTTCATCTTTACAAGGACAACATTTTCTCTTTAGCAACTGGCTTTTAAATTGCTCTAAATGTTAGTCAAAGTCATAATAACCTCAGTCTTCAACCGACATACTTTCAACTAAACAGTTCATTAAGATAACTGCAACTGTAATCTGCTTTATAAAGAGGAGCATGGAAAAGAGGAAGAACTTAGTCTGTAAGCTATGATATATAATTGCAAAACACATAATATATCAGTAAAAGTATATAAACATAATCAAATCTCAAAATATTACAACAGATGTAATCTAAAGGCTGATAAAGTCCACATTGATGCATCATATTACTATTTTAAAACAGCCATAAATTATCAATGAAAAGTCAGAAAAAATTCAACAGAAAAATATGCTTGCTAAAAACAATCTTTTTTGTGTAATTTACTTGTATTTATATCTTTATATTTGCAGCACAAATTTCTGTGAGCTACATCTCTAAAAGGACATTTATTAATGTTAAACAATCATGGATGCTTGAAGTTTTGGTTGGTTGAGAGAGAAAAAAGTCAGCTGGATTGCTTTTTTTAGCAATAGTGCTAGCAGGGTTTAGGTCTATGAACTACTGTTTGTTTAACTGAATAAAATAACCCGTTTTAGGGATGAAGAATCAAGTGATATCAAAATGCATGCCTTTTGGTGGCATTTGTCCTTCATTTTAGCCTCCATTTAACCTCAATAGCTAATGTTGATGCTGAATTATTAACCTATTTTCATTTACTCTATCCCTGATGTTTTTATTTCAGAGGAAATAGTTACTGGTTCCCAGTCATGCCCCGTGAAGAGTGATTTGAAGTTTGAACCTGGGAATTTGACTCCAATTAGTGGACCTATTTACATTCATAGAGTGGCTGTGCCTTTGACTGTTCCATTAACTCCCATTTGACTGTAACAACCATTAGCATACTAATGACTTACAGAGGTTTATATGAGCTCCCTCCACCAGTCAGCTAGAAAATAAAGGGACCTGTGGCAGGAGGGAGTTGAAACATTTTCAAGAATTTCATCAAGGTTTTACAGCTTTTTGAATTGAACTCTGAAGATAAGGTGTTATTTAAGTTTAAGGGGAAAAGGACAACTTTTTTTGCACACAATATAAATAGAAATAAGGATACAAATAAGGACATTCTGAGTATCCTTACTCAGGAAGATAGTTTCCTTGGTCTCTGTGTTCAAAAACCAGGCAAGAGGCATCATATTATGAAGTATACTAACAATTAGAAAAAAAGATGGGTTAGAAGAAAACAACAGTTCTGAAAAGGCATCTTAGGCTGCAAAAAACACTCTCAGGATTTCATATATGGGATTTTCTGGTTGCGTATATATTTAATTAAGAACGTATTGTCATCTTAGAACTACCATATTTAAAAAAAAAAAAGTGGTTTTAATTTATTTTAGTTTTTAATTAAATTTATTTATTTTTAATTATTTTTATTAATATTCTCTTTCTTCCTTCTTTTTGAAATTATTGATCCATATATTTATTTTAATTACTGTTGTTATTGTCATGTTTACTATCTGATATGTGTTTGTATGTATGTATGTATATACAGTATATATACGCATATATATGTACATTTATCTATATTTTATTTACTGTCTGTTTTGCAAGTGTATTGTCTATTTTCTAAATGTCACCTGGCCAGATGGGAGATTTAGGGGTTGGGGGTGGGGGCAGGAAGGGTGTTCTTGGTTCATTTATGTTCAAAGTTAAAAAGGAAAGAACATGTTCTTCTTTGAAGTGGAACTGTATGCTTGCCTCTCATAAAATAAAAGTTATTAAAATAAAAAAATGGAAAATGTAAAAATAGGGCCCTTCACATCAGTTTCAGACATCACAAATCACCATTAGGAAATCTTCAATCTTGTCCCTGATGGTTTTGTTTGCTTTTGTATATCATAGAGACCCATCAATATGTATTTCAGTCTTTTCAGTAAACCTCAAAAACTCTTTATATGAGCTTTAATGGTCTTTATTTTAAGTTCCTCATATGGTGTGTGAAAATATTTGTGTTCAGTGACCACAGCCACCCCTATAATCTGACTAGCCACCTTGAAATCCTAAACCATGCTCGGCTATTTGCCTTGTTATGCTGTAATGAGCTTTTTTGGTTGTGTTTCACCAGGCTGCTTGGAGCACCTTTGCATTTTAACATTTTAACATCTGTGTGAGTCCTCAAAGGATTGAGCTCAACAGATCTCCAAGTTGCCACTCTCTTGAGGATACTTTTAACTTTAAAACAATATATACTATGACAATTTTCTTTTCTATATTAGAAGTTAAAGTAGGTAGAAGGAGTGGCAAACACTCAACACAAACACACACACATATACACTCACCGGCCACTTTATTAGGTACACCATGCTAGTAACGGGTTGGACCCCCTTTTGCCTTCAGAACTGCCTCAATTCTTCGTGGCATAGATTCAACAAGGTGCTGGAAGCATTCCTCAGAGAGCTTGGTCCATATTGACATGATGGCATCACACAGTTGCCGCAGATTTGTCGGCTGCACATCCATGATGCGAATCTCCCGTTCCACCACATCCCAAAGATGCTCTATTGGATTGAGATCTGGTGACTGTGGAGGCCATTTGAGTACAGTGAACTCATTGTCATGTTCAAGAAACCAGTTTAAGATGATTCCAGCTTTATAACATGGCGCATTATCCTGCTGAAAGTAGCCATCAGAAGTTGGGTACATTGTGGTCATAAAGGGATGGACATGGTCAGCAACAATACTCAGGTAGGCTGTGGCGTTGCAACGATGCTCAATTGGTACCAAGGGGCCCAAAGAGTGCCAAGAAAATATTCCCCACACCATGACTCCACCACCACCAGCCTGAACCGTTGATACAAGGCAGGATGGATCCATGCTTTCATGTTGTTGACGCCAAATTCTGACCCTACCATCCGAATGTCGCAGCAGAAATCGAGACTCATCAGACCAGGCAACGTTTTTCCAATCTTCTATTGTCCAATTTCGATGAGCTTGTGCAAATTGTAGCCTCAGTTTCCTGTTCTTAGCTGAAAGGAGTGGCACCCGGCGTGGTCTTCTGCTGCTGTAGCCCATCTGCCTCAAAGTTCAACGTACTGTGCGTTCAGAGATGCTCTTCTGCCTACCTTGGTTGTAACGGGTGGTTATTTGAGTCACTGTTGCCTTTCTATCAGCTCGAACCAGTCTGGCCATTCTCCTCTGACCTCTGGCATCAACAAGGCATTTCCGCCCACAGAACTGCCGCTCACTGGATATTTTTTCTTTTTCGGACCATTCTCTGTAAACCCTAGAGATGGTTGTGCGTGAAAATCCCAGTAGATCAGCAGTTTCTGAAATACTCAGACCAGCCCTTCTGGCACCAACAACCATGCCACGTTCAAAGTCACTCAAATCACCTTTCTTCCCCATACTGATGCTCGGTTTGAACTGCAGGAGATTGTCTTGACCATGTCTACATGCCTAAATGCACTAAGTTGCCGCCATGTGATTGGCTGATTAGAAATTAAGTGTTAACGAGCAGTTGGACAGGTGTACCTAATAAAGTGGCCGGTGAGTGTACATGCACACACTGTTACACTACTAATGCTGCCTCAGTAATCCATCAAAGATTCACAAACAGGCTCAACTGCTTGATTTCCATAAGTTTATTTGTGGATAACATGTGCACTGAATTCATATCATGTCTGATTGTCCTTTATAACTCCAGTTTGTTTCGGCTGATTTGTGTGAATTGTAGATATTGGATCAATGCTTGTGATGGTATTCCACTTTCCTCATCGCATGTGCAGTGTTTGTGTCCGGCTGAGATTCATTTATGCACAGAGAACAATATTTATTATTTTATACAGACAGTTGTACAAAAACTTCCACACCATATCACTCTGAGCTTCAGATTAGACGGATTATTCTATGAAACTAGTTTAAAAACTAACTTATTAGGTTCATGTTTTATCTTACAAATTAAGTTACAGGCAGTGCCCTGAGAGTATTATGTCTCAACAGATGGATGTGCTTCTCAAATTATGCATTGGAAAACAACAGCATAACGGGCCTTGTATGAGGCTTTATGAGAGTCTGCATCATCTGCTGCTTCATATTGTGTGTTCAGCAATTCACAGTTTCCTGTTATTCACAGTCAGCGTAGCGTGAAAATATATAAACAGCCACTGTCTTTGATAAAACATGTTTGTTTTTTTTCAGGAGTACTGGGTATTAGAGATTTTCTTCCAGAGTAATGTCTTCAGGTTGTTAAGGACTAGAGAATGATGTACCTCCATCTGGCTGGCGAGGCCGCTGAGAGTCACACAGGTGCGTAGCTGCTTCTCCAGATCTCCTCTGAGGTCTGAGGGTGCTCCAAACAGCAGATAGTCCTGTAGCAGCACGCAAACCTTCGCAAGGTTGGGCTGTACGACTTCGGTGTTACACTGCTTTACAAGGCGGTCACAGGTGGCCGTGCAGTCCTGGCCGTAAGTACAGTCTGCGTTCGTCTCACATCGTCGCCCCCTTAAATATCCCCTCACAACTGCTTCAGACGCCACGCTGCGCAGGTTGGCCATCTTGCAGTCATATTTTGCATTGTAGCCCACGTGGCGAGGGCTGGCATCACATATTAGGAAACTCCCGTAGGAGCCGTGGAAGACCTCCTCCACAAACTCCAACAGGCCGATGGTGATCCGCGCCCTACGAGGCCAGGACGGTGCCAGCCAGTGGTTCAGGCCGGCGCTTAGGGCCTCAGGGACAAGAGCCTGCAGGTAACTGGGTATCTCCAACCTGTAGAGGGAGTTGTGGCCCACACGCTCGGTCACATAAAGGTCCCCGCAGAAGCCCAGCAGTTTGGCGGTGTGCTCCTTCTCCTGCAGGGCCACCATCAGGAGGAACTCATTGATCTGGAGGAGGGCCCAGATAGACTTGGCCTCGGCTAGAGACACTTTGCCGTCCTGGTTGACATCAGCAAGGGTGATGACTCTGTCCACCAAGGTGCTCAAAGACGGCTGCTCACCGAGGTTAGCCTGCAAAAGAAGAGGGCACATACTTCAGCCGAAAACATACAGGATCCATATTGAGTGTGTTCCGTATTTGTCCGGAGAGCAGCTCTGGGTATTGCACACAGGATGCGTATTAGGAGCGCAGCAGCAGCGTAGTGCAGCCCCGGTCAGCTGAGCTCAGTATAGAGGAAACAACAAGCTCACAACAGGTTGTTTTGCCTCTCTGTGGTCTATTTCCTGCTAATTTGGATATAATTCAGTGACTGTTGAGCTTCTACATTATGTGAAAAATCAAATGCATTTTTTCTTTTTAGTATCCTGCCTTTTAAAAGAATCAGAACAGAGAATCGTTAGGAACAGGAATCGGAATGAGGAATCGGAATCTTTCAAAATCAAACGATACCCAACCCTGTACTCAACGCTGTTGCCACGCTCCAAATACACATCTTACACATTTCAGCCTTTAAGGTCCTTTCACACTGGGAGCGTTTTTTTTGTGTGATTATTTCGGACGTCAGTACTTTTTCTCAAACCTGTATCCTGTCAATACAAGCATTCACATCAGCGACGTTTTCCTGTCCTGCAATATTGCGGCATTTATTTTTTTCCGATCAAGGTCGATTTTTCTAAAGTTTCATATACTGTGTGTCCACTTCTGACCAATTAGATTGTGTGTTGTTGCGACATCTGATTCACCGGTATATCCAACATGGCCGACCGGCTGATTGTTTACGTGTCGGAGAACAGAGTGCTTTTTTATAAAAGACACAAATACTACAAAGATAACGACCTGAAGGACAACTTATGGAGAGTCATAGCGTCGGATTTCTCATAGGACGATGGTTTGTGAGCTTTAACAGTTTGCTAAACGTCTTTGTTTTAACTTTCATCTGTGCTAAGTCACTTAAGCTCGTAAGCTAACCTGTTCAGATACAACATATCATATGTATTTTCACTGTCTCAAACTCAATCATGTTGCTGTCACAGCACCATTAGTTCTCGGTTGTTACCTTACATTTATGGATCATAGTTTAATGTGCTTATCTGGTACTGGCCCCGACTCAGTACATGCTATCATGACAGACAGACATCTCAACACTAGTGTCTAATCAGAACTGAAAAACAGTCAGTCTGGGTCAGTCTGGTGTTGTGTCAGTCTTCTCGCTTCCACCCTGAACGTGTCTTTTTTCACCCTGGAAAGTGCAAAATCGCATCAGGCTTGATGTGTACAGTCAGGCGCGTCAAAATTCGCTGTCGAATATTTCGTAATTTCACATCATATATTTGCGTCGGTCCCGGTGTGTAAGAACCTTTAGACTGACAAGTCAGAATACAACGACTGAATGAATGTGAGTCATTTGGTGTCTTGAATGATGAAAATGTTGATAAAAAGACCTTGAGGAAACCGTGCAGCATCTCTTTGAACTCATCCATGGAGGTTCCCCGAGTGGGTTTGTCGAATAGAGTCATCTCCTGTCTGAGGACAGAGTCTGGAGCGCCTTCAATCTTCACTGGATCCTCAATACTGCACTTTATTACAACAGGCCTCTCCTTCCACAGCCCACTGTACACCTGCAGGTATAAGAAAAATGCACAGTAAGAGATGAGAGCATATACCGCTGAGACAGGACTACAGGCTCTGTTTACAGGAAATAAAAGACCACAACAACCGAAGCAGGTCTGACAGAAAAACCAGCCTGTGGTAACAGACGCTGGACTCAATCCTACACTGTTAATGCAGGACAAAGGATTCAGCCACAGCAGTCTGCTGGTGGAGGCCCCCATTACTCAGACCACATTGTCTTCCAGATTTTCAGTTGTGTTAGATAAGTGACCTTGCCCTGGTTACTGTTAGCCAGCTTATGTAACTGTAAGGTTATTTCGGCCATCACCATGGCAGTGTAATGCATACAGATACTAATTCCCAGGGTGTGTAGAGTTTAGGGAACTCTTTCTTTTGAGTTGTTCCTCTTTAAGAAGTTTTTCAGAACTCTGCTGATGATGTTTGGATGTGAAAAAGAACTGAGCAAGCCTGAGGAGTTTCCTCTTTTTTTTTTTTAGATAATCTTTTGTTTTGTTTTTTTGTGCTCAGAGCTGATATAATGCAGGAGTAGCAAAAAGACTTCAGGTTTTCTGTTAAGGTGTTGTTTTAGATAGAGAAGCTCTACAACCTGGGCTTTGCAAGATAAAAAACCACAACAGCTGCATCCTGCAAAAAGTAAACATAGTACAAAAAAGAAGACGTATATCTATTCATCTGTTTCCAAATATGCACATTTCAGCATGAGCTACTTCTTAATGACAGTGGGTGATGGTGCTCATGGGAAATGCAGTTTTCATCCTACCAATGGTTTCCAATTTAATCTCACTTTAGGAAGAAAAAAAGTGCAACATTTTTCATATATGTAAGATTTTCAACTTGTGTTAGTTTGTGTGTCTCTTTAATAACCTGATACGTGGAGGAGGTGGACATGCAGTGCTGCAGAGTCAGAGTCCTCTGATCACACAAAGCCTTGCAGGATGAGCCCGATATGATGCCTCTTCTGTAGTGATCACACTGTGAGAAAAAGAAACAGAGAATGTGTCTTAAAACCACAGGAAACAGGTGCTCCTGTCTGCGATCATTTTGCATGTTTGCATCGAGAACTTCAGAGCTGTGATCAAGTGTGTGAACATTCACCCTCCGCCTTTGCAGAGATTATTTGCAAAGAAGCAACATGAGGGAAACACTCTGCTCCCGCCTTCTTTTTAATACGGCTGGACGAATCAAAGCACAAACAGTATGCTCAACTTATTTGCATAAGTACAAACTCAAGGTAGCCTGTCCTTACTTCTTTACTTCAGGGGAATGTACTGTGTTATCCTCTGCAGCTACCTAACCAATGCTGTTTCATGTTTCTTTTCAGAATAATCCTGTTTAATTGGAAGAAAAAAAAAGTGCAAGCCTCAAATAGTTTTCAAGGCATTAATCTTAACCCTTTATAGTCTTATTCATGTCTAATAACATCATATTAAAGCTAATTACAGGTCTTTGATTGCATGCTGAGTTCAAATGAGAGCTTATAGGGGCTTATAAGAAATGATAAATGTTTGTTTATAATGTTTGCTCATACAGCTATATTAATATATATGCTGTATGTACAATAAACATAAAAATGTGACAAGCTTGTAATAAATGTGTTCATTAATTTTTAATTAACTCTTAAAAAGTCTAATACAGGTTCACAAACAACCCATTGATGGTTGTGACAGGTCTATAAACTGTTTGCAAGTTTCTACTAAGAGCCTTTAAGTGTCTAATCAAAAATAAATGTGCTAATTATGCTTTATCAACACTTATAAGCATCTTAAAAGGTTATAAACTGTAAGTTAATATTTTTAGTGAACAATGTTACCCCTATTAACAAAAAGTTAGACTGCCAAGAAGTTGAATTTTAAGTGACAAGCTTTAGCTCTAAATGACAAAATCAGGCCCACATTTTCTGTAATCTCCCCTCATACATGATCCTAACAATGGGAGGTTTCGATTGCACTTAAATGACTTAAACCAGTGGATCTCAAGTCCAATCCTCGAGGCCCACTGTTCTGTATGTTTTGAATGTTTCCCTGCTTCAACACACCTGATTTAAATGATCAGCTCGTTATCAAGCTCTGTAATGGCTTAATAACGAGCTGATCATTTGAATCAGGTGTGTTGGAGCAGGGAAACATCCAAAACATGCAGGACAGTGGGCTCCAAGATTGGACTTGAGAACCACTGACTTAAACAATTGGTTTGGTTAAGCTGCAGTAATGGTGACTCCTTCTGACCGAATACCTCCAGAACTTTCATGAGGACGTTTCTGTCAGTGAGCAGTAGAAAATACAAAGTAGAGGAACTCTGCTCAACATGAAAAGTCTCCTCAGCCTGCCCACTCACAGTCGGTGTTCCAGACTCTACCTGCTGTATCCACATATAACCTTACTTTGGCTATATGCCGACTTTTTACCAGGAAGCTTGTGAGGAAAAGTCTACTCAGATTTTACCATTCAGCCCTCCCTGGGTATCAGGATATGTATGTGTGATATAGAAGCTTTTAATGCAAACAGAGGAAGTCATTTGTTGTTGTTTGCACCGATCAAGTGTTGTTCTTCACTGGGTACTGTTTACCACTGAGTCGGCCCCCATCCCTTTACTCCTTCACCCAAAACAGCAGGTGACAGCCACATTTACAGACACACCCACGCTGCACCTCTTAGCCCAGTTCAAAGCTGCCATGAGTGTAAAAAGTCCCTCAGGTGGTGACAGACAGATCAAAAACCGGTGTCGCCTTTAACGCACAGTAATTCTCATGACAATAAATGAGCCTGTGTAGTTATATTGACCTCTATTTATTACACTGGCTCACAGTGAAGCCAACAGTCTGTAAACCCCGAATCACACTGTTGTGCAGATTGGATTATTTGTTATAATGAGGTCACATCATTGATCTTTCATTGTGCCTGCCATCCTGTTTGTCGAAGTCTCAGTAAATGTCAGCCGGGCTTGTTCTGGTCTCATAGGCGGACACAGCTGTTCACAGCAGGAGGAGTTTAACCAAAGGCAGCTTCCTTTCCTTGAGTCAGAGGCCATGTATGTAGGAAGAGGGTGACCACATGTAACAGCCTTGTGCATTAAATCTGTTTATTACTAGTTTTTAAACTACTTCATGTCTGTTTGATGTCTTTCCTTGCCAACTAGCACAACATAGAGACTCCTACTCTTAAATTCCTGCATACTTTTGCTTTCATTTCAAGTTTTGCGTATAATTTTGGTACATATTTAAGATTTAGTGTGTAGAAATTCGAAATTTAGCGACCAATTGTACGCCACCATGCTCACCCCTCTCATTGGTAAAGCTACAGTGGCCTTCAAGGTCAAGAATATGATGCGTTATTTGCAGGATATTCCATTCTTCAAATTCTTTTGACCACAACAACCATTCTCTTTCTCATCCTTCAAACGGGGTGTTTCCCACAGCAACTCACTAATAAAAAAAACTCAAAGGTAGAGCTGGGCTATATGGGAAAAAGTTTATCAAAATATATTTTTTCATATCAGTTGATATTGATATAAATCACAATATAAAAAATGAAATGTAACAGTGCTTAGTGGTAGCATGTCTTTAGCAATATAATAAGCCACTGCATCTGTGAGGTCTTTGTGTCTCTTTGACATTTTGTCATAAGGCGTTGCGCTAAAGGAAGCGGAATGGAACGGAACCTTTTGCATTGCGCGTGCTCTGCCGCATGGCACTGCTTCAGGTGGTGAAAAAGATTTGAGGTATTCCCTGACTTTTCTAGAACATGCACTTGACATAATTTGCAGTGCACATTATGCTGCTTCAGGTGGCACAGTGGTGTAGTGGTTAGCACAGCAAGAAGGTCCTGGATTCTAATCCGGGCCAGGGCGTTCTGTGTGGAGTTTGCATGTTCTCCCTGTGTCTGTGTTGGTTTACTCTGGTAAATCTGGTTTCCTTCCACATCCCAAAAACATGCCTAAGTGGCCTAAGTGTAGCTGCAGCCTGCTACTACGCAGTTGTTTGCTTCTAGGTTCTAATTCAGCACATGATTGGTTCAGCACGAAGCGGACCTGGAGCAACTCCCCTTTTCATTGGCTATTCATATAGTCTACCAAAAAATGGCAGTATGCCGAGTATTGACAAGGACATTGACCATGTTTCATATTGATATTGAGGGAAGTTAATTTTCTATATCACTATCATTTTATCGCCCAGCCCTACTCAAAGGTGACTAGTTTGTCCATTCTGAACCACGGTAGAAAGAAGGCAAAGCAAGATAGCCGCCTCTACAGAAGGGGACCCACTTTTTGTTAGATGTAAAAGTCTCAAAAACAAAAGTATTTTTTTATCCAGATGATTAAACAGTAATTAAACATAATCACTGATATTATTTTCAACTTACAAGTCTGTTTGTAAATATCACACACTGCACCTTTAATGCCACTGAAGCTGGAACTTTATTTTCTTGTGTGTGCTGGTTTGTTTCTGCCCTCTGCAACACTAATTAAGCTCTTCTGACTGCACTTCACACTCCATGTAAAAAAATGTTCTGTATTGTGAATACCTCAGCCTGAATTTAGACACAATGTATAAGAGCCTATTTTCAGCCAGACAGCCCTGAAACAAGCTGTACTGCATTGTCCTCTCCGGGCTGAAAATAAATCAATGTCTGTACTGATGTGTTATAATAGCTTCCCCCCAAATATTGAATTTGTCGAGTTTGCACATCCTGTGTCTTTTTATACTTAAACACGTGATTGTTTACCGAAATCTAATCGTTCCAATCAATATCATACTCTTGAATTCACCGTGCAGCTCAGTAACGTCACATTCAATCAATGGCTTATGTAAGCGGGACAGAAACATAAATTCTACCATCTTGAGTTTGGGTTGCATCACCACACACATAAAATTATGAAACTGGGTGTCATAGTATTGAGAGACTTAACTTACTATGACCATATGGCAGACATGCCCGCGGCAGAGTTCAGAGTAGGAGGCATACTGCATGTAGATGACCCAGCTGGCGATGAGGATGCCGAGCCATGCCAGGAGAAGGTATTTGACCTTGATGGCTGGAAGACGACTCTAGAGAGGGAGGAGGCAGAATTAAATGCAGATGAGAATTAATCATGTTAACAATTGATACAAAAATAACAGAATATGAAGTAATTTTCCAAGAATAGTTAACTGACTTAAAAAAAAGAACTTTTATCACTTTTTGATGCTTATTATTGGCAAATTATAACTGCAGTACTCCTGTTCAACTGAGATGCCCCCCTGGGTTCAATTGTATCATTATGGATTCATTATAAATTATCAAATTACCTGCATATATATTTACTGATTATTGCAGTCAGCTTTAATCACACGATCAATATAAAGCTTGTTTTACTAAGATGTCAAGAGTAAAGTTCTAAACTAGTCAATGATTTAACATTTTGAGCGATTATATTTTGAAGCTCCTGCAAAGAATTTTTTGTTTGTGTTGATATTGGCGCCCCCTCTGGACAAATTAGTACCTCTCCGCTCTATTCTAATATTAAAATATTAGTCAAATATTTAGTCAATATTTAGTCAACACCCCTTTTTTTCAACGACAAAGACGTGACGTCGACGAGCTAAAAATAAGTCTTAAATGACTAAAATGTGATGAGACGAATGTGCGTTTACGTTGACGAGCCGAGACTAGACGAAAACGTCAGTGGTGGACGACGAACAGAGTTGCAAAATTCATGAGCATTTCGTCAGTCAAAAGCTAAACATATACTCTGCAGTGTTGTTTTCATAGACGATGACGTTGACGAAATATTTTCGTCATCGTCAACGAAAACAACACTGCTGTCAGCCATCTGGTCTGATGCCTACCCCCTCCCTGCAGTTACAGATAATTACAAATCAAAGTTTGTGAATTGTCAGTTTTGTTGCTGATGATCTGATGTGTTTTTTAAAAGTCATTTAACAGCATTTGTGTTAATACTAATCTATAGTATACTAGCTAAAAATTGCCCATTGCAGCTTTTAAATATCGTTTATTATTAGATTGCTTCCCTCTCAAATGTTGTTGCTGTATTTCTCTTCCCTATAGAGGCCTACACAATAACAATCAAAAACTGTCCACTTGACCTCTGCATTTATAAATATATTGTCCGCACTATCACTTTTAAAATACATGCAAATGGACTAATGCCATGGCGCAGACATCGTATTAACATGCAGGGAGACTGTGTGGATCCTTCATCGACACAGAAGCGGACTGACATCTTACCTGCAGACCTTTGGACAGAGGGCAGAAGAGCACCAAATGAACCAGTCTCCGAAAAGCCCTGGGCATCATGAGCGACTTTGTGAGGATGCGGCGGAGCGAGAAACCAGAGATTCCTGTGTGATCACATTCTCACTGAAAACCTGCGCCATGCGTCGCAAAAGAACCAAAACCCGCGTCTACACATGCCAGGATGTGTCCTTTAACCTGTGATCAGGGTGATCGATGTGGGTCCTTGTCCGATTTGTTAATACAAATCATACGCCGAACACAAAACACGCGTCCTTGAAATTGAGCGATTTCGGATTTCAGCTCCATATGCGCCACAAAATCTGCGCTTCAGTCCGGAATTTAAGAACCTCCTCCTCCTCAGCGTCCAACTGCGCTTACCGGCAAAGCCGATTAATGCAAAAGCTGTTTTTTCATGATCTAATCAAATCAAACACAAAATTGACACAGAAATAGCACGATGAGCACACACAACCTCTGTTTCCCAGCGACTCATCACTGCGCTTCTTTAAAGGGGAGGATGCGAGAGCTCAGCTGGAGGAGGATTTTTAGACCGCCGACAGAAATCTCACCTCTGCTTTCTGACTCTCTCCTCCAGGCAGGAACACACACAGGCTGCTACAGAGACGTTTTTTCAATGCATGTCGGTCAAAATTGCGAAAATAATTCACATATTAAAGTATCAATTAATCAAAATATTTGTTTTCAGTCAGAATCCGATTTATTGGCAAAGTCTGTGTGCACATGGAGAGGATTTAAGGGATATTTTGCTCTCTGTGTACAAAACGCTGTGATGTGCAAGCAAACAAAAACCTAAATAACAGTGTGTATGGGTGAGGAACAAATTCATAGTGAGAATAACTGATTAGGAATGATTCCAAGTGTTAATGATTCATTAAAAAGATGATAACCGTGAATTATACATATATTATGAATTATATTATACAATTATTTCTAGACATGTTTAAAGGTGCTTTCACACCGGGACTTTTTTTTTGTGCAATTATTTTGAACGTCAATATTTTTTTTGAACCCGTGTCCTGTCAATACAAGCGTTCACATCAGTGACATTTTCCCATCCTGCACTAGTGCTGCATTTATTTTTTTGGATCACAGTCGATTTTTCTAAAGTTTCGCATTCTGTGTGTCCACTTCTGACCAATCAGATTGTGTGCTGTTGCGACGTCAGATTCACCGGTATATCCAACATGGCCGACCGGCTGATTGTTTACGTGTCGGGGAACAGAGTGCATTTTGATAAAAGACACAAATATTACAAAGATAACGACCTGAAGGACAACTTGTGGAGAGTCATAACATTTCTGATATGATGATGTTTTGTGTGCTTTAACAGTTTGCTAATCGTCTTTGTTTTAACTTTCATCTGTGCTAACATAAGCTAACGGTTGTTACCATAATTTCATGTGCTTATCTGGTACTGGCCACGACTCAGTACATGCTATCATGACAGAAAGCCATCTCAACACTAGTGTCTAATCAGAACTGAAAAACAATTAGCGACCGTGGTACAATTTCAGCTCCTGAGCCAAGCAGTGAACCTCACCAAGTTCTCTTCTTTTTTTATATTGGATGCACCCATGTGTTACATTTCTTTTTCTTTTAAGAAAGCAAAAGGAATACCAATTTGTCATCACTTAAAGCTGAAGTAGACTCCATTTTTGTCCCCTCACTTCTACCCGGGACACTGGTTGTTAAGGGAAAAGTCTTCCCCGGGATTCACTCATATATTAAGTAATCTTTGCATGATAAAAAAAACACAAAAAAAAACCTTGTTGAGCTCTGCTGAATCACATTTGTGAATATGATTGAACCCATGAAAAACTAGACGAATGAGCAAGTCAGGTTCTGAAATTAGCCATTTGGGATGGGTGAGTCATAGTTAAAGCTCCTGTGAGGACTTTTTTAACTTAAACGAAATAGACTGAAATCCATAATAAAGCCTTTCTATGATATACAAAAGCAAACAAGACCATCAATGGCACAATGATGATTTTTATGTTGTCATTTTTAATGCCTAGAACCAGTGTGAGGGGGTAGGTGTCAGCCAAGTAGCAGCAGCAGAAGATGCCGTGTTTTTTACATTTTATCCATAATCACAATAAATGATACATTTGCAAGTCAAAAGTCAGCAGGATGAGATAATTTGTCAAGGACAAGATGAGCAATGACTGCTCTGTCCACAGGGGGCGCCAAAATGGACACAAACAAAAAGTTCCTACAGGAGCTTTAAATTTTAAGCCATTTACATTCCTCTGCAATGTCTCACTTGCAAAACTCCACCATTAAATAAAAGTGAAAAATGTGAAAATCTTATAAAACTGCAAAATACCTTGAGGAAACATGTAAAAAGATGAACTTCAGATCAAAGTTGGTCACAGATGTTACTTTATTAAAGAAATGGTTTCAGGTATTTCACATTTTTTAATCATAATGAAACAATACTTCACTAAATATGATAGGATGTTGATGATATAAGCTTTAAACTAATAACTATGGCAACATTTAACTTAAAGTTTGAATATGCATTTCAAAATTTTACCTTTTAGTCAAAATATTAGAAAAACCAGTACTGATGAAGGGCTGTCTCAAACTCTCATTTGAAGGCGGCTCCAGACTTCCTCCTTCATAATAAAGAAGACAAAAAAGAATTACACACTTGACAATAAAAGCCTTAGATTTATGCAGACAAACATTTTATTTAGATTTTGTAGGTACAAACATCATGTCAAATCCCCGCTGTGATGGGAACCGAACAAATCTGATGATGTAGACCGTTTATTCTCTGCCACCTCATGACACAGGATCGACACAAAGTCGGACTGCAACGCCTCAAGGGGCAAGTTCAACCAAGGCTAAGAGGACAAACACGTCAGCTCACCTGCTCAAGAGACTCTGCTGCTGCTCCACAGGAATATCAGGTCCATCAGAGGAACACTCCAGGCCCCTGTTATTACAAAACCACTTACTCACAGCTCTGAGTTTACATTTGATTTTTAGGAACTGGTTATTAGACTGGAACAACAACATCATTAAAAGGTTTCTGTAGTCACCTAACACGTATTAAAACTCAAGAAGAAAGTGCAGGATAGAGTTTTAAAAATGGAGAAACAAAAGTAATTGAAAAAGGGTGCAACCAAGCAACAGATGATTATGATTACTGCTATTAATATGTTGAATTACAGGAAATATGAAACAATAGCAGTGAGACTTCAAGCACTGATGTTTTGTTGCTGTAACTAAATTTTATGGATTATAGCTGATATCAATTCCATTGTAGGCTAAATATCTGGCCCGGTTCCTTACCCAAAGTCCACCACACAGTGGAAATTGAGCCATCGTGAGCCAGGTACTTACTGTTCGCCCACTTACTGCACAACACTGACACTGCAGCCAGAGTTGAGTCTCGAGGGGCAAGTTTTAACCTGATCCAGAGTAAAAAACTGCAACAACATGAGTTACCATTCTTGGGAATGCAGTCATCCTAAAATCAGAGCATGCCTGTCTTCATTGCATGTGTTCATGTACCTGCAGGATCAAAAGCAATAAATGAGAGGACAGAAAAATGCTATGTATAAAGTCTCAAATTATATGTAAATCAACAACCTGATTTTATTAAAGTAAAGGAAATCATCAGGTCCCGCCTACTGGAGACCATGAGCCATTGGGGAGCACCACCCTCTGAGTTAGGACTTCCAAAACTACATGTTTTCTGGGCCAAATAATTAATTTTTTCATTCCCAATTGAAAATAACATTAGGTGAATTAATTTGTTGGTCGTGACAGCTGACCAAAAATTGGTTTCATCACCTGAGAAATATCTCTTAAGTGAGGGGAATGTTGTCAAAACCAGATCTTGATTTGATCATTCATGTTTCTATCTCATCCCGTATTGATTACTGTAATTCTCTGTTCATCTGTTTTAATAAGGCGGCAATGAGGGGGCTCCAGTTTGTCCAAAACCCTGACTTCTGACAGACACACCCAAATCTGCTCACATCACCCCCTGTCGATTTCCGTATTCATTTTAAAATTTTAGTTCTGACTTTCCAGGCGCTGCATGGTCAGGCCCCCCAATATATCAGTGATCTGTTGTGCCCCTACTCCCCAAGGTGCACCCTTCAGTGGTCAGACCAGAACACCCTAATGGTGCCGAAGACCCTTTTTGAAACTCGGGAGACAGGGCTTTTAAGACGGTAGCCCCCAGACTCTGGAACAATTTTCCCCTCTCCCTCCGTTTGATCGACTGATACTGATCGATGATATTTTTAAAAAGCAGTTTAAGACTCTTTTATTTAGACAAGCTTTTAATTAACAGGGTTTTGTTTGTCTCTTTTACTTATCTTTTATTTCTGCACTTATTTCCATATTCACTGTACTGTATTCATATTTTTGTATGCATATGTACTTATATTTATTTATTTTTTTGTACTGTTTTATGTTTATCTAATTGCACTTATTTCATGTACAGCACTTTGTGATTTTTATCTGTGAAAAGCGCTCTATAAATAAACTTGACCACTTACTTTACCTACTTACTTTTGAGGTCAGAGTATGTCGGGTATCTGCCGCCAGGGGGCGCCAGCGACAACTTTGTGTGTGTCTAAAAATACATTATGACAGTAGTTAAGTCTAGTGATGGGCATGGCAGTTCTTTTAGATGTACTGAATCACTAGAATCAGTTCACTAAAAAGATTTGTTCAAAAGATTCGTTCACCAAATCATTTAGCAGGAGAAGCCTGCGACTCCAACCTCCTGAACTGATACACAGCTGAACAGTTCAGGATTCAGTTCATTTCATAGCTTCTGGGACTGGGAGACTAGAGTGTTTGGCTTTGTTACTTTGATAAACAGGTTTTTAAAAATGTACTTGTTTATAAGTCATGATGTTTTAAGTGTACTGTCCTATGGTATGCTATTTATCAGGTCTGCTCAGTAAATTGGGGTCAGTGAGTGATTCGTTCACTGAACGTTAAGAAGAAATCACACTAAACATGAGCTGTTCCCTTGCAAACCGCTGCAATGATAAGATGCTGTAGGTTTAATGCACTACTTGTTAAATGCTGTGTCCTATTGTATGAAAGTTGTTGTGGTGGCAATTTAGCAGTGAAAAAAAAGGTGGTTTTGTCCAACAAAAATGATTCCAGAGAGTGTAGTTCAATGTGTGATTCATTCACCAAGTGATTCAGGTGTCAGTGCACATGGTCCCTTGTTTGCCGGCTGCTGGCCTGGCAAAGCTGTTGAAGCGAAGGAATCACTCAAGGAGGTGATTCGGTTCAGTACGTTCACTTAAAAGATTCGGTTCTTTTGAACGAATCGTTCGCGAACGACACAACACTAGCTTAATTTAGTCTTACCCAAATTTGGACATCTACAAAAATATCCCTCGTTAACCAACTATTCTAAACTGAGGACATATTAAAACTGATAATGCTGCATTCACTACCAGCTCGGATAAAACCAACACCCATTGACATACATGAACTTTAACGTATTTAATGTTGTTTTAACAGGTCTGACAGGTTTTGCTTCAACCGCCTGCCACACCCACTTTCACACACCAACATTTCGTCTGCCACAGTGTGAGATAAATTGATATAATGAAGTCTTCTGACTGTAGAACGTGAAAAAACACACTTTAGGCTGTGATTCGGATAGTTTCCATGAACTTATAACCCTCGGACTAATAATAGCCTGTTGCATTTGCGCCACGTGGAAGGAAAGAAAGCTGCACAAAAGGAGGAAACTGTAAATCACACACAAGAAACACACTGTACACGGGTTTTTATCCGAAAACAAACGTGAACTGTGATTGACTTGACATCCACACAGATTTGAGACAGAGAAGTTCAGGATCAGCCGAATTCACGGTATGCTTTTGAGGCGGTGCAAACTTTAAGACTATAACACTTATTTGTTTGGTATTTTAGCACTAAAATATGTTTTTTTTTTAAATGCAGCATTAGGTTTTATTCCAATTTCAATAGATGTACTCACCGTTTCGCGGTCCTAGCCCTATCTCTGATGGTGGTCTCTAAGAAGGTCGTTACAGGAGCGCTTGTTGTGCAGCTACGGGAGCAGAAAGCGACCAAACTTCGCGAATACGCGCTGGTGGATTAAATACCACAGGCGAAATCTTTAGAAGCTTTCTACTGCCTCTGAAACGAAGCGAATAACTTAAAGAAAATCTGTGAAAAGGTTGAAGTACTAAAAAAAGAAAAAAATACCTTTGTACATGAGCTTGATTTAAAACTTGAAAATATGAACAAAAATGGCAGTTAAGATGCATTTTAGCTTAAAAAGTGCACTTATTGGTCATTTTCAGTGACACTATTTAGCTTACCTTCTGCAAAGGTTCAACATCGTTGCATATTGGTAGATAAACATTTCAAGATCATGTCTGCCTGGATTGAAAATGTGATTTTAACTGTGAGAGGTGAAACAAAATGTGCTACTTTCATGTGCAATCCTCTACAAGTAAGGGTTGTTTGCTTTATAAGAAATGTGCCTTTTTGTTAAACTCCCTTAATTAGATACACATGCAAAAGTAGGATCGACCATTTTCCCATTAAACTATGAAGAATCAAACTTTCCCACACTTTTCTAGTTCTTTTTTTTCACATTTTTGTATCAATGCAGCAGCATATGAAGAAATGTATTTCCTTCAAGCTACTTCTCTTAAAATGTTGATGTATATTTGCATGTGTATTGCCTTGAGTCAGTATGCAGGCCACAGGAGAGCAGTTAAGACATACAGCTGAGTATATCTGAGAGATTTAGACACTGATTTTATTTTGAGGGGCTTAGTTATTTCATTTATGCTCTAATTCCTGTTGTATTATCACCAAGTGCTGTCCCATTATTTATACATTTGTCATCGTATCAGTGAAAAACAACGATTTAATTTGCACACAATAGCTGCAACAAAGGTTTTACTTCTTTGAGAGTACATGATGTCAAAGTCAGAGGACCATGAGTCACAGAAACAAGAATTATCAGCTACAGTCTCTAGCATCAGATCCAAATGCAGCCACCTTGTGGAGCAGATACTCTTGACTTTGAAATGTGTTTTAAAATGTCTTTTTCTCATATATTATATCATGAGCTGGGTGGAGCAGAAGCAGACAGGCCTTGCAGGAGCTCCATCTGCCTCCTCTTGTCTTTAGCACGGTTGATAGTCATCTTGAAAAGGCGACAGTACAGCTCCATGGCAGCTGGAGTGTCATCATTCCCGGGCACTGGGTACGTCACCAGGCAAGGGTTGCAGTTTGAGTCCACCACACCCACAGTGGGAATGTTCATCTTCGCAGCATCTCTGATTCCAACGTGCTGCTCGAACACATTGTTGAGAGTGGAGAGGAAGATAATGAGGTCTGGTAAACGCACTCCTTTGCCGAACTGGATGTGGGCATTGGTGAGGACGCCGCCCCTCCAATACCGCGTGTGTGCATACTCCCCACAGTCCTTTGCAGTGTTCTCCACTAAGTGGCAGAACTGACGCCGGCGGCTGACAAATAGGATGATGCCACCACGATACGCTATGTGGGCGGTGAAGTTCAGGGCCTGTTGAAGGTGCTCCATGGTCTGGTCCAGATCAATTATGTCCTGGTCCAGTCTGCAGCCATACAAGTAAGGCTCCATGAGCCTGAGAAATAGAGAACACATGTTAGATTAATAGCTTGGAAATCGTACCCCTTCACCTTACTGAAGATAATTATGGATCAGATATAGATCTATGTTTAGCATATTAACTGGTTGAAGCTCATGTGTTGAAATTTTCTGGAATCAGGGTGTATAAACCAGCCTCATTGATTTGCAAAGTCACTCAAGCCCATAATAGATTCAATACAGATTGGAAAAATATCTTAGCTTGTAGGGCTGGGCGATATGGGAAAAAGTTTATCACGATACATATATATTTTTAATATCAGTTGATATCGATATGTATCATCATATAAAAAAATCACTTGTCAATCTTAAATGTTCACTGTTACTTTTAAATTAAATTTAATATGTACTTGACATAATTTGCAGTGCACATTACTCTGCTTCATGTCCGACCTCAAAAGACCAAAATACCTCCACACCACTGACGTTTAGGTGCCAGTGTTGTGGACGATGTCCTTATCTGTTGAGCCTTCATCTGCATTTCTGCCGGGGGCAGCACTCATTTTCTTTTTTTCTCACCGTGCTTCATGTGTTAAAGTGATATGGTTGCGTGTAACTGCAGTCTGCTACCACACAGTTGTTTGCTACTTGGTTCTAATTCAGCACATGATTGGTTCAGTGCTGTGTGACCTGGAGAAACTCCCCTTTTCATTGGCAATTTGTATAGTCCACCAAAACATGGCAGAATGCCAGCTATCGAAAAGCATATTGACCATGTTTCACATCGATATCAAGGGAAATTTATTTTTGATATATATCATTATCGTTTTATCGCCCAGCCCTATTAGCATGTCATATATATCATTTTTAAAAAATCAAAACTTTTTAAAAAGTTCAGAACAGAATTGAGTTAGATTGAACCTCTTAATCAAAGTGGATTTTTGTGATTTAAAAGGAATATTTAGGAACAAGAAGAGGAGGAAAAAGATAATACACCCTTGCTGCTGAGCAGTGTTGTTTTCGTCAGGCAGGACGAAAACGTAAATGACGACGTCAGACCCCTTTTTTCCTTGACGAAAATGAGACTAAGACGAACATCACCAAAAGCTCTGTAAAGACTAAAATGTGACGAAAATTGTATTGATTTTCGTCAGACGAGAACGAGACGAGACTAAATTGTTATTAGGTGGACGAACAAAGTTTCAAAACATGCTTTTTTTGTCCTAACAGTCACGCCCCCATCACACACGCACCAAAAGCCTCGCTCGCGCACAGCTGCGCGCACACACTCATACACATGCACAGAGCGGCAGGTGGAGGAGGCGCGCACACACACACACACACACCGTGGCAGCAGGCACAGCAGCGGTGCCCGGTGGCCGAAAAAAAGAGGGATGATTTATGGTCCTACTTCAGATACAGTCCAAGTGACAATAAAACACAATGTCTTGGACGGGGACGGGGAGACAGACGACAGTTGTGGAGCCACAGCTTCCTCATGCTGCGGCTTCATACTGTCGGGAAAGAACACCACGAACCTCTAAAGGCACCTTTTCGTCGACTAAAATTAGACTAAAACCTTTTGAGTTTTCGTCGGACTAAAACTAGACGAAAACTATCAAGGATGGAAATGACTAAAATGGGACTAAAACGAGGAAGCATTTCGTCAAAATGACTAAGACTAAAACTAAATCTGAAATGCCTGCCAAAAACAACACTGCTGCTGAGATGACACATTACAAGATTACAACAATGCTAAGGTGTTTGCAATACACCAAAGTATTTGGTAAAAGTTAAAATTTATGTATATATTTATCTAACGGATTTCAAGGTAAAGAGATGTACAAAAAATAACAATATCCTTATAGATTAAGGCTACAGTGGCTTCTCCACTCCTTGGCGTTGATCTCTTTGAAAAAGGCCTGGAGCCCTTTAATACCTGACAACAGAAATTATGGCCAGATTTTTTTTTTTTTGAGCTGAAAATGTTTATTTCACTTACTACTGAAAACCAAAATAAATCAAAATGTCCTTAAAATTTAACAAATACATTTATTCACCTCCCTAAAAAGGACATTTTTATCATTTATTTGACTGTATTCAGGTGTTCTTTTTTTAAGTAATTTGTTGATCATATTAATTTGATAGAAGTCTATAAAAGTATGTATCAAATATCTTTCTCTCTTTCTTTATTTATCTCAAACTTAAAGAACAAAAAACACGCATCTCGGGAAAGACTTTTCCGGCGGAAAGTCCCACCTCCTTCGCCTCTGATTGGCTAAAAAAGCTGGAAACGTCATCACACGCTCAAGCCAAATGGTCAGCACTTATAGCCAATCAGAGGCAAAGGAGGGCGGGACCTTCCCTTGACAACCTACAGCGTCCCAGGTAGAAGCGAGAGGACAAAAATGGAGTCTACTTAACCTCAAGTGATGGCGAATTGGTACTCCTTTTGCTTTCTCAAAAGAAAAAGAAACGTAGCACATGGGTGCATCCAATAAAAGAAAGAAGAAGAGAACTTGGTGAGTTTCACTGCTTGGTTCAGGAGCTGAAACTGTACCACGGTCGCTTCAGAACCTATTTTCGGAAGTCCATTGGACAATTTGAAGTTCTGCTGAAACAATTCGCTCCAAGTTTAAAGAGGCAGAGGACCAGACACTAGACAACTAGTGTTGAGATGGCTTTCTGTCATGGTAGCATGTACTGAGTCGGGGCCAGTACCAGATAAGCACATGAAACTATGGTAACAACCGTTAGCTTATGTTAGCACAGATGAAAGTTAAAACAAAGACGTTTAGCAAACTGACGCTATGACTCTCCACAAGTTGTCCTTCAGGTTGTTATCTTTGTAATGTGTGTGTAAACGATCATAAACAAATCAGCCGATTGGCCATGTTGGATATACCAGTAAATCAGACGTCGCAACAACACCCAAATCTGATTGGTCAGAAGTGGACACACAGAAAAATGCGAAACTTTTGAAAAATCGACCGTGATCTGAAAAAATTAATGCAGCACTAGTGCAGGACGGGAAAACGTCGCTGATGTGAACACTTGTATTGACAGGATACAGGTTCGAAAAAAAACTGACATCTGAAATAATCGCACAAAAATAACGGTCCTGGTGTTAAAGGACCTTTAGAGAGGTATGGCAGGATCATGGAGCAGTAGGGTGTGCGTAAGGATTTTTGTGGTAATAAATACTTTGATTTGTTCTTGATTCCAATACTTGTTGAAATTTCTGAACACAGATATTTTATGTTTTTTTGTGATGAAATATCTGTGGTACAAAAGGCATTAAAGGGTTAAGAGAAGCAGGTGATGAGGTGTTGTAAATCATACTGACCTGTGTCTGCAGCCTTTCTTATGGCCCAGATGAACTCGGGCGTCAAACAGCTGCTTCAACGAGAACAGCTCCGACACATGGAAGTAATCTGGTTTCTCAAGTGTCTTCTTTAACGTTTGATCTGCGTGTACAAGAAAAAAGAAAAGAAACACTTAATAAAATCTCCATGAAGCAAGACTGACTAATACTGTCACCCCTGATCTGTCATCTCACCTGCAACCTCTTCAGGTTGGAGTTGAGGAGGTTTGACTGACGCTGCTGCGGTGACATATTGGTGTCCACAGCCGACTGGAACAGCCCGTGAAGGTCGCAACCCACAAAGACCTGAATATAAGACACAGGAGCTGGTTAATTTGCAGGATTCCACTTGTTCCTCACACGTAACTTCACGTTGCTACTGAACATCAAGCTAGCTATCGACGCTAACTTTGAGCTAAGCTGCTATCTTGTTTCCGGTAAAGACAAACAACAAAATAGCTGTACGGCTGTTCTGCTGTGTTAAACATGCATCCACGGCTTCTTAACAATAACTATACTTTCAGAAAATTCAGATATTTTATATGTAAATACCTCTCGCCAGTGCCCGGGCTGCCATGCTTGTCTGGAAGGTCAGGGAACTGCGCATGCGCCGATGAATATATCTTTCTTTACGTTGAAGGCGGTATGTAGCAAACTCTGTGAACGTTATCGCCACCTACTGTACTGGGGTGTGCGTTGGTGACAAAACTGGACTTTTTCCGTTTTTTATCATTATTTTTAACGATTTGAATATTTATAGCACATAATTTACCACGTACAATACTTATTTATCTAAGGAGCAGTTGCCTTTTAAAATCTGAATTTTAAATCACACAACCAACCAAGAAAATGCATCAATGACACCTGTTATACCTCTTTAACCTCTTTTATTAGAAAAACAAAAACAAAAAGGACTGGACCCCTGGCGTAACTGTTTCCATTTTGTTAATCGAAAATTAGAGTGAAAATTGATACTGTTTTTCTAGAGTTTACGGGCTTGTCTATAGTTGGTCCACGTATGTTTGCTTGGTGGTCTGGCATGTCACAGCAGTTTAAATAGTCCCAACTAACCTTTGAGTGACAACCTAAAAAAAAAAGAATTTATTTGAGGCTGATCACACAACATTGGGAAGGTTTTTGAAAAGAATGTTTACATTTTTAGTGCAAAACTACAAAAAAAATATGCTCCTTTATGGCCTTACAAAAATGGCTCTTACGTACAATTGTGAATTTAAAGCTCCTGTGAGGAGTTTTTTTACATTAATGAAAAAGACTGAAATTCAAACTGTTGCCTTACTATGAAATACAAAAGCAAACAGGCAAGATTAATGATCTAATTTTTGTGTTTTTAATGCATTAATGTGGTATATGGGGGAAGATTTCTGCTAGGAACTTTTGGGTTTGCGTCAATGTTGGCGTCTACCGTGGACAAAGCAGTCCTTGCTAATCTCACCCTTTACATGCTTTAAGTGTATTTTCTGACTTTAGCGGTCAAATGTACAATTATTTTAAATATTGAATGTGTGAAATATAACTGTGCTTTTTATTTAGCGGCTCCTACCTCATCAAAAATTACAGTGGTAAAACTGTTGGTCTTGTAATTGATTTTCTTGTTTGCTTTTGTTAACTGTAAAAACGCTTCATTATGAATTTTAGTGTTACATAAATAAAAAATAAAAAAAACTCCCCACAGGAACTTTAAAATTTCCCCATAAACAGTTTTAAACCTTGGTTACATTACAGAGAACGAGGCAAAACAAACTGCTAACAGCCTCAAATGTCAAACTCAACAGAACCTTACATAAACATTTATAGCAAGAGCTAAATAACAATAAAGAGGAACATTAGATATCATCTTAAAGCTTGTTGGGGTAACTCGGTGCTTCATTTTCCCTGTAAGAGATTAAAAAACTTTAGATTAACATTTCTTTGAACTGTTATCAGTCACTAATAAGGCAAAATCCCTTGATCCAGCCCCTCACCTGTTGGCAGGAATGAACTGCAGCTTTCTCTTGACATACTGCACAGCTTTTTTCTGCGCAGGATTGTAACCGAGAGATGGTAGCCCCTGCAAGAATTGTTAAATATACACAACAGTTCATGCTCTTAGTTATTATGCAGCATGCTTTATAGAGAATTTCCCAGTTTGGGATCAATAAAGTATATCTATCTATCTATGCTGAGAAAACCTGTTTAAAAGGCTAAAAATACAGAAGGTCAACCCCGTCCAGCACATTTCTACATATCTGTACCTTCTTGCTTTTTTCAGTATGGTACCTCCTGTTGAACATCGTGCTTCTCTCCTCTGTTGTTAGAGCTATGCAAGGTCTGATGGTGATGCCAGGGTCTATAGCACTGGACAGAGACCTGAGCAGGGCAGAGCAGGATCCACATCAGACCAGTTTTTTATCTTCTTAATGCTCTAATAATTCATCCCTCTGTCCACATTCAACGCTGAGAACCTCCCCTCCAAAATGTCAAAAATAAGATGCATTTACGACAGCCTCGTCACTGCTCAGATTCCACTCTTTATTACACAGATGCACTTAAAAGACACAGCAAAAGTTTTGTTTCATTTTTTTGAAAGAGTGAAAGAAAAGAAGAAACACCTCTTACAAAATATTTACAAAACCTGGCAATGCACAGCATGTTCAGTATTTTCTTCTTTTTCATTGATAAACAAAAATAAATAGCCTTTTTTTTCACATATGAAATTCAAGAAAATTTTAACATGACAAAGAAATGAATGCACGAGATATCAAAGTTAGCAAGACAGAGAGGAGTTACTGCAGTCTGCATGAAATCTGAACAAAAAGACTTGAATCAAACAGGTGAAAGTGAAAGTCTGATGTGGTGGCTTTCTTTGACAACCAAACTTCAAATTTGTTTGAACCAAATATCAAACTGAGTGGGGCAAATAGTTTTAAAAAAGATTAAGTGTTATTGACCATATCCCTGTGGCAGCCAATACGCTCAGGGTGGGAAACTCAAGCACGGCAATCAAGTATTAGTACTCTTTTCAAGGTTGTGAGTTGATTAAACCATGAAAACCTGACAAATCGTGGTCATTTCACTATTGCAGGATTGGGACGTGGCTACAGAGACAACAGAGAGAGATAATCAGGAGGAAACCAGCCAGATTCATTCCGAACACAGCTGACGTTTGCATTCAGCCTTTCACACAGGTAAGGTAGTTATTTTCTACATGACTACTTTAAAAGTGGTCGTTTTGTTATTGGCGTCTATTTTAAGATGTTATCTAGAATTTGCCTCTTGGTAGCAGGGTCACATTTGAGCTACTAAACTAGTATTCCCACCTTTAAGATTAAATAACACAGGATAGGAAACCTCACTTGTGAACCAGCAACAGTCCGAGAAAGGACATTTTAATTCCTGCACGGCACTTAAAGCTCCTGTAAGGAATTTTTTAATATTTCTGAATGAGGCTGAAATAAACATTGATTCCTTTCTAATGACATACAAAAGCAGATAAGACCATCAGCATCATGATTTACAAACTTAATGTCATGGTTTTTAATGCTTGTAATTGATGAGAGGGGGTGAGCGGCCCTATTTAAACCACAGCCACATAACGTATTCGCCACAAGTGATGCGCTTGACCATCAAAAATAAGCAAGATTAGTTTTTTTTTCTTGTCACTACTTAAGCCTATAGAGGACAAAACACAAACAAACCAAAAGTTCCTCACAGGAGCTTTAAACACCACACTGTTGGCAGACAAAGGGTAAGTAAAAATAGACATCGGCATAGATAACTGCACCTCCAAAGCAATTACCTATAAATCTTTAAAATGATCATGTTGTTGGTGAGCTGATGGTTGCACCGTGAAGAGATTTTTCCTCTGGCCACTGAACTTAAGTGGACTCAAAATCAATCCTAAAGAAAGCAGACAACGTGAGTTGTTTGATTTGGATAAAGTGGAAACTGAGGCTGATTTCCTCAAAACATAATAACCTAAAAGACTTATTAATGTCTCATGAGTCAAAAGCCTGAACAGGCTGCCCAAACTTTAAACTATATTTTTAACTTAAATATGACCCTCCTGACTCTCCCTATCTGTTTATGAAATAGGAAGCTGTGAAATGACCACACTTAGCCAGATAATTAAAGTTTATATGATTTCAGCCTGGAACAGAGTAATAACACATGATAACATCTGAGCTTCCCTGTCTGAGTGGGGCGTCAAAAGCAGACGGCTGCTGTCGTAACACGGTCTACTGTTTGTGTTAGTCAAGAATAGATACAAAATTGAATGAACAAAAAAGGGCCAATGAACAGTAAAGAGTGTAATCATCCTTTAAAGTGTACCCTGGTCTTTTCTCTTTTTGTGCAAAAGTTAAAAAAGGCTCAAAGTGTGGGCCAGGAAAAAAGGTGGTTTTCTGGAGTCATTGTCATTATAAACGCCCGGCCTGTTTAAGTAAGTAAATCTATTCATCATCATTATTTATGCTAATACTATGGCAGCATGAAGTAATATTGCTAACTTGCGTTACCCTCAAGTATATTAAATAGGGAAATCCAAATCTTACAAAGTGGACTTCCCTCCATTCTTCATTGTGTACATGATTAGTTTGTTTCTGTCACTTCCTTTTTGATTACATATTTAAGATATTTAGGATAAAGTCGTCTGAACTTTGAAAGTGGTCATGCAGTTTGGCTCCAGTACCGAGTCACTGTATTGCTTTTCAAAGGTCTGATGATATGAGTGAAGAGTTTTCACTGTGTTGGAATCATGTTAAATAGTTGTATAAATGTACAAACACGTTAAAAGTGCCTGTTTTAGTTTTTTTCTTTTTTTTTTTAAATGGTTATTAACAAACGTTCCCTTAAAGCGTATAAATGAATGAGCTCGATAACATCCTACTGAACTGATATAAAACTGGATTATGATGCTATTGGACAGTCTGACCCAGGGGGAATACTTACAGTGTGGGAAAGCCCTGCTTCTTCTCTGGATTTCTCCTGCTGTCTGACTCACCATCTGTCTCATCTATGAACTCATCCTCTCTTCTTTCTAGATGTACTTCCTTCTCATCTATCTTGACGCTCTCTCCTTCTCTGCTCCTCTCACTCAGAAAGTCCACTCCCTCCTTTCCCTCACACCTGTCCCTGCTTCGAACCTGGACGTGGTTGGTCCTATTAGATTCCAGTTCAACAAACACACTCTTGTCTTTCGATATGTGCACCATACTCTTTGTTTCTCCCTCTATAGGGCACTGTGATCCACGTGGAAAGGGCGTCCTTGGGTGCTGCTTGGCGAGGGATGTGAGATTTAAAACAGTGGGTCTGGAGGTCATATTTACAGGCGTCTCTGCAGAGCAGGAGAAAGGGGGTCTACTGGTCCTAGCAGAGGACCAAGCAGTGACTGGAGTCTGCGATTTAGGGATGGCGCCTCCGCTCTGATATGGCGCAGACGCTGATGAAGTCTCGCTGACTCTAGATGAGGTGATATGGAATTGAGTCCGGCTAAGAGTCCTAGCATCAGGAGTGGGAAGTCCAAGACTTTGGCGCCACTTGATCGACTCTGAGCGAGAATAAGCAGCGCTCGGACTCAGGAGTGGCCGAACTCTCTCAGTCTGCGGTGTGACATCCTGGACGTCACTGTTTCCAGCGCTGGGCTGCCACTGCTCAGTTCTCGCAGCTCCAGCTCCATCTGCCGGCTCCAGGAGATTCGAGCCGCTTGGCAGGACTGAAGACATATGCAGTTGTACTCCACTGGAGGATATATCCGGTCCAGAGCTCAGCGGCGATGGTTTTGCGTCTCTCAGTGGCGTTGGAGGAGGTTGATCCCTCCGTGGGGACTCTCCGGAGAGAGGACTGATATTTGTTCCTGGAATTTCAGCCAGCTGATTTTCCAGTTGAACGTCTTTATCTTGAGGAGGGGAAGAAACAACAACAGTGCCGTTCCTGGATACTTCTTCATCCTTGCTTTTCTCTGCGGTGGAAACTTTGGCCTTTTCAGCCAGGAACCGTCTGATCTCTTGCTCAATGCTGTCATCACTGTCAACTGAACTGCTGTCCTCCTTGATCTGAAAACCTGTCTCACTGTTGAGCTGCAGGGTGTCTTGACTCTCAGTCGCTTTCAAACTCGCTGTTTCAACTCTGTGCGCATCACACTCCTTACTTTTATCAGCTTGCTTATGTTGTAAAACAGCCTTTTTACCCGACCCTGACTTGTCTTTCATGTCATCCTTAACCTTTTGGGTTTTTTTCAATGCACCGCGCTTGGAAGCGGGATTCTGTTTCAACTTTTTGGACTGTGAAGTGTTTGCTGGCACAGATTCGTCCTCCTTGAGGCGCTTCCTTGATTTCAGCTTCATGTCTCTTGTTTTCTTCTTTAGCTTCTTTTTTGTCTTCAGCAGGTCTTTGATGGCGGTGTCCAGGTCTTCGTCGCTGTCAAGTGAGCTGCTTTTGTCTCCACTTTGCTCTTTCTCGTGCAGCCCGGCGAGGTGTGTTTGACCTCTCTGGCTGGGCTCTTTTTTAGGAGATGTTTCTTTCCCTTTGTTTTCCGTTATTGGAGTTTTGTTCATGTTTTCCTCTCTGCATTTCCTTCTTTGTGTCAAAGACAGCCTCAGAGGTTTCTTCTGGGCTGCCGATTGCCTTTCTTTCACCTCTTCCGGTTCATTCAAACACTGAGGCTCTTGAGTTGTAGACGAGTCTGGTGGTTGTTTGTGCATTTGGGCTTTCTGCTCAAGAAACTTCCTGATTTCTTGCTCAATCCCGTCTTCGCTATCAACGGAGCTGCCATCACTTTCATCCTCTCGGCCGTTGTCGGGAAGAGAAGATTGCAAGGAAGATTCAGAGGGGGCACAACTGCTGAGGCCGACACTTTGATGAAAGGCCCCGGGCATGACGGTTTTGGAAATGTCCAGTATTGCCTCTGCACACATCAGCTCTGCAGTGGTATTAACTTTTGGAGGGGCGGGGGTAGGAGTGGGCTGCTCTTTAAAACTCTCCATCTGAAACAAAAGTAATCCATTTCCTTCCTTGGGTAAAACTGAAGGAGGAGGAGGTTGAGCAGCTCTCACTTCTTTTTCAGTCCTTGACTTTTTCTTTTTCAGTTTGCGTTTCTTCATGTTTTCCGCGCTTGTACTTCCAACAGCATGCATTAAAGACTTAGTAAAAGCCTTCTGCTTGTGTAAAAATGGCTTCACTTCTCTTTTCTCTTTGAGTTGCTCGAGCTGGTAGCTACGAATAGCTTCTTCAATCCCATCGTCGCTGGTGGAGTCTGACTCCTCGCTGAATTCGTGGGGATTGAAAGCTTCCCTTTTGTTCTGCTGCTCATTTTTCTCCCGCTGGTATCTCTGAATGGCTTCCTCAATGCCGTCGTCACTGCTCGAATCGTTCGAGTCTTCTTCCAATTTGACTGTGACTGGGTGGTTTAACTTGTCAAAGAGGTTGAGGGTTTTTGGGGGGCTCTGTATCTGCTCTTTGGGCAAGATGAAACTTTTGGTTGGCATACTTTTGTGCGATTCCAAATTCTTGAAGGCGTTTTCATCTAAGGAGGCTTTGTGTTTGATGTACTTCTTGATAGGGATCACAGCAGTGACTGTGGGAGTCTCAGTTCTGTCACTTGTGGGAAACTGATGGTTGGCGATCAAAAATCTGCTGCTGTCTGAGTTCTGTTTGGAAACCTCAGGAGCAGGCGGGGTTTTCCTGGAGACTTTGGTTGACTGGAGAAAGGTGAAGCACGGTTCCGCCTTGCGTTTGTGACCATCTTTTTCCTTCAGGTACTCCAATATGGCTTCTTCAATTCCTCTATCCACAGAATCATCGCTGTCAGAGTCAGTCAGAGTCTCATGGGTCACTGGAGAGATAACATCTGCAGCCAGGTTTTCAGTGGCACCTTTAGTTTTGGACTTGGCCCCCACATAAGATCCAACCGGGACCTTGCAGACTTGGGTATGACCATCCTGTCCTGATAGCACATTACCCTCGATCTCGTCGCCCATCTCGAGTGAGGACTGAGTGCTCCTAAGGCTTTCTATGATCATCTGGACCTTGTTTGAGATTGGTGGGCCTCTGGTGGACAACTCAGAGTCAGAGTCATTGAAGCAGATTGGAAGGCTATAGCCTCCAGGTGGGCCACATGTTCTCCATTCTGTTTGCGTCGCTGCCACAGGAGGTACATTCATCAAGTACATTCTAGTTTAGTGAGGTGAGGTCCTGGACCATTGGAACGCAGCTGCCTCCCAACACAATCACATTGTTCAATCTGTGAATAAAGCAGAAACAGAGAATTGGAGATAGTCGGATTAAATCAGCCCCTGTGTGCAGAATTTCTATGACTCATCTATCAAGTTATTATAATGCTACTATAAAAATTTGTTGGATATCCACATGTTAAATCTCTTTGTAGTAGCTCTAAATGAAACCCTTCAGCTATAAATTTAGAATATTGTGAAAAGATCTTTTTTTTTTGGAGTTTAATAACGTACACTCCCATATTTTCTATCTTTAATACACAGGAAGTGAACCCGTCTTTGTTACTTTGGCTTCAGCTAATCAATACTGTTATTGCAGCAATAACAGTGTTTTGAAGGTGCACATATTTCCTCAGACTCTAGTCTATGACTTTTAGCCCAGCATACATGGTTTTACTGAGCATGTCTGGTACTAACAGGTACCTGTTAGATTAATTGGGCATGAATTGGTAATTAATATCTAAACTGATGCTTTGTAGTAAAACTGCAGAGGTATTAGACTGAGGGGTGAGAGTTTTAAGTGGTTTTTGCGGCTTAGCTATCCATCAGTTAAATTGTACTGAAGGTTTCAGACACACTTATGCCTGTGGTCTCACACTAATGTGCCCCAAGTACCATATTATCTACATGAAGATAACAGAGTTCACTTATGATGTTTAATCTTTCATGCATAGTCCACAAGTTGTCTTGTTATATTACGATACCGGATGTTAACACACTTCTTCTTTATGTGCAAGATTGATTATACCAGCCTCGTGCAGTGCATCACAACATGTATCAAAAATTGATACAACATGAGCAGGATGGGGTGCTGATTGGTTATGTATCATCAAAACTGCAAAATTAAACTTTTAAATTAACAATAAAAGCTTTGCATGTAAATGTAAGTGTGTCAGTATGTCAAAAGCAGAGCAGACTTATAGTTTATAAACCTAAATTGAGTCTTGAGCAGGAAAATTAATGGATCACATGAAAAATGTGGCCTTACTTGCATGATTTCTTCACTTAATTTGGTACAGACACGACTATGAAAATGCTCAGAATTAACCTAACCTTTGCTTCTTGCATTACACTTCATGCAAAACAGTTTAACATGAGTGCGCAGATGGAAAACACCAATATCTTATCAATGCATGCCAGGCAAATATCAGTCCAGTTCATTGGCCCATTGGTGTGTCTGCAAACTGTAATCAAAAGTAAAAGCACAACACTAGTAATGTTTTCAACAGTATTGCACATTTTACAGTAATTCAAATATAATTCCATCCATTTTAATCACAGATTAACTATCTGACCTAATGTTATGTAATTACTTCACCACAGGGATGAAACTTGGTTTTCGAATTATAAGGAGGGTACATTGTAAATTAATCCTTTAAACACAGAGGGGCGCTGTTTTGGATATCAGTTTCACGTTTTCACAAGAATGCATCTTGTTTGTAGTCTACAGCCACGAGTAGAAAATGTTCCTCATTGCACCTGTCAGACAGCTTAAACGTGAGGCTGTTTTATCTGAGCACGTCTCCAAAGAGAAACCCAATTTCCCGTAGTCTGGAGGGTTCTCCGGGAACAAGCACTCTTTTTCGGACATTAACCCAGCCGAGGAGGCGCTGTGTCTCTGCCATCCATCCTAACGACCCCCCTGTTTAAATCCTCTCTTCCAGCAGCCCGCAGGAGGGAATGGGCAACCTGACTACAGCATTAACACCGATGGTTAATGTCGCTAATATTCACCTGTTTTCTTACTGAATATAACCGAGTGAACCCTGGTAGTGAAAGGCGACGAACGCTACGGGGAAACCAGGATGGGTCAGCAAAGACGCCCCGCTGAAAAATGCCGAGAAGCTAATAAAACTGAGCTGAAAACGAAGCATAATGAAGCCGAATGCCAACTTTGTTTGACATATCATGTGTACAAAGAAAGTTTAGCCACACACGCCACTAAGTGTAACGCATTTTAAGTATTACATAATCAAACCTGTTGTCGCGTGTATTTCCCTTCCGGACGCCTCACTGGTTTCAACCGAGCAACCCCGACTGTCCCCGTAACCCTCTAGCGGCACGGACTGCACTGGTGCCCGGCGTGCAGCGTTAGGAGACTCCGCAGAGCGACCATGTTTCTCGGTACCGGCCACGGTTGTCAAAAACCCACATTGCTCGGTAAATGTTACCACGAAAGGTAAGTAATGTCCACGAACGGTGCTTACCAAAGCGGTAGGGTTAAAAATTTCGTGTAGAAATGCGCGAGATGGAGCGAAACAGCGGAGGGATAACCGTTGCTGGTCGGCGACTTGAAAGACACAGGCGGGCCTCCCGGCTGCTGCAGCCCCGGCATTTTCTCCGGCAAAGAAAGCCTTTGTATAGAGCCCTCCTAGCTACGGTTATTTCCACACAGATACATCCACAAAAACACGGCGCAACAGTTCTACTCACCTCTGTTTGACACAAATAGAGTTCTACGGAGAGAGTGTGTTTTAAGCGAAGCTTGCATATGGATGTTAAAGAGAGCCGTCGTGGTGATATTTCTGTGTCCGTCACCAGCTCACTCACTCCGCCTGAAGCTCCCTCCGTCGAGTCCCCCTCCGCTCCGACTGCCGAGCGGACAAGCTTCCTTAAACCCAGACTCCAGCCAACCAGGACCCATTCAAACATGGCAACGAGATATTCTCTGAAAATACCAACGATTTCAATTTACACGACTATTTTCTGCAAAATTATACTGTAGATATCGTGGATAGGTATAAATAAGATCCGTCAATGCTGCATTTTTAGATAAAGTTAGGCTTTTCTGGAGGCAGTTGAGGGTACCCTAACAATTATAAGTATCCTGTGCTTTGTATCCTGGCGGACCTAACAACATAGTACCTTCAAAGTTTAATCTTTTAAGGTGAAGTTTGATTATCAAGACAATTTCTACCATGGTAATATAAAACACTCATTTTAATGAAAATAAAATCATACACAGTAACTTACAATAAGGTTCGGGGTAAATCATGTATAAAATTTAAGACCTTTTTTTAATTGTTTAAAAAAACAAAACAGTCAGATGACAAAGTACAGATGAATTTTCAGAGTATTACCAGGATTTCAGTCTTTAAAATTTCAAATCAAAGGCTATTCTGTAGCAGAGAAACAAGATACAATATTATCTTGTGTGCACAGTGTAAGTCTACTGAGAGGGCAAGTTGTTATTTTGTTTGCATTATTTATCTTTAAGGGACAAGTTATTATCTTGTGGAGACAAGGAATTGTGTTGTGCACACTAGTTATTTTTTGCAACAAGCTATCTTGTGCACTCTTAAAACTTTGTATTAACTAGTTATTATCCTGGGCACACTACATTTATCTTGTTGAGACAAGATATAATCTTATGCACACTCTTCTCTTCAGAACAAGTCATTTTGCAGAGACAAGATATCTTGTGTGCATTCATTCTGTTAAGGAGGCAAGTTATTTCACATAGAGCAATTGACTTGTAGAGACAAGTTGTCACTTTTTAGAGACAAGATATCTGGTAATCATTAATTACCTTGCTGTGAATTTTTTTATCTTGTGCACACTTACTATCTTGTAAAGCCAAGTTTAGTATCTTGTTTCTACAATATAATGTGCCCAAGTTGTTATTTTGTACAGATTATCCTGTGCTCATTAATAATCTTGTATAGTGAAGTTATTATTTTGTGCACACTGATTATCTTGTAGATCCAAGTTATCTTGTGTTCATAAGATGTTAACTTGTTAGAATTAGTTAATCATATTCACACAGGAAAAAATTTTCACAGAGACTCTACGTAAAAGCAAAATTTTTATGTTTTTTTTTTTGACCACAAACAAAGAAACAAAGAAATCTTGTTTGGAACAAGTTATCTTGTGTGTGCTACACATTTAGCCATAGATATCTTGCAAGATATAACTTGTACCTAGTGATTAAACCTTGTCCTGTCATGGAAAAAAAGCTCTGTGGGACTCAAGGGGCTACGAAAAGAGAGCTACAAGTCAAGATTTAGAAAAGCTCTTTTCTTTACGTCCAGTCTAAACTCTTGGATAGTATACATAATCTTAATTTTAATGAATAGTTTGATGGATTTTGGGACAAAAATAAAGGTTGACCGGAGCATAAGGTAACTAATAAATGTTGGCAAAAGATGCAACAGTCTCTTTCCAGAAAAGAAAATGGATTGAATTTTATTAAAATTCAACTTTTTGCACAAAAAAGTTACAGTTTATTATTATATTTCAAATTAAGAGTGGACATAGATTTCATCTCCATTATTTTAAAAGGGATTGGACTAAATTTACAGATGAGAAAATAGCTGCAGCTGGATTGGTTAAAGATGTTTGATAGAGGGAGTCAGGCAGGTAAGAGAGGGAAGGAGATAGACTGACAGAGACTGCCTGTACTTATAGCAACAATACAGGCATGACTGATAGTATTTGTTGCAGTTCGGGTGAAGCAGGTCATGGCAGCATTCACTTTACAAAAATAAGCTTCTAAATTACCAAACCTGAGAGATTAGAGAGAACAAAAACTGAAGGGAAGACTTAAGTTAGTAACATGAGTCAACGGGACATAAATACATTGAGGCAGGGGGAAGGAAGCGATTGAAGCTCGGTGTATCAAATCCCCCTGATAATACAACCACTCTTTTATGAATGATGCTCAACAAATGCGCAGAGGTATTTCTAGCAGATGGCATACTGTTGGAAGTGTCAACACATATATTAAAAACAACAACAACAACTCGATGGCGATGCATTCGAGTCCCTGCCAGCCCTCAGCCTCAATAAATACAGCGGGAAAAACTGAAGCGGATCCAAAACAAATTGGATTAACCAACACAGGGTATTAAAACAACTGCCAAAATGTTCGTGAGACTCGTGAGAACAGGAGATGATCGTCATAGTCAATGCATTTAAACGTCACCTGGTGTGCATTTAAACAGTCACTAAGGATGAATGTGTCTCTATTGTGAATATTGGCTAACAACAAAGAATGCAACTGTATGTATTGAACGGACTTAACTTATCTGATAGATATTCTTTATATACAGTTAGAGGATTATTAAGCGGATTCACCTTAGACTATAATGATGTTTAATTGTGAAATAGGATTATGTTAAAGCAGTAGGACTCTTTGGGACGGATATTGGAATCAGCCCAGAAAGTTCTTGATCCGTGCCATCAGTAACAGAGTGCCCATTACACTGCGGTAGGATTCACCAATTGTTAGTTAACTTGCACATTCAAAGCAAGCTCAACATCCCTTTTTTTTACATTTAATTTCATTTTAAAATCAAATATTATTTTTGACAGGTGTGCCAGATTCGCAGAAGTTGTGTTGGTTATGCTAATCTTGAAAGTAAGGCTATAAAAACTGACTTGGTTTGACTTGGAAAAGGTAACATATTGTTATTTTTATTCAGACCAAAGCAAATTGACCGCTGGATGAGGACACTAACAGCTGTCTTGTGATGTGGAGTGCCATTTATGTTCACAACAAAAGCAGAAGTTGGGCCACATGTTTGTAATGACAATAATTTTGGTAGGTTGAACTTGTCTTCATTTTTTTGTTTCCTTCCTTGCCAATGTTTCATTTCCCCTATTTGTTCATTGTTCAGTCTTAAAATTGAGTTAACTTTGGCAGTGATTTGGTAACATGCTCTTTCTAGGTAGTTTTGCTTTTTTATTAGGTTACAGGCTTTTTTAAGTAGGTGACTTAATGCTAATAACATGCAGAGAGAGGTTGAAAAGAGCATAGTTAACCACCTTGAGTGGTAGAAGTTCGTAGCAGTGACATCGACACTCGAGAATGTACCATCCATGGCTGCATCTGTGATTTTTTTGGTTCATTTTTAAAAATAAGAAATATTTGTTACTTTTATGCTGATGATATACAGCTGTGCTTACCCTCTCCCTTGTGGAGTCCCCCAAGGCTCCATACTTGGTCCCGTTACCTTCTATTTATGATTTATTTTTGGTTCATATTCAAAAATATGAAATATTTTATACTTTTATGCCAATGATACACAGCTTTGCTTACCCTCTCCCTTCTGGAGTCTCCCAAGGCTCCATACTTGGTCCTGTTTCATTCTTTTTACACTGCCTTTAGGGTTCATTTTTAAAAATATGGAATATTTATCGCTTTTATGCTGATGACACACAGCTCTACTGGACCTTGGAAACAGGAACTCTGCACCCACTGACAGCCTAAATGACACTAAAGCTTGCATGGCTCTAAATGTCCTCATTTTTCTCAAGAGTAAGACTGAAGTTATTATGTTTAGACCCAATGGAAGCCGTGAAAACTCTTGTTTGGACAAAGTGACATTTGGTACTTTTACTCCTTACACAACTCTTTTCTCTCTGTTTTTCAGGAACCAGAGGGAACACTGGATTTTCCAGGAGGGGCAGAGTCCAAGCAAACCACCATGTTCAGCCCGGGCAAAGTTACCCAGTGCTCCGAAGATGGGGAAGAGGAGCTTGAAGAGACTGTTTGGAGTGTGAGCGCATTGACAAACACAAGAAGGAATCGATGTCTAAATGCTGAGTGGATCACAAACAACAACACCATTTCCCATAGTGTCTTGGAGGAAACAGAGGGTCTTTATTTAGGTTACCTCTAATCGAACACTGCCGATGCCCTGCCGAACCTCTTCCAGCCAGCTGCCACTTTATTTGCTCCTCGTATGAACATCATGAGTGAAACGCTCCTCTTCTATTTCCATATAAAGAAAAGAAAACAGGAACAGGGTGTCTGGGTGAACCCAGTGCATTGTTCATGGGATTTTTGGAGATGCACCTCTTCCTTCTCTGACAGATGCTGAATCATGGTTGATCTGATGATAAATAACACTGTCAACACATTTTAATGTACAACCAAGATGGTCAACGCTTCAGAAGCAGAGCTGCAGCTGCACCTAAACTCAGCTTGATGATCACTAGTGTTGGACAGGAAAAGCTTAACCAAAGTCTGAGGCCTTCTGTTTGAAGCCTCATTCTCAGTAAACACGATGAAGTCTGTGCTTGTAATGGTCAATATAATTTGTAGCCACAAGGGGGCAGTGTAAGGCAGGGTAACCTGTGACATACATTTCTAAAGCTGTTTGCTATAGAATGGAGATGTAAAATTTATGTCCTCCATTACAGCATAGCTGTTTCTTTTTTAATTTCCTCTTTCTCTCAAATGTGTGATTGATTAGTGGAATTTTTTTTTGACCTTTTTCTCTTCAGCACATTGTGAACACTTCTTATGCTGTTGTTTCATGTTTTATGAAAGCAGCTGGTTAAGTTTGCTTCAAGTTTGTTTGGTTTTCTTGCTCTTGCTTCATTAAATGCAAGCTGTTGTTGGTGTTGTAAGGGTTGATGTTTTTTCCATTTTGCTGAAAGCACTCTGAGAACTTTTATGATGTCGTCTTGGAGGCAGTTGTTGCAGTTGTTGTTGCTGAGACTTTTCAAACATTCTGTGGTTTTGTGAAGCAGAATAAAAACAACAAAGACATTTTGTCCTACCTTTGCAAAAATCACCCACCTTCATTGATCCAGTTGATGACCTCTGGATGAGTATTCAGGGCTGGCAGCCAAGTCCAGATCTTGGACTGTCATCACTTCTGCCCCTTGACATGTCCAAGTTGTTGTGCTGGTCTTGATGTTTCTGTACTTCTTACTTCGTTCTTTTTAAATCGTGTTTTTTATTGTCCTTCTTGATAGTCTTGCTTCAATGTGTCAACTTTAAGTACCATTCAAACTAATAAAACATACCAGATTAGATTAGCATGGGTCATTTTCAGACTAATTATCCTTACAACTGTGACTGCTATTACTTCCCCTTCCATTACTGTTCCGATTTCTGCTTTTTAAGTTAAATCAAATAAAGAAAGAGAAATTCACTGACCGTTTCTGACCTGGTTGGTGTCCTGCTCAGAGGGACTGGCACTGTCAGTCAGGTCCAGGTGATGAGCAGCCATCAGTACTCTCTTATTACAAATGTGAGCGAAGTACTGTTGCCTCATATTTGTTTGTCCGGATACTGTTATAGTCGTGGTCGTAGATGTTTTTTTTTTGACTTGCATTAAGTTGTCTCTCATGGTAATTTTTCATTTAAATGACTGAACAAATGCTGTGAGTTTACTGTTTTGACACTGATTCAGTGAAAGCACTTCATAACCTTTTTGTTGAAGAAGAAAAAGAACTCTACGGATGCATTCTGCGGAAGAACAACTCGTGATGTAGCAAGACTCAGCAAAACCAGTTATAAGCAGGTGGGCCTATTACTGAGCTTAATGCACATATTGGCTGTAATTTGTTCTGCCTCTGTGATTACAGGAATCACAGGTGCATTGGTAGACAGAGGAGAAAAAACTGACTTAGGCATGTGTAATGGCCACCAGCCGTCCTGAACCCCCATAAACCCCTGAGGGCAACAATAAGCCTCAAAAGCCACCTTTATGAGGTTTTCCCAAGCTTCAAATTTGGCAGGAAACTTAAAAAAAAAGGATGAATTTCTGAAAGCTTCATCCAACATTTAATACAAGTTCAGCAGCTTACAGCTCAAAAGTTTGAAAAGCAATTACCTTTACCATCCAGACATGCCTGGCCTTTATTTCTCTGATTATTGTGGTCTAACCATAGACTGTATATACTATGGACAACTTGGTTCTGCCTTCCACCAGTGTACAGATTTGAAACCAAAAAGCTCTCGGTAATTCTGCGTTTTTTCTTCACTTCTTGAAACCAACATTGCGCAGTAGCGTTTTACGCACTCCACCACTTGCGCAGTAGCGTTGTGCACATTCGGCAGGAGAGTCGCTGTGATGACGCTCGGTTCAAACAGCGTATCCCCTGGGTGAGCTACGCAATCATTGTAAGCCCAGGCTGTATCAAGTGTCAATCATGGAAAATATGAACCCCCTAATAACTTTTAAAAATGGAGATGTACAGAAAAAAGAGGACTTGAGTACAAACCTGTCTGACAGTAACTACATGTCAACATTACAAGCAAGGGGGGAGAAAATGTATATGCTATGTAATTGATTTCTAAAGTTTGTCCACAACTCCATAAGCTTCGCTGGCGGAGGCGGGATTTATGACCTATACTGCAGCCCGTCACCAGGGTGTGCTGTTCTCGGAGTGGCTTCACCCAGCGAGGATGCAGACGCGTCCATTCTATATACAGTCTATGGTCTAAAGGTCCTTACACACCAGGGCCGTCACGAATATAGAATGCGAAAGTATGAAAAATTCGGAGGTGAATTTTGACGCGCCTAACTATACACATCAAGCCTGATGCAATTTTGCTATTTTCCGGGGGAAAAAGACACATCCTGGGGAAGACTTTTGCCGGGGAAAGTCCCGCCTCCTCCCCCTCTGATTGGCTAGAAAAGCTGGAAACGTCATTACACGCTCAAGCCAAACGGTCAGCACTTATAGCCAATCAGATCCAATAAGATAAGCACATGAAACTATGGTGACAACTGTTAGCATACGTTAGCAAAGATGAAAGTTAAAACAAAGACGTTTAGTAAACTGTTAAAGCACACAAACTATCGTCATATGAGAAATCCGATGCTATGACTCTCCACAAGTTATCCTTCAGGTCGGTATCTTTAAAAGTTTGTGTCTTTTATCAAAAAGCACTCTGTTCTCCGACACGTAAACAATCAGCCGGTCGGCCATGTTGGATATACCGGTGAATCTGACGTCGCAGTCACACGCAGTCTGATTGGTCAGAAATGACCGAAAAGAACGAAAAGAACGGGTCTTTTTACTGACCGACCCGGAATGATCCGGTTCACTGAAATGACCGGTTTTGCCCACCACTATTGGGCCTTCCTATGGATTGTTGAGCCGCGTGGCAGCGGAGATTCCATAAAGAAAAGATGTCCGGTGTGAGGAGGATCAGGACAATGATAACAGACAGGATACTGAGGGAACAGAAATGACTGTAATGAACTAAATGAATAAAAAGCAGCGGCAGACAGGTAAATGATCAATCAGTCAATCAATCAATTTTATTTATATTGCGCCAATTCACAACAGTCGTCATCCTAAGACACTTTGCAAAGAAAAAGAGCAGGTCTAGACCACGCTCATTGTTTGATGAATTATCAAGACCCAACCTTATGATGGGATTTGGCCCATCTCATCTAACATGAGTGACAGCGGCAAGGAAAAACTTCCTTTAAACATGCAGAAACCTTGGGCAGGACCCCGACTCATGAAAGACAGCCACCAGGCCGCTGCTGGGTTAGGGAGGAATACAGAGAGAAGAGTAGGAGAGAAAGAGAGAGAGAATGACTAAGGGAGAGGGAGGAAGAGAGAATAGAGAACGAGGGTCAGGCAGGTCCGCAGCAGCCAACCATCTGTAGCATCAGTCCAGAGATGAGAGAAATGAAAATCAAAAAGATAAAATCCAAATGTGTGATGATCTTCATGAGGATGAAGACATGTCTGATGATGATAATGTACAGACCAGTGCTAAGAGAGAGAAAAGCTGACAGAGAGTGACAGGGATTTGATGTCTACACAAGAAGAGCATAACAGCGACTCTGTAGTCTTGATCAGGAAGTTTTTTACAGGACACTAAAGGAACCAGACAGATTAATATTGATAACGTCTTCCCTGATCTCGAACTGTTTTAAGCTCAGCTCAGCCTCTAACTAGAAGCAAAGGAGCTTTTGGTGGAGGAGGCCTCACAGATCAGGAGATTTATCATCTCGGGAAAGTGATTCCCAAAGTCAGAACACTAATCAATGAAGATGAGTAATTGAACAGTCTTCGCTCTCTTTCTATCTCCTCCTGTTGGACGCTTTTCTTGCTTGTTTTTTCTCCTCCTCTATCTCCATGGGTACCTAAACCTAAAACGCCTTCCAATCCAGCCAACTTGTGCTTCTGTGTCATTGCCGGAGGCCCTGCCATCCCCTGTGCCCCCTTGCATTTCCAGTCTCACACTCAAATTGCATTGTTATCATACTATTACAATTTCTCTTTTCTGCTGTGGTATTCAGGTCACTTTTCAGAAAGAAAAAGCACCAAGCATTTGTATGACTGATTTCAGGCCATTTTATAGACTCTAGTTCATTCAGGTTTCAAGGAAATGACATTATCAGTTCACCATCAGAGGTTCAAGTGGGTGTAGAAAGCTTGCAGGCTGTTTAGCAGAGCTGCTGCCTGATGTGACTGGTGTAGTGAAAGTTTGTCCGATTGTTTCCTGAGACCTAGTCATTCATTTTTGTTATCTGTGGGGTCATAAAAACATCCAAAAATTCCCACGTACGTGATTACACCGGAAGGGGAAAACTCACAAAGATGGAGAAAGGGTAGAAGGGGAAGTTAGTTTGCTTTTCTTGGGCTCCTCACTCCTCCTCCCTCCTCCACCTCTTTGGTATCCTCAAACTCAGAAAATGTCTCAGACTGAAGGACACAGTCTGAGTGACTTTTGCCCAGCCTTCAGTCTCCACCTACAGTGTGAGGGTCTCAGTTTTAAAGGTGTCATGATCTTCAGCCTCCTCCTGGACTTTTATGGTTAATCCATCATGAAGGGGCTCCTCCTGGACTCTTTCACGCAGCTATAATGCCAGAATTGATTTCCCTCATCTGTTTCTTTACATTTCACTCAGGATTATTACTTGCATGCAGAACATGTTGTAACTGCATATGGAACACACGGTACGTAGGCTGCAGGAATACAAATGCAGATTCGTAGCCGGCGGCTATTGTTCTGTTGTTTAGACACCAGCTGCTCAAACAACAGACAGGGTCAGTATGAATCAGTCAAAGCAAGCAAAGCAAGTACCAGAGTGATTCATTCTCCCTGTGTAATGATCCAAACAATGAGAAATCACTTTCTCAGGCCTACATCTGAGTCAGTTTACCTGTGATATGTCACGATCCATCACCTCCAGTCTAATCCAGTTCAGTCCTTCTCATCCTAACAAAGTTAAGTGTTTTTCTTCAGATCTTGGAGCCATGCAATTTTAATTTTCAACTAAAGTATATTTTCTGTAAAAACATATGGAGCAGATGCAGAAATTAATAGTTTAAATGCTGCTGTAAGTGTGTGAGTCTGTGGATGTGATGTGGGAGACATTCCTCCAAATTTAGCCTTTCATAAGTTAGTTTGCAGAGCAGTGAAGAAGGCAGACATTTCATGCTCGTTGCATTAAGTTACAAACCTCTAAATATTCATCAGGATTTCCAGGATTAAAAGGCTCAACAGATTTGCTGTTGACTTCCTTTAACTTTGGATTGCAGCCTGAATAGATTTAATTACAGTTCTAAACCAATGAGCAGGCGAAGTCTTGACTGTCTGCCTTACTTCCACTGTAGCTGTAGCTTAAAGGGATATTCCGGTGTAAAATTAAGTTGGGGTCAAACACACTGTTACACCGAGTTAGACACCCCACTGAGAGATTAAAAAATGATCATAAATGTTCTTCCTTGAGCTGCATCACCCCACAGCAGTCTGTAATGGACTTGCCTAAGGTCTCTGTATAAACAAGCGGCTGCTGGAAGAGAGTCGGTGAGTTGTGTTTAGTCTCTTTGCTAAAGAAATAATAGGCAAAGTTAAAAAGATGTTTGGTGGCTAGTACTCTATATATACTGTTGATGAAGTTAGGTGCTGTTCTGAGCATTTTCTGTGGCTATAGAGTAGCGTTTTGGTTGAGCGCATGGCTCCTGGGACCGCTGTCTATTGCTATCATGTGGTCGTTTTTAAAGTTGGTATAACTCGAGAAGCAAGCGGTCGGCAACATTCATCTCTCAACAGGGTGTCTAACTCAGTGTTATGGGGTGTTTGACCCTGATTTAATTTTATGCCGGAATATCCCTTTAAAGGCAAAAAGGGCATCCAAATTAGTGTTGTTTTTGTTGACGAAAATATTTCGTCAACGCCCCTTTTTTAAAATGTGACGAGACGATTGTGCGTTTACACTGACGAAATGAGACTAGACGAAAATGTTAGTGGTGGACGATGAACAGGGTTGCAAAATTCATGAGCATTTCGTCAGTCAAATGCTTAACATATATTCGCAGTGTTGTTTTCGTTGATGATGACGTCATCGTCAAAAAAAAAAAAAACACTGATCCACATGTCCACATAAAAGATGAAATCCACTTTTCAGCAACACTTAAAGCAGGAAATGATGCTATTTGACTTGCTTCTGGCACCTGCAGCACTAAAACAGACTGATTTCCTTTTAACCTTGAAACGCACTCTGGTCATTAGGGTCTATCATATGCATGTATTTGTCAAGTCAGAGGATGCACCCAGAATAAACAAAACACTAACCTGTCTCTGCCCTGCTCTCTTTCTTTTTTTCCTTTTCTTAGAGATTCCTGTTAGTCCTGGCGGCTCAGCCGAGCAGGCGGAGAGGTTGGCAATGTGAAGAAAGGGTTTCAGCACCACGGACAGCACCTCCGCTCGCTCCAGTCAGACTCACAGTGGAGAGGCGTGGAAATATTTCAGGTAGGCCGGGTAATCAGATTCAGCTCTCGCCACCAAAACACATGATTGGTATCAAAATGTTTTCCCTGACCTTCTCTGAAAGATTTGAAGGTAACACACCTGCTGAATACATAAAACAGCCGAGATTACCTGGTAAACCAAGAGGCTGCTGAAGGGAGGCAATCAAAGAGATTCCCTGAGTTGGCTTGATCCTGTCAAACTCTTTGCTTGCTTAGTTGTTTGTATCTGGATGTTGATGTACAGTCTGCTTCAGGTATGCTGAGAGATGCTTTATATATTGATAACAGCACAAAGAGACGTCTTTAACAGCTAAGACAGCAACGCAAAACTGCCAAAACTGACAGCGCTGACGGCGTTTTAGCTGAGTGATGTTTTTGAAAACGTCACAGCTGGGAAAAAAAAGTAGAAAAAGCTGTCTTAAAGATGAGCCCAGTTATAAATTAAACCCAATCATTCAAGTTATTGTAATATTGTCTGTCTACAATTACACTTGGATTTCTTACTTCTTAATCAGGGAGTCATAGCTTAAGTTTTGCTTTGATAGTTTCTACTCTGTCTGTGCGCTTTGATTATTTGCTGCAACAGGGGTGGAGCAGCTGCTGGTAGAAAATAAAGATAATTTTGCTTTTGTAAGGAAGAAACACAAAAGCGGTTTGGCCCCGGTTGTGCGGCAAATACATCTGCAAAATGTTCTTTTGGTTGAAGGACAATTCAATAACATCTTTTTACTCTGTTATTCAGAAAATGGAAAATAAAACTGGTTTGGATTTTGAACACAGCTGAATCTTTCTGCAAAGAAAATCGTGTTTGAATCACCAATTTGACACATAATTCAGTGACTGTTGAGCCTCTACTGTATGTGAAAAAGCAACGTGATTTTACAGTTTTTGCAGGTTTGCTCGTGTTTAATGAAGTAAACTATGTTCCTTTATGCTGTGCTGTTACCTTCAGACAGAGTTAGCAGTTAAAAGTCCTGTTGGGGTCCACATGGATCAGGGATTGACCATCAGATTGTTCTGTGTTACTGATAAATCCATAAACAGGAAGTATTTCTCATCTACCCAAACTGATACACAGTTCGAAATTCGCATGTTTTTTTTTTCCTAACATACCAGATGAAAGGCACAGTTTTTGTGCTTTTGTGCGTATCGGAAGCGTAGAGCAGCAAAAATAGACCCGCTGCATATGTTTAGCAGTGCTGCTCTCGATACGATGCTGCTGCCACGCTCCAAATACGCATCCTGTATGTTTTAGCCTTTCGCTGTCACTGGATCAATAGGTTGGGGGTTTGATTCCAGGTCCCTCTATCCACATGCTGAAGTATCCTTAGGAAAGACACTTGAACCCACCTGCCCCTGCTGGTGGTGTGCGAATTGGATCATTTTTCTTATCATTGTGGCGTATGTGCTGCTTCTTTGCCGAGGTGGTCTTTATGCCTTGTCTGTATATGGCTTATTGCGAAGTTCTAACATTGTTTTATTTATTTTATTTCTTGATACAAATGTAAGTCCAAGACAAAATTCCCAAATTAGTAATTGTATCGTATTGTATCGTATCATATTGTATCGTATCGTATGGTGATGTTGGTAATTGTGTATCAGTACAGGTCCATTATCAAATATGTTATTTTAAGTTGAAATATGACTCATTATCCCTTTTGAATTTCAACAGTCCATAGCCATAATCAGGCTGAATGAGAATAATTTGCCAGACCCTCTGTGTTAAGAGGACTTTTAACCTGGAACCTTGCATATGGTAGGACTAATGTTGGGTCCTAATTGTCTAGTGTTAGAATATTAAGCGAATGCAGACATGCAAAAAAAACTGCAGTCTCTTTAATGCGCATTTATGGCTGACTCCTAATGCTAAGAACTTCCCGTTTGACCCTGTGTTGTAATGCACATTTGTTAAGAGCAAAATCAAACCAGTGTAGTTCTAAAATGATTAAAATAATGGCTGAGATGACTGACAGGTGAACACAGTGTAGCTGTTAGCTACACTGAGACCTGCTTTATTTCTACCTTTTTGCTTGTATTAAGGTGGATTTAAAGTCAGGCTGGGTCAGCATTTCCATCAAGCTTTCAGCCATCAACGGGCTTTAAAACATCTCTCCATAAACCAGTGAGTGACCTTACACAGACTACATCTATTTTTTATACAGTCTGTGGCAAGGTCTCTCTAAATAATACAACCAAAGTGCAGCCTAGATCCGCTCTCTTTTAGTGACCCGAGGTGTGTTATGAAAATTGAACAGATTGATTGGGAGAGTGATACAGCCCTTAAGCCAGGGTCAAAGGGCATTTGTGAATAAGGTCGGCGGTGTATGAAAACACACAGATTCAGACAGTAGAGATTTCACTCAACTGTCTCATTTGAGTCCACCTAACAAGAGCAAACCACAAACACAAGCCTGAGGCAGAGCCACAAAAAAGGACAAGGCTGCTTATTGATGGTGATTTATTGCCAGCTCTGTAGCAGCCGTTATACTAATGCAACCTGATTTACAACACCAAAAGCTGCCAAATACAATCAAGTAATCTTCAAATACAGGACATGCTTTTATCGTTTACCTTTGTGATAGGGCAATAAAAACAATTAAAGTTAATGTCAATCCCTGCCTATCGTAGAAACAGGCACGGTTTAAGGTTTTTCTCCTGTTTGCCACCAGATGGCAGTGTAGACCAGCATAAAAAATAAACACAATGCACTGCATGTACAATTGGCACAGCCTGAGGAAAAATACACTAACAATGAAGGAATAAATCAAATTAATAAGAAATATGTAAAGAATATAATAAATGTCCAATCAGAGCTCCTCTACTGTGTGAATCTATACTCTCCTTTAGCTCCTGAGTGTTATCTTCGCCTTTTAAAGACAAATTAAATTGTTTTTGTTACTCACAAGTATTTTCAGCTTACATGCATAATTTAGAGCTTGTCATTTGTATCTAAATATCACATCTCTGCACATACTCTATGGGAACATTGCAACACGTATGCCTTTAACTCTTCACTGAAACCCTCTCTGCATAATCGCATAGTTTAACGCTGCATCAGTATGCACCATCAGCATCTGCAGCCATTTATAAGTATTCCTTGTACTATAAAAACTTTCCCATCTTCAGCATATTTTTTTTTTATAATAACGCTAATATTAAATTACATTTCTCCAGGGAGACGTTCATTGTTATAAAAGTCATAAATCATGACGTCGAGCTGCTACAGGGGGCAGCAGAGGCCCGCTGCGATTCCTGCTCCTTTTGCCTTTGCAGGATTCAGAGTATTTAAATGAATGCAAGATAGTGAAGTAACAGCTTTAATGACAAATAAAGTTGAAGCTTAATTTGTCTGTTAGTCTTCTGCATCGTCTCCTCAGAGGTTCTTTGACAAGCTGATATGACGGCTGATATTTATTAACAACAACAACCACCCCCCAAAAAAAGCTGATCCAGGCTTGAAATGCCAACTGGCAGGGTTATTATTTTTCTTAATGCGCCTGTCAAACTATAAAAGTGCTCGTGTCTAAGCTGTCGGGTTTGCGATCAGAGCCGGTGGTCCGAGAAAGGAAGATTCAGCGAGATCAAACGGGGGCGGACAACTTTACAGGTGAACTATAAGAAAGCAGGATTCAGAAAGCGCGTGTTTGTAATTGTGTCAAATGAGTGATTCGGCTACATCAACACTATCAGCGGTAACCAAAAGAAAAAGAAGAAACCGTCATCTTTATTAATGAGATGAGCTACTTAGACAGTAGTGAGTAAGACAAGCAGAGAAGGAGCGATCCTGAAGTGTGCGGCAGAGCCGTGATTTCACAATGAGATGTAAAAAAGCTTGAAGATGGAGTTCAGAGAGAGAGCCAAGACCCCAGCTGTGCCCCCACTCCCACTCACAAACACATGTATGCACATATGCACGTCCACCCACTCGAACAGTGGGCCTGAGCTGATTCGTGTTTCTGGGAAACAAAACAGAACATTTAATAAAAAAGAGATACAAACCGAATAACAGATCTGAGAAAATTCTGACAAATTCAACAAGCTGAAAATCAAATTTGATATCAGTGAAAAATCATTTTCACAATCTAGTATCAAAATTGAGTGTAAATTTTGTACAAAAGAGCCCAAGAAAAACAAATAAAGTGCGATTGTTCAGCTCTTTTGTGATTTGTGAGTCACTGGATACTAATCACAATAGGTTTCCAGCTCATGCTAAAGGTAATGCTGTTATTATTTAGTACACTCATGGAAGTAAATGCTGCTCGCAGTCTCTAGTAGAGTTTGGCTCCCTGTGAGTGTACTGTACATAAAGATAAAAAACACACGTCTCCTCCTCTTATCGTTCCTTAATGAAACCAAAGTAATCCCAGCCACCTGTATTTTGCACCGGTGAAGTTTGTGTAATACAGTTTGCCTGATGGAGCTGGGATATTAATGTCACGCTCCTCACAAAAACAAGCTCACCAAAGCGAACATTTCACTCATCTGTAAGTCCACACTGTCAACAGCATAAACAGTTCCTCTGCCATTCTGCATATCTGGGAAAGAACTCAGCAGAAATGTAAATCAAGATGTTTTAACTAGAGGTAGACAGATGAATCGGTTTGCTGATTAATCAGGCTGATTTTTGGCATTTTGTCATAATCAGGATTGTATCATCATCAGCCCTCAGAATGACAACATCGCTGTTACTTTTCTTCCAACTAATAAAATGCATTTTTTTATTCATATTTTTAAGTAAATCCAGTTATGATGTGTAGAAAAAAACTATTACAAATTGCTGGACACAAATCAAGAGTTTCCATTTCTTTGATAATATTGTTTATTATTTGTGTTATCTTCAGCATTAATGGTGTCTTCTCAGATGTGTGAGTTGCACATGCTGATGCATCTCCAGGGTTCCTATGCAACGAAGGAAAAGTATGGAAATAAATTTGGTCAATTCCCGGGTCTTAAAAAGTATGGAAAATGAAAAAGTATGGAAAAATATTTATGTTAACAGACCACATTACCACAGTTCTGAAATACTGTTTTCTAAAATAGAAATGGAGGTATTTCCAAAAATAATTTGAAAAATGTAGGGTATGGAAATTCCAACTGTGTAGGAACCCTGTTTCGTTCCAGCTGAAAAATTCATTTTTTATTCACCTATTCACATTTTAAGTAAATCCAGTTATGATGTGTAGAAAAAAAAATCAGATTGCTGGACACAAATCCAGATTTTCATTTTGGGAATATTTTACTAAGACAGATACTTTTCCAGTCACATTTCTTTGATAACATACTTAATTATTTGTGTTATATTCACCATTAACAGCATCTTCTTAGATGTGTGATTTGCACATGTCGATGCATCTCCATACTTGCTGGGTTTTGAACTGTGCTTCATGAACGGGTCAGGTGGTCCTTCTTCTCTTTAGAGAGATTGGGTGTCCATGGTTTCCAAGAAGAATGTCAGATTTTGATTTATCAGACCACAGGGCAGTTTTCCAGCCCCCCCTAACTCCATCCTATGTGGGCTCAGACCCACAGAAGTCATCTGCATGTCTTGGATGGTACAGTTTTAACCAATGTTTGTAGAAGCAGCAACAAACTATTTAAAAAGACAGTTTTTTTTAAATAGGGTTCTTGCAAAAAGTATGGAAGTAATTTGATCAATTTCCAGGTCTTAAAAGTATGGTAAATAAAAAATAAAGTATTGAAAAATATTTATGTTAACAGACCATATTACCACAGTTATAAAATACTCTTTTCCAAAATAAAAAAGTTGGTATTTCCAAAAATAATTCTAAAAATAGGGTATGGAAAAGTATGGAAATTCCAACTGTGTAGGAACCCTATATAAAGTTAATTTGAGCCCATACAGTGTACTGATTTCATTGGCCAAAATAAACTTATCATTCAACCTAAAACAACCAAAGAACCTATAATGCCAAAAAAATGTGGTTCATGTGTTTTCAGTTTTGGTTTGGGCTTTTCTGACCTGTGCTGCCTCAAATCAGTAGATTGGCTCCCTTTGTTTTGGCTTCACTTTTTTGAGTTGTTATGTCATCCATCTCATAATACATTCAATTCAATTTTCATAAGCCTGCAAATACCAAGTGTAGTTAATTACTGGATGTCCTGTAAACACATCAGTACATACTGATGGTACCTGAAGACCATCTCTCCTCTGTTCAAGCTAAATCAGAGCTTCTGATTTTCTATCTATGATGGACTTTCAGCTGCTTATTTCCTCTCGCTTATTCTCTCTATTTATACCGACACCAACAGGTTTGCTGTCATGAGTGAGATGTAGGATGTTTTCGTGAGTCACTGATCTTTGACACTCTGTTCGCATGATGCCTCGACACAGGCACGGCGGCAAGTTAAAGCGTGACGGCAGGGCTTCTGCGTCGTGTTTGGGGGATGACAAGGTAGCAAACTTTCACTTCAAGAAATTAAAACCTGTTCTGTTTTAATTTAAAGTCAGAATTTATGAAACTTTTCTGCAGAAACTGAAAGCACATTAGTGAAAAAAATTCACGCATAATGAAGGGGAGCAATCTGCCCTAATCAGCTTTGAGTTTGTGCCATGTTCAATTAGTTCTTGTATCCCACTCAGGGAAAGTCGAGCTTGTCAGCATGTTTGCTATTGACCAACAAGTGAACACCAGCACTTGTCCAATTGCATTCAGCTCTCCTGCTATTGCAGCACTCCCAGGCTCCCACTGTCTGCTTATTTACTAAGTTCATGTCCTTGCTTTGTTCGCAGCTGGGACTCTGGTATGCTCCGCAATGTCGCACAGAGGCCGTGTTACATAAGCACTTTTTATTCCCGACCTCAGGAGCAACCTTTGTCTCCATGCAACAGAACTGCTGTTTTTAACCTCCTATATCTTGCAGGATTTGTGATATGTTTTCTGTTTTTGGATCAGAGTATTCTGCACTTTGCACCCAAGTGCTGCCTGCAAGAAAGCATGTTATGGTCAGGTGCACAAGAGTTCAACATGTGGGAGGAGGTTACTGACATTTTTATTTAGTGTTTTGTGAAGGCAACAGGAATACTCAAAACCTACCATAGGGAAAGTCTTTCAGTGTTCACACGCATGCTTCCACTTTTACACCTGAATACTAACTTCAGAAATTAAGTCATTAAGCCAGTGATAGTAAAGATGGACATTACATACACAAGTGAGACCAAAATACTAATTGGCATCAACATATTGCCCTCAGGATGGTTTTTAGAGCCAGTCTGTACAGTAGGAATCACACGAACCGCCACAGAGGACTTTGCAAGTAATGTTAGCTTTTAGCTGTTTAAGTGCTGTGATAAGCACATATATGAGTCCCAAATAACTTAATTTTCATCATGGAGCTTGCATTTCTGAATAGGTTGCCATGTTTTTTAAGATACAGTGTGGGTCTAATGCACTGATGTTATTTATCATGTATAGTAGGGGTGTCTCGAAACAACTTTTTTACTTCCAAAACAATACCGATATTGTAGCCTTCTGTATCCGCCGATACCAATATTTATCTGATATTGGCACAAACTTGTGCATAACTTGTACACTCAGCTGCAATGTCTTTTTTGGACTTAAACTCCTACTCTTTGCTACTTTGTTAGTACCTTAGTACACCTGGTTGTTGTGATTACCTGGGCTCTGCATGCTCGATCAGGGTGCTGCCCACTAGAGGTGCCGGAGTGGAGCCTGGAATGGACTGCTTGTATCGGAGTGCTGATATCGGAGATTTTAGATGCAGGCCAATTAGGGCTAGGCGATAAACCGAAAATTTACAGATACCCAAATTTACGACAATAACCAATGTCATTTTCCCCATATCTGTATTTGGTTTAAAAAAATGAATAAATAAAAGTTGATTTTGGATGTGTGTATTTAGGCTATGGTCTCATGTCCCTTTAAGACGCTGTCCTACATAAGAGACGTGACTCCACCCCATCCAGTCTGTAAAAAAAAAGGGAAAGGTGAGGAGATGGAGGACAGTTACAAAGTTGTAGTGGCTGGAGCGGCGTCTGAAGTAGACTAAGTTAATGTGGAAGGGGGTGAGCAGCTTGTGGAGTAGTTATCATCCATTTATTGTTATCGAGGTGAACTGCTCAACATATTGTGATATTGATTTGAGACCATATCGCCGGCCCCTAAGGCCAAAATAATCCGATATTTGTTTTTTGGCTGATATCTGACCCATATCCTGTATCAGTATCGGTTCAGGACAGCCATAATGTACAGTTTGATTAAACTGTTCATTATTACCCCACTTACAGGCTAGCCAGTTTGCTTATCTGATAAAATGTTGTGTTTTGTAGCCTATCTTATAAGAGGTTTTAAGTGTTTCTTTCTTTCCATGCTGAACACTGTTTTGTTGCATATTTTTCACGTCAGTGAGTTTTCTGTCCGCGTCAGCTCTTTAGGCAAAGTAATTCCGCAAATCATTGCCCATCCTTAGTTTTAACCATGCTAAAAGAAAAAGTTTTGGTACATCATGCAACACTAGTAACATGGGTCACATCCTCTGTTATTGCTACAGAGCTGTAGTAGATGGAAAGCTTTGGAGATGCCAAAGTTATAGTGTCTCTTTTTTACCAAGTCAAAGTGTATGAAAAAGAAAAGACAAATGAGGTCGATGGCACCGGAGCAGATCTGGAGTTTCATTATTCTAAACTTAGTTGTAATTAATTCCATCCTGGGACCATCAGTGACTCATTAACTCATGAAAAATCTATCTTCTATAAAACAGAGGATATCTCGTAGGTCATTGCAGAGATGAACGATGAAAAGGTCGATTTCGTCAGCATGTAATATTTGTTTGCCAAAGTTTGCACATGAGGAGTGTGTGTTGACCCTGAGAGCTTCTAGGACAGTGTTGTGTCAGATAAACACTCTATTCCTACCTCCCAAACAAGCCTCTATCATCTCCTCACAGCAGGGTATTGATTACTAGAGAAAGTGCATTTAATTTCTCTCCCAGCAGGTCCACTTTGCCCAGCTGTCCTTCAGACCCCTATTTCTCTGCTTAATGGAATATTCCAGCCCGTCAGACACACACACATATAAACACATAGAGAAGGATAAGGGTAAAATGATGCGTGGCTTCACCACCTACACCCCGCAGGGAATACTGAGTTTGATGAGTTCCTGTCATGAGAATCATATGGCAGAAATGCACCTGGGAGCTTTTCCAGCGCTCATTCATTCTGTCATTTGAATATGATTCATCTCATTGTGTGGGATGCTGCCTGGAGTCCATCATCTGCATTTCTGTACAGAGCGAGACATGTTTTTTTTTTTCCAGCTCTGCACAAAAGTAATAATTTCAAAAGCTCAATGAGATATGGAATAAAGGCAGTATTTATGCACAATGAAAAGCAGGTCTCGTTTTTGGCCGATGGAAACAGACACCCGGTGCTCACGAAACTGAATCAAAATATTTATTTTTGTGTTTTACTGGGTCAGTGAGAATATGATTTGCACTAGATAAGGTTAAAAAAGGATAGGGTTCATAGACACAATGCAGCTAACCGCTCCGAGAGACCCCTGAGCCTGGAGGTCACTCTCTGTTTAATCTTACGATCCTCCTGCACCGCCCACTCTGTTTTGTTTTTTTTTAACTCCTCCATGCTCTGATATAACAGTCCTGGACTTGTTTCCATCTCATGCACATTTCTGTAACAACCGATAAAACTGAACTTAGCCCATCTCTTGGATGGATAACAGTGGACTTGGTCAGTCAGCTTGTCTTCAAAGTTTTCTGCAGTTGTTATCACTGCTGCTGCGTTTCTGCTTTCCCTGCGTTGGTTTGATTTCCTGGAGTGTGAACAACTAAAGCACCAAATCAAATCTAGGGAGGCGTGGCAGCCATCATGCATTTGTGAATTTTGAGTTAAAAGCAAAAACTCAAGTTAGGATGTCCTCCTCCAGAAAACTTTTGAGCATGAACCCTCTCTTTTTTTTTTATTTAAATTGTATGTAGTTTTTAAAACTAATTTTGCATGAAATTGTCTTTTTTTTTACTTCTACTAAGCAAAACTTTTTTTTTTGTGCCACATTTGCCTGATTTTACATTCTTGAAGATTTCGTGGGTCATCATTCACAGTCATCTAAGTCGTGCTCATCAAAGCTCCAGTGATGAAATTAGAGTTTATGTCAATTTTGGCGCCCGCCTGTGGACAAACTTGTCCTCTACATATTAAGTAGTGTCTTTTAGGGTTCCTACGCAAGTATGGAAAGTATGAAAGTAGTTAGATCAATTTCCAGGTCTTAAAAAGTAGAAAAATAAAGTATGGAAAAATATTGATGTTTCCAGACTATTACCACAGTTGTAAAATACTGTTTTCTAATTGAAAAGTTGGTATTTCCAAAAATAATTCTAAAAGGTAGGGGATGGAAAAGTATGGAAATTCCAACTGTGTAGGAACTCTGTGTCTTCTGGTGAAAAAAATCTTTGAAAATCTAGATTTCCATTTTTGCGAAACTTAAGAAACCTCAGACTCTGACTATTCGATTTATCGTACAGCCCTAGTGTCAAGTATTCCTTTATATTTACAAACACTGTTTTACACTATGGCAGTGTTGGAGGGACAGAGAGGATCGACAATGAAAATAGGCAATCAGATTAGTGCGGACATGGTTGTAATCATCAGAAACCGTTCTTGGTCATCTTGGCTTGTAACAAAAAAGAAAATGTTTCTCTTCTCTTCTGTGTTGGTATTTTGGGTAACACACTGTCTGCTGGACTGGACTGATAACAAAACAGTGCAGCCATTACACTGATGCAATGCTATAATTGCAGTAAAATCATACAAATTCACAGAGTGCTGTCCCTGGAAAACCCTGATCATTATAAAAACACCTGACAATGCCAGTGGGGACCTGAGGCGGTGAGATAATCAGGTTAAGGCGGCCTCTAACTTTTATATGCAGGAAAAATCCAGACTAAGTGCAAGTACATTTTCAATCTGACTGCTTTTAGCAAACTAACAGATAATGCTTATTTTTTCCTGATTTTGATTAGAATGTGAACAAAACAGCTGAAATTGTGAATAAGGATAAAGTATGAACTTATCATTTTTCTTAACCGTAACTGCTGTTCAATTGGGTAAGAGAAACCATTAACTTTTAAAAACAGACAGCCTTCACCTTTATATTTCCGTTCCTGAAAACAAAACCGAGTTTTACTCTTCCTGAACCTTTAGCAGCTGACACCAAGAGCTTATGGGAGTATTTATGAATTTCAAAGTACAGCCGTATGTCCCCCAGAGGAGCTGTTTCCCCATGTGTCCTTTGTTTTTTTTCCCCACTAACCCCTCCTCTGGGATTTTTACAACCACATCCAACCTCATTATAAGTGAGGATGACATCACGTGCAGTCCTGCGTCTGTCCCTGAAGAGCCTGTGTAGGGGAGTGTTGCTAGGATCACACATAAACATAAGAGTATTGCTCATATAGGTCAACATACACACACCTGAACATCGGTTTTATAGTGAGAATCCAGTTTGTGGGTTAGAAGTGAAAGTCAAGCTCACCAATTGACTTTAAAAACAGTACAGTCTGTTAATATTAACATAAAATACATTAAAATAAATCTATAGGTGCAAATTATCTGCAGATTTTCATCCATCTTTTAAAAAGGAAATCGCACATCTGCTCTGAAATACTACATCCATTTGTAGCCGTGTACCATCATGTATAATCCATTAAAAAAACAAGATTAACACTGATTGAAGTTATCCACATCCTGCTGAGTTCTTGGCAGCCGGGAAGAAAATGTTTGCCGAGTCGATGTGACTTTTACCTAGAATGCCCCTTGGGTTCAGGACTGGGATTGGAGTGAAAGGTTGTCTATAAAATATGCATGTCACACAGAGGGCTGCTGGTGGAGTAAGTGTGGGTGTGCGCTTGTGTGTTTTCTCTGTATGTGTGTGTGTGACAGGTGAGATGCTGAGGGATTACTTTAGAGCTGGAGAGGTGTACTTTAAAATACACTGAGTAGATTTATGCCCTGACCTGTATGGAATTATAATACGGCTGTGGTTGTAGTAATGGTATAAATCCACTCTGTGCATAAAAAAAAAACACATACCCCCTCCCCTTTTTACACTTTTATGATCACATGCAATATTAAAGTAGAAACATAAAGTCAATACCACATTCGATATTCCATGTCTACATGTCTCATGAAGAAAGCATCAGGACAGGATCTACAACATCAAACACAGACATGATGCTCAGTCATCTGACTTTAAATCATTAATAACCGGTAAAGTTTAGATGATGTGTTTTTAGGCTAAAACGTTTCCTTAAAATAAATCAAGAAAACTTGATTTTTTGAAAAGCCTCAAGGCAAATTATTTGCTCCAATTTTGCATAAATCTTTACAGCTATACGGCTCAATGTATTATGCACACAGAAGTGATGATAACTGATAAATAAACTGAGAGGAGGAGAGGAAAGGAGGTCCCTGAGAATAATGATAATCAGGTCACAGATATGAAAGGTTATGTAGCTCTCTAATCCTTTTACTGTATGTTGGTCAGGATGGGGAAGAACACACATGTAATCGAGTTCTCATGCACGCCTTGTTCACGGCTTACAGGTACTTTACATGCACCATTTTGGGCGTTTTTGACAAAAAAGGACAAAAATAAAAAGCTGTGCAGAAATGCAGCGTTAAATTTTAATATCGTAGAAATACTAGTTTGATGCTTGACCACATGCGTTTAAAGCACTGGGAGAAGACTGAGAACTGAGGGCTGTCACCACAGACTCATGCACAGGTCTCACCATGGTTACCATCACTTGTCTTTTCATTGGTAACTGGGAATCGGAGACTGCTACCCTTCATACCTGTCAAACCTGTATTTGCCAGTACTGGAGTCACCTTTTTACCTTTTTCCAAAGGCAGAGTTTTAATTTGTCATTAGTTTTCTGTCATTCATTTAAAATATATATGGAAACTTTTTTTTTCCAGCCGGTCCCAATGTTTTTTCCCAATGCGCCTCCATGTAGGGGCGTGTCCAGAATTTTTTGACTTGGGTGGCACATCTAAGATACTGACATACAGATGGCTGGGGTTGGTGTTCACATATTATTAGCATCAACTATTAAAGTGTCACAGAGAGATATAATATTGTAGAGATATAACACAATATATACAATATTATAATGTTCAAATATACTTATTTATTGACAAAACTGCTGAGCAATTACAATTATCAATTTCTGCAGTCCTGATATTTTGTGAATACCGCTACATAAAGTTTCAGTGTGTGCAAAACAAACAGCCAAAAAGTTGGTCTAAAAACTCCTCAATAGCAGTTGGTCTGTATCATTAAGATGGTTGTGGTCTTATGTGATCTCGAGTGTGAAAAAAACCTCGGCTTGGCTAACCTCTGGGCTCCACCAGCACAATATGCCAGCTCCCATCTCAGAGCCTATTTGGTTTCACAACTCACAATTGGCGGGAATGAGGGCCAATTATCCGTCCAGAGCTATAGATAGTTAATGGGTTTAACAGTCTGTATTTTTATACTGTCCCCTGCCATGTCCAGCATAGTTACACTGTTGTCGGGTTCTTGTGCTGCCTGGTTTTCTTTCTGTTTGGTTCTGGGGTTTGGATCTTATGCTGATTAGATGTCTATTATCTATTATTGTTGCTTTTTTTTCTATACTCATGTTTAATCAAATCTAAAGGTCCTTACACACCAGGGCCGATGCGAATATAGAATGTGAAATTACGAAATATTCGGAGAGGAAATTTGACAGGCCTGACTATACACATCAAGCCCAATGCGATTTTCAACTTTCCAGGCGGAAAAGACGCAAACCGGGGAAGACTTCCCGGGGAAAGTCCCGCCTCCTTTGCCTCTGATTGGCTAGAAAAGCTGGAAAGCACTTATAGCCAATCAGAGGCAATGAGATAAGCACAAGAAACTATGGTAACAACCGTTGGCTTAAGTTATCACAGATGAAAGTTGTTCATAAACAATCAGACGGTCGGCCATGTTGGATATACCGATGAATCTGACGTCGCAACAACACGAAATGTGATTGGTCAGAAGTGGACACACAGTATGCGAAACTTTAGAAAAATTGACCATGATCTGAAAAAAAAAATGCTGCAATATTGCAGGATGGGAAAACGTCACTGATGTGAACGCTTGTATTGACAGGATACGGGTTCGAAAAAAAATAGTGACGTCCTAATTAAACGCACATAAAAAACGGTCTGGACGTGAAAGGACCTTTAGAGAGATGAATATGTCCATTACTCAAGTTTTCACCCAACTTTTTACATCTGGTGCTCGGTCCTGGCCTGGTACAGTTTATTGATTTTTATGATTGATATTGATCAGTGCTGCTTCAATTTCACACAGGCTGTATTTGGTTATGGACAGATAAGGTCCACAGCCTCTGTGTTTATCACTCAATATTTCCAATGGGTCTGTTTGCCAAGGTGACCCTCGGAGCCATGTTGTCAAGGGCAACAGCTCCTGGGAGGCGGTCTCAAGGTAAACTGTTCAGAGGTGAGTTAGTGCTCAAAAGGGCGAGTTGAACTCCCAGTCTATTGATACAACAATGAGGCTACGTCCTCGTGGGCTCATTTCTCTTAAGACAGACTCTAGAGTGGATAACAGGAGAAGCTGGGGCTTTGGGTTGATTGATCCTTGGATTAGAACTGACTAATGGGACTAGACTTAAACCAGACCTCTTTAGATAATACTGGACACTCTTCTGCCAGCTACCCTCGCCTTCACTCTGCCATATAAAAGCAAAAATCCATCAAAAACTCTGAGGAAGTTCAAAAAACAGGATCTATAAGGGTATTACTAGAGTGCTTAACAGTACAGTGAAAATCTCCTTTTAAGACGTTACCCTCCAGCTCCACAGAAATGGAGTTCACATTAAATATGGATCCAGCTTCTGTAGAAGGTAAAATACCTGTCCAGAGTGCTCCTTCTTTCTTTTATGACAGGAAATGTATCTATGAAGTATAACTCTGGATTTTAAGTGCAGAAAAAGTCTATTGAATTTTATGCCTGAGAAGTGGACCTAGCCTCTTGGTTTCAAGAGTAACATCGATGCTCAAGTGCCCTAATGGCCCCGTCACCGTGGTTACAGCCAGAACGTTTACACACCCAAAATAAATAAATGCATTGAAATAGCCTGACTGAAATCGAACTATTCGTAATTCAATATTTAAATTTTCTCATTTATGCATCCAAGTTGAAAACTGCTCTAAGTGTTCTGGGCATGCCCCGGTGTTTACATGCCAGGCTGTGAGCTGGTGGTTGAAAAGCATGGATGCGTTGCCAAGGCGCAAGTTGTAAACAAACCCTTGTTAGACGAAGATAAACGTAAAAAGACGAAAAAGAGCTTTAAAAGTGACACCCTGTTAGCCTCTCGCTAACACGTTTTTGCTGGCTGTTTTGACACGAAACACATCAACCAGGCGACGACGTGATAGCAACAAGCTGAAAGAGGGATTTGACACCTACCTTTAATTCGATTCTTGCACAGTGTATACAAACTGGGTCAAGGGTTGTAGTCCAGTTCCCACTGAATATTTTTTGGTCTAAAAGAGGTCTAATAGATGTCTAAGGTCACTTTCACACCTGACCAAGCGGACTCGGTTCGATTGGGGAGCTGAAAGTCGCAACATTGTTGCATTTATCACTTGTTTCGGTTCTGCTTTCACACTGTGATTTCTAAAGTGAACCGAACTTTCTGAACAGCATCACGTGGTTGAAAGGGGCGCTTGTCGATTGGACAAAGTAGGAGGGGTGTGTAACCTCACGGATTACAAACAGGGGTGGACTAGCCGTCTTGTATCGTGCTTCGTCACATTATTTTATGGAACGCTGCAACGTTAGTGAATGCAACTATTCCTATACTGCTATCGTAGCTTGTCAGGAATTGATCCTTTTATTTTTCTAAATTTGACGATCTAACATGTGACAACATATGAGCTCAGAGTTTAAAGACTGTGACTATTGGTAGTTGTAATTTGATTTTGTTTAAATATGCCAAATCGTGAATTTATGGGTTACTGTTGTTCAGAAAATTGAGCTAAGCTAGCTAGTAACTGCTAATGTCAGCAGTCACTTTTTGCCATAGCAACAAGGGACGCCGTGCTTCCTCTACCTAAGATGCACTGCGTATACACTGTGTATAGCGTCATTATACATTTGGTCCTGTATTTGGTCCGGTGAGCTTTCACACTGCATACGAACCGAACCAGGGTTTACTTGCAAGCGAACCGAGACCCGAGTTTTCAGGCGGACCAGAGTTTGCTTGATTGGTCCGCACCAGAGTTCAGATGAGCTTTTACACCTGCCCAAACGAAGCAGACTATCCGAGGAAACGAACTCTGGTCCGTTTAAAGCGGACCAAACAGCTCTGGTGTGAAAGCGACAAAATGTAGCCTAGGCAACTGGTCTAAAATCAGGCTACCACAGGTCTAAAAATGAAAGTTTTTTAGACGTCTAAATTTAGACCAAGTCTAAATCTGGGCTATATCTATACTACACTGTATATTGTTCAACGTCTATCATAATTATTTTAGTTAAGTACTTGGAGATCAGTTAAAATAAATAGTTATCGAATAATGGGTTAAAGTGCAACATCTGAATTCTGTCTACACATAAACAGAATCTAGATGGCTGAAATGAGGTCTAAAAAAAACCCAACTAGACGTCTAATAGCCGTCTATTGCTCAGTGGGTTAAGTCCCCTAACCTAGCTATGGCCATAACCTGATTTAACTGTGCATGTAAACCTTTTTTTTTTTGCTTTGCAGGTTATATAAAGGCAGTGAAAAATTACTTACTGTAGCTTTAATTTAAGTCAAACAGAAAATTCTCATTTTTATATTTGAGTGAAATATCTCAGCATGTTTCATCACTAACTGTTACACAGCTCAGGATCAGTTTGACAGCAGTGACACGACAACACCAGAAACCAAAGAAAAAAAAAAAAGAAAAAAAAAAAAAAAGCCCCCCTGTGGTCCCCAACTTCATATTCTTTTTAATGACAAATGGACATGCAGGCTCTCAACCGCACTGACTGAATCAGTGGATGATGGTCTGGGATAATGTCACCTCTCGCCGCACTGCCAACCCTTTTTGTTAGTTGCTAGGAGACAACACAGCGGTGCCTAAAGGTTTTCAGAGATAGTGTAATGTTCCAGAGCCCTACTTTTCCTGCCAGAGTAGAGTGTGAGAAACGTGTGTGCAAATATGGCCGAAATCTTTTCCTGTACGTCTGCCAAACGCTGCCTGAGTGCATTTTTGAATGGTCCGTGACAGGCGAAGGCAGCAGAAGATGCCTGGAAAGTGTTGCTTTATTCAAGACGTGTTGAGTAACCGAGGAGATGAGCGCAACTTTCTGTGATTTGACAGAGTTACAGAAAAGAAATCACTCTGAGAACAAACTGATTACATAACAGCTTGATCATATCCAAGGATTAAATCAGATTTGCAAGTTTGTCTTCTCTCTGCAAGTGTTTGGTTCTTGAGAGGGAAAAAAAAGTGCAAATCTCCACCAATGGGGGGCAGTAAAGATCCATATCAAGTTGACGCTCATTTACTGGCAACTTTATTGTTCTTTTTCCCCTCTCCTTTGCTCTTCATTATGTTTCAATTTTCTGGCTAACCACTCAAATTCAGTCCCACAACAGGAGTGTGGAAACCACAGCAGGCAGACCCATTCCAAACACCAATTTGGAGGAGAGGGGAATTTCCCAGGAGAGCTTTTTGAGTTCATAAAATCCCCTCGTCTCTCCCAAGCCCCGACCTCCACCCCCCACAAAAAAATCATATGTGCAAAATTTACTGTTGGTTCAAGAAGTGCTGAAGATATTAAAGCTGTTTATCTACCAGGAATGTATTTACTGCTGGAGACTGTAAAACCTAACACCCTGTATTCTCTGCAAATCTCTCCGATGACATTAAACTATCGCTGCGAAACAAACCAGAGGCCTGTAAGGTGAATCGATTGATGCCACAAGAGTGAAAGGGGTTTAGTGTTTGAAGAGGGGATTAATCAGAAGTTATCTTTAAATAGCAGATGGTCAGAGGGAGGCAGAGAGTCTGAACAGCACACAATCATGACGGGGCAAATGAGGACATGATTTTTCGTCATTATCTCTTGAGATGTGGCAGATTTGGTTTGGTTATGATGTAACACAGAGGTAAAATCTTTGATCTGATCCCCTTGGAAGCCACTTCGTCTCACTTCCAAGTGAAGGCTAAGGGAGTTAAATGAAAAATACAAATCAATTTTTTTCTGTTTTGGTCCCATTTTTAATATTCACTCACAGTTTTAGAGAAAAGACTTCAGTTATTACAAAGAGGCAGCAGCCGAGGTCTTGCCTTTTTTAAAAGCTGGTATATAGGTCAGAATATCACGCTCACTCGATGCTTTCTTTCTTTTGGCAGCGCAGGAACGTCTTCTCTGATATATTTATCACACCAAGCTTTTAAAAGCCACTGGGGTAAATTTTTAGTACCATGCAATCAAAAGGATGTTTTATGAGGAACTGTCTCGTCGTCTAGACAGACGTTTTATTGGGAGGGTACAGTCTTAGATTTTTAACTTTATTTTGGATTGTTTCACTTGTTCGTAAAGCCTCAAGTCTGCCAGTCCAGTTATCCATTGAGGGTTGTACTAAGTACTCAGAGTCCACCATGCTGCAGCCCGCTGGTAATAACGGTCAAGAGGTCTGTTTGGTCCAGGGACGGGAATTGATCAGATGCCATTATCGATTCTTTTTGCAAATCCTGTGGCTGTTCCGAGTAAAACAGTGAGGCTGTGCAGGTTTTCTTTGTCAACAACACACATTTTATGAGTTTTACTACATAACTGGCTTTTGATTGGGCATTTAAAGGTCAGCAGATCATAGCACCATTAGCTAACAGTAGAAATGACACTGTTATCATCAAAGATTAGCTTTGTTTTTTGAGGGCTTAGATCTAGAAAGTTTATATAAATACACTTTTTTCTGTGGGAGAAAAAAAGAGGTCACAGAAACACTCTCCACGTTTATCCTCGAAGAGCTGGCAGTCTCACGAAGCGAGTGGATTTTACAGTTTTACAGGCATACAGAGATATTTTTGGAGCTGATCCTCCAAGCAGAATAATATCTAGTTGTGTACGAAAGTGTCTTCTGTTTTCTGTCAATGTTTGACTTATTTGAGTTTCCTTATTTGTTAGAAAATATCTTCACTATTAAGTAGAGTTTAAGTAAGTTTCAGGTCCTTTTATGTCAAAGGGAAAATGAGGCAATATTTTGAGGATAAGACAATGCACTCCAGAGAATATAAAAATTAAAGACATAGTCTCAGTGACATCCAAGAATGAGGACTGAAACGTGGTTTTCTTAAGGAGCACTTTGTAGCATATCGACTCTGCTGTCAGTCCTCATGGGTTCAATTAAGTAACTTTATATCTGTGATGACTCTGATCACTTGGATTAAACAAAATTGATTATCTGATTACATATTTAAAATTAACTTACCAGACAAACAGGTCAGAAGTTTGGCGGCAAGAGATAACGATGAGGCAAAATGCAACGAATGGTGCAAAGTAATTTCTCGCATTCTTATTTAAGCTAGTTTTATTTTATATTTTAATTAATGTTCCAAAAAAGGGACAAAACCTCCAAACAAACCAAAGTACAGCTGTGGCAAACATGAGCAAACTTTGCAGCAAGTTCTGCAGGTTAAAAACAGTAACTTACTGTTAAAACCAGCAGATATTTGCAGGCCAAAAACAATTTAGTAAACCAAACAGGAAAACGGTATGATATGTTCAAGGTGAGGTCAGGAAAATCTTGTTTTTTTTGCATTAAATTATAAAAAATTGTTGATAGAGGAATGGATAAAAATGAGCAAAATCTAGCTAAGTGGTGGGGCTGAGTTGAACCTGAGGCCTCCTGACAAACGGGTTCAATTCACCCACCTGTCAACTGAACATGTACTTAAACTGGGATTTCAGGCTGAAACTTTTGTCCATATAAACTTGAACACATCCTCCAGAGCTGTGCTATGTATGGTAAGAGAGGAAGCTCCCCTTATGTTTCCATAATGTTGGAGCTACTCTAAAACACGTGAGAAAACTCCAGCTACTGTTTTTTGTAACAGACTAGCAGTAGTAAGCATTCATTGTCATTACCATGCATATCATGCATAGTAATGACAATGAATTCATGTATATGCTGCAGAAGAGCATTTTTCATTTGCATGTTTTTCCTCCTACCACAACATAATGTTTATCACAGATGCTGTTGTGCTGCTCTTGCTTGTTTTTTCCCCCCTCTTTTGAGCGGTTACTCAGCCCCAGAAACTAAAAGATGCCTGAGAGAGAGAGAGAGAGAGAGACGCAGCGTTCGCCTTCAGAAGCACAATTTAATATCAGCTCTGTAAACTGACAAACTTGCCTGGAAGGAGAAGAGAGGGTGAAGCAGCAGTGTAAGCGTTGTGGTCTCATATCAGCTTCTGAGAGTGCCTGATAAGCTGGACTGAGAAGAACAAAGGTTGCATGAAAAGCACTGTATAGGGTTCGAAGGAACAGTTCGCCTGTATTGTGTATATTCCCAAAGTTGATGTAGAAACTACACTTGTCAAGCTATAGTTCATGTTAAGGCCTCTTGTCTGCAGAAATGATTAAAAAAGGGTGTTCACCAGCAAGAATTTTAAGTCTAAAAGCGACGTTTGTATTCCAAACCTCCCCGGCTTTCCATTGAGACATCCAGCTCCTTTGATTAAACCTGTAAACCTGACATTATTGCATGTAATATTTCCAGTAGGCAGCCTTCCCAAGCAACAATGTCTAATTTATCCTGCTTTTGCCACACTAAGGATTGTAGAAAAAAGAAAACGTTAAGCTGCCACTCACCTATGAAAAAAAAACAAAACATTGCAAAACCCCACTACATTTCTGTTCTTTCTTGGCTGCGGGCTGTCATCTTCTTTGAAGAATAACTCTATCTCCTCTTTCTCGTCTGTCTCTCTCATCTATCTGAGTTTAACAGAAAAAAGAGAGAGAGAGAAAAGGAGAGAGAGAGCGCCTGCAGCTACAATAAATGAGACGACTGGGTTTGGTTCATTTTCCCCTCAACAAGTCTGTGTTTATAACGAACATGTAGTAGTTTAGAGTCATCCCAGTCACTGTGACTTTCAATTTACAGTTTCTGCATCTCTGTTGATGCATTTTGTATTTGAATGCAAACTGTGCTGCAGTGCTCAGTGTACTAAGACTGCACAGTATAACTATAATGAATGGACTGAAAATGACCCAACAGGCATTTTCACGCCTGGTCCATTTAGGGACGCTCCAAAATAAGGCCTTGACTGTTGCATGACGCTACTCAGCAGGGGGGCTAAAATCCCTGTTCATGCACTGACTGACAATTACGCTTATTTGACTTGATCATGCCGACCTACAAAAGTGTATGCTAAAAAGTGTAAAAAGTATAATGCTTATGCTGTGTTCCGGTTACCTTGGAAGTCGGATGTCATAGCTGGGAATGACGTTATACCTGAGTTGACAGCGTTCCAGTAAACAAGTTGGAAAACCAAGATGGAAACCTAGTGTTAGCCGTTGTTAGCTGTTGTTTACAATTGTCACACAACACAGTATTTGCTCAACAAATACCATAGCACCGTATTCACAGTTAGATGTTGGGCAGTACAAAATTTACCACTTATTTAATTTCACAAAAACAAAACAGAAGTGCTAATAAATAATACTTTATGAGAACTTTTACTGTTTCTCTTTACTGTTGATGCACTGCGCTGCCATCTTGGATTATGATGTTGTCAAGTTGGGGTTGGCAAGGATCAGCAAGGTTTACGAGATCCGACTTCAGGGGGGCGTTCCAGATGAATTTCCGACTCGGAGCTTGGAAATCCCGACTTGCAAGTACAACTGGAATGCAGCGATGTACCAAGCCGAGGGAATCTGCCCTTTTCTTACTGAGATCATGGAAATACATATCTTCTTGAGCTCTTATTATTGTTCGCTTTTTCATAGTTATACATATTTTTTTGCATATACTAAAATTGCTTCAAAACAAGATCAAAAGTCACATTTTACCGTTCTACCTCAGTCCAGCGTAACTCTGCAGTAAATGTCAAAGCTTCCTCCAGAACAAACACAATATTTTTCAATTGAGGGCAAACAGATCAATCAAACAAACAAACTATAAATCTACAGGACTAACCTGTGTCTGTTTGGACTTAATTTCTCTGTAGACACGCTCCAAAGCAAGATTCAGTATCCTCACTAAAACTCAATGAAACGGACGTGTCTGACACGGCTGTTTGACCACATTTTTGAAGCGACGCTCGACAAAACAAACACTTTCCTCTCTGGTGTTTCTTTGGGGTTTTGTCAGACTTCAGTATATGTTCCTCGCTCTCAGTAGTGCAACTCACTGCGCTCCCTTTGATGTGATCTTCATCTTTGGGGACTAGAAGAAGAGCTCTACCTTCTGCTAAAAAAAAAGGGCTCTGAGTTTCTTGGCATGCCTGGAGGCCCGTGTACCTGAGGTGATTTGGGATTTGTTGCGAGGCTCTTTGCTGTTGTGGCAGCAAATCAGAGGTGAAGAAGCTGTGAAGAACTAATGGCCCGCTTCTTTTTGTTGACAGGATGCCTGTGGACTTGGGCTCGGGCCATAGGTAGAGGTTTTGTGTGGTCGTGTGCAGCCGCACTTCCAGGAAGAGGAGTTTGTCCCTCCAGGTATTTGATGTAAGAGAGCAATTTGTTTATCTGTGAGCAGAATCTCGAGAGGAAACTCAACAATTGAAAAAAGTGTAATGAATGTATCTACTTGGAATAAAATGGAGAGCAGGTAAACTAAAACACAACATGTATCAGGTTTTTAATCAGCAATTACTCCCTAAAGGTTGTTACCAATTCAAGCTGCATAATAGAAAATCT